CCACATTGCTAGTTTAGTAGTTACGTGTATTCATTACGGTCTATAAATGGCATGCATATTTTAAATGTTAACTTGAAATCAAGGCAATGAAAAACAGGTCTTTCGAGTCCTGTAAAAGGATAATGTTATTCTGTTCCAACAACTAGGTACTGCCAGAGGAATTCGTGTGTGAAACTGTTAATTTCTATCATCAAAACACTTCATTAAAACCGGGACGGCCTCTGAAGACCAGACGTGATTGCTCCTCTCCATTTTAGTTGAAACGGACGGCAAATTTTCTTCGTTTCTGTCCAGTGGCTTCGCACAGATTTTGCCACTTGTGACGCACATGGGTGAGTGATTATCTGGGGCGCCGATCTGATTTGAATAATAACGAACCCTTTCCTGCGGAAGCTCGCCCAAACGTACGTGTGGCACTAAGCCGACATCAAAGAGGTGCTGCACCCCTTGCATCTTGGGTAATTAACCCTGTAATGAGAGTTATTAGATGGCTGCGCGTCAATATCGTGTTCTGAAGCCGGGCGGAAGAATTCTGACCTAATTAGATTTATCGCGGAAGGCGTGTTGGGAAAGTGAATGATTGGGTTATTATATGCAGGCGTAGTAGTGGCCACGTCTACAGAATGTCTCCCAACCCAAGAGTAGAGGGATAACTACGAACATATAGCTGAAGACATGGCTTGATGGCGCTCTCTGTTGTACCATAAGCCTCGTACTTTTCCCCCGTGTGTCTCCAAATTTTTGGAACATTTGGAACAATTGGAACATTTGGAACAATTGAAACATTTGGAACAATTGAAACATTTGAAACTTTTGAAACATTTGGAACAATTGAAACATTTGGAACATTTGAAACATTTAGAACAATTGAAACATTTGGAACATTTGAAATATTTGGAACAATTGAAACATTTGGAACAATATTGAAACATTTGGAACAATTGAAGGCAGCGCGTCAGTCTCATAATCTGAAGGTCGTGAGTTCGATCCTCACAGTATTTTTTTCATTTCTAGAAAACAATTCTAGACTAAGAGACTAAGGACACCTTAGACATACATCTCAGAGGACGTGTTCCTCGAGGATACCATCTCGACCATACGTTTTATGGAAGAGGATATATCGTCATTTATAACGGCCATCCTCATTTGGACAATTTAAGCTGGGGTATGTTGAATACGCATTAGAAAAAAATCCAGGACAATTTACTATTGCATTCGTAAAATAATCGGCGATGGGAAAAAGGAAGGTACAAAATTTTAATGAAGTCTTCACATCTCTATTGATGCGGTACGGTGAAGCCATGCCGAAAGCGTAACGTATCTACAAAAACCCAGGTCGCAATGGAATTAACCAGTTAAAGCGTGCGGAAAATTGTAATAAAAACGGACCGGGGCTCAGTAATATGTGTTGTATATTAGTGTAGAGGTCCTGAGAGCCCATAGTTGTATACAAATTGCAAGACAGCGTCCGCTACATAAATATATTTCATAAAACGTATTTGAACCATTAAATGTATAAACTATATGTTTGGGTCGGTTAGGATAGTAACTTACATTGCTCAGACATAGTCAGCGGTCGGCTATAAAATTTTCCATTACTGGTACCTTTTTTTAACCCAAATATGAGATTAGCAATCAAAGCAAAAAGATCCCAGCGTAATATTGTTTCTTTTGTATTCTGCCCTCATAATACGACACCAACGTTACGTGATATACGCCATTAGTACATGATGGACAGCAGATTGTCATGACATATGCATTAAGGTGTATCTCACTACGGGGGGCCATTTTTCTTTTCAGTGTGAGACCTGCGTTTTGATTGGTCATCGGGGGGTCGTTAAACTTTGGTATCGACCGTGCGAAGATCAACCGATACACATCTTGTGAAGTTTGAAATTTCAGCAGTAGAATACTACAGGAAATACGGACTCTCAAGCACAGAAAGATCACAAAAGATATATTTCACTTACTTAATGCATAGCAGGATTCCCTATTCCTCAGGTCTATATTGACCATTGCATGCTTTAGAATATGTGTCTGTAATTGCTTTAGAATCGATCGACTTTACGTCGCAATCATAAAACCCTTTTTTCTAGAAGTCAATGGCCCGCTTTGTCTGTATGTAAATTGCAAAATTTCGACATATAAGTTTCTTCTTCAATTGGCAGTAATAACTAAAAATAGCTATATTATTTACGAGATGTGACGTTTTCTTTCACTACGATTACGCAAATAAACCTGACGAATGTTTGAATATCAAAGCATTTGTGTGTTTTCTGATTGATAGTGGTGTCATTTTATGGGGATGGATGTTTAAGTGCAACCTATAACATCTTAGATATCCTTATCCAATGTATTGTTCGTGCGTTTATTCAGAGAATAATGTATAAACATGCATGGCTGGGGTAGATAAAATTGGAACTGTACATGATCCAAAATATACAGGCGATTCCTCCCTAAATATTTATGTTCTCTCTTCCCATTGGCCCTTCCTGTCCTATTCCACCGAAGAAAAAAACTCTTTAACATTCCACGCACTAACTTATCCTTTAGTATACCGATCGCATAAAAAGATACCGCGAACTGCAATAACAACGTAATAAAGCTCGCCTAGGCAATGACATGTAGAGTTATCGCTAGTATTACCTCTCCGCTTGCAGGTCTAAAAAAACACCCCGCTTCTCTGTGTGTCATAACTCCTAACGCTGAGAACTGGAGAAATAATTCTCCCATCACTATAAATTTAGCTCACAAAGCTAGTTCCCCCGGGGAACCGTTTTTGTAGGGCGGTATATCCGGATTTATTACCAGCTACCGGTGGTGTGATCGATCAAGGACTTTATACAGCACTTAGGCCGTGTTGATTTCATTATATGGGTGACATCCGCGCGCACATGAATTTTCGTCCGTTTCCAAAAAAAATGGTTTTGACTATGCTGTAAATCGTACAAAGCAGCTGCAAAATGAGCAAACATATGCCGTAAATTGAAAAAAAAATATTGGAAAATGTAGAATGGCAACACCAATTCCATTCAATGTGAAGAATTGTCAGGTAGAACAAGTCTACTAGTATTATTTGCCATACCATACTCTGTGTGTTTAGTCATGTGTTTCACAATAACATCTTTGCCGAACGTCTATATTTTTTATTCGCTCGCGCCAGTTTTGGGGTTCCCAGAGGAGGTCATCCATATAATCAAATCAGCATGGCCTTATTCAGCAACCTTCTATCCTGCTGAGATTAGATTAGCGTGTCGTTTGGAGATCGAGAGTAAGCTGAGTAGGACCTTTGCCCTACACTAAGGGAATGTTACAAACAGGTTGCTATCTTAGGGTGTGGAGTGCGGCGACGTTGATCTTATGAGACAACAGGGTCAACAACGTTCTCGAAGAATTGCTGCAAACGAATTCTAGCTCGCGGCTAGATTTGTTATAGAAGTGTGTTCTCATGTATATATTTGCATTTAACCTGGCTCATCTAGATCTCTTACGTAATAAATAGTTACCACTTCACTATACAGACAAAAAAGGAGCAAAAAAATCGGGACGAATTACAATATCGTGGCAAGGTAAGCCGACTTGAAACTTAATTTTTCGTCATTTGATTTTCAATGAGGTTAGAAACTCCCTCGAGCTCGTGACGTATTTTTGCACGAGAACCAATCGGAATTGACTCGTCATATTTTTCACCATAGAGGTGTTTCTGATTGGTCACGTTACACCACCAACCTAACACCGAAGACTTGCAACCCATTCATCAATTCTACCATTCAGAGACAAATGTCAATACACCAAATCTTAAGATATGTATGGAATACTGCAGTACTGCATTAGTCTTCATTTAAATCAGAATTATTCAAACAATAATTCCTGACAGAGAAAATTCAATATTGACGTAGCATAACTCATATGCAAATATAGCCAACAACCAAACTGCAGATTATTAATGATCCTTACTTTCCACGTTAATTAATGATGACAATTGTTAATTAATGATGACAGGTGTCAGAAGGGAGCCGTCTGAAACGGAAATCCTGCAGCAAGCTTCAGAAATGATAATGTGAAGCCATTCTTCTGAAATAATATAATCCTCTCATTCATCATACTGACATCATCGCAGATTGGAGCAGAAATAAACACACCTGCAGGTATTCTCTCACATCTTTCACATGACTGATGGATGATATTAGAAAACTGATTGATAACTAATTAGGCAAAAGGGACCAGCAAAATATGTTTTGAATTTCACAGGATAAGGTCTGGTGGCAAGTCCTAATATGAGGATTATTAATTAGATATTCAAGTTATTCAAAACGGTCAAAGCAGCTTGTAAGTAATAATGTGATACTGTTAAAACAGGACTATCCTTGAAACAGAAGATACGGAACGTGTTTTGGTGATAACAGATATGAATAGACAACAAAACTTGACTAATTGATAGTATACACTCCCTGTCGACCAGACGTTTGTCTACAAGAATACACATAAAAAGCAAAATATGAATAATAGCAACATGACATTACAGTAAACATTATATTTTGGACGATATAGCAAATAAACAATGTGATATGTTTTGCACATTAAAAGCTAACATTAAAACATTATTTCTGGTGTACAACTCTGATCTTAGTCACTTTCATTTATATAATTTATATCATTATATTTATCATATGTTATTTTTTTAGAACAATGAATGCTTGATTTTTTTTCCTTCCCTATGAATGGGGTGGGGGTGCCAATATCACGTATATTAGATGTCTGTATATATAACCCATTTATGTAAGAAATATCCACGTGAGATTCATATGTTGTTCATTATGTCCAATGGTAGCACCGTTAAATAGAGAATAACGTTGAAAAATTAAAAGCAACAGTCATTTATCTATTCAGCGTCCCGGGCCAATTAAAATTAAGCTCACTTCAGCTCGATTTTAATTGGCCCTTCCACGGGGAGGCTTAATGATGACGTCAGAGACTTATGAGCAAAGCTAAAGACTTACCTGTCTAGCACCAGCTCCTCAAGACGGTGCAAGTCGCAGGCGATGTACTCTAAGGAGGCGTCGGTCATGCGCGGGCACCAGGAGAGGTCCAAGGACCGCAGCTTCTTCAAGTTCTCTGCGATGAGCTCCACGGCGTCGTCCGTGATCTTGGAGCATCCCGATAGGCTGAGCTGGGTCAAGTTCGGCAGGGAGTGCACGATGTTAACGATGCCGTGGTTGGTGGTCTCCCAGCACGAGCGCAGGCGCAGTGTGTGCATGGAGTGGCTCTGCTTGGTGGTGAAGTAGGACAGGGCCGTGTCGGTCACGTGATACGCCTGCAGGTTTAACTCTCGCAAGTTGGGAAGCAACTGGGCAATGGCGGCCAGACTGTCGTCCGCGACGTTGATGCAGTCGCTGATGCAAAGTTTGACAATCCTAGCGTTCAAACTCGACCAGAGCCCCGCCTCCGAAAAGTCGTTACACCCGGAAAGTTCAAGACCCGTCAGTGACGTCATCTGCTCGAGCATGACCTCTAACCCCGCGTCCGTCACAGTGGATCTCTTGAGCGAGATGTATTTAATGGTCTTCTTTGAGGGAGGGTAGTTGTCGATAAATTCGCAAATGTCCAAATCGGCTACACCTACCAGGCAGGCGGACTCGAACCCGCGTTGCTGGAAGCTGGTTAAGTCCACAAACCTTTTTTCTCCGTCCGTTCCCTCGGTGTACAGCTCTCGGCAGTGCAAGATGGGCGTTACTTCACGCCAGAATTTGGGCTGGTACAAAACCTGCTTCCATTTGGAGCACACCTGTGCGAGCACGCATCTCTCGCACGGCCAGAAATACGTGAACAACCGCGACAAAATCTTCTCGTCCAGTAAGGCTCTGTGCTCGGGGGAGGAAGTAGAGGAGGTCGTGCCGCCTCCTTCCGTAGCTGTCCGTAAACCATCCTTGAGGAGAGGCATCCTTTTCGAGCGAGGTAAGCGCGACTTGGCCGTTGTGTTCGCGTTCGCGTCTTTCATGTCCTTCGGAGGCACTCCGTTAGCAACACCGTTCACTGGGGACGTTGTTGTCGGGTTGTTGTCTGTCGTCTTCTCCATAGCCCATCGCCCTAGTAAGGCACAGAGACGTGTGCAGCAGAGTAGGCAGTCGGTCTGACTCCGTGTGTACCGTGTGCGCCAGCCCGGGCCATCTCTCTCGCCGCGGCGGAGGCGATAGAAGCGGCTTTGCACTGCGCAGCGCCACATGAAAGATTCATGTTTTGTCATTTCCCCCAGGCTACATCAATAATCGTCGCACGGCACATGTAATTCATGGTAATGCGCCGTAGACGAGCTCCTATTCGCTCTTCCTGCCGCTCCGGATCGATATTAAAACGACATTAATATTCAACTAGCGCGGGCCGAACGTACCCAATTCGCGCCGTCACGTCACTTCAAAAAACAACCTTAACATTAATAATTAATGCGCTGCATTGGTAAATGTTCAATATACAAGGAAGCTGAATATGACGAATGGGCGTATTAAGTAGTAAGTAAATTGGGCAGGCGAATAAAGCGCCAGAGGCAAGGCGTGCGTGGGCGAAAAATCGTTCTGATGTTCAATTCTGACAGACTGCTGTGCCATTGCTCACGCAAAAGAATAACGTTAACATACTTCAGGGTGAGAAAAAAAGGATTATGGAATCAGCAAATTTACGTGCAATGTTACCACGACACAAGACGTTAAACCAAGATTGTACTTCCTAAAATGAACGAGATAGCGGCCTCCTGTATTTGTCAGAATGAACGGTTTATTTACATCATTTTTCAACTTGAAGACATATCATACAGCAGCAGCCTTCACCGACTTAAATGAAGTATGGTATACAATTAAAACATTCTCAAAACAATGAAGATATATACATAATTTAAACATTTCGAACCTTATAGTGTGCTTGTCTAACGCTTATTTGCGACGCCAACCCTTTATCGTTGGGTAGGCTAGCCAATTAAAGCAGTGTACTCTTGCGATATCTGCCGGTTCTACATTTGAACTGCATATGTATACATATACGCTTTCTGATATGTGTTAGAGCACTACATGCCTGCTATGAGTGGCTTGAATGCTTTCAATGAACGTACGTGTATTAGCTATCAGATAGTTTGCAATATCAAATACGGGCGTGTGTTAGTTTTATATTTGTGTTAACGTTCTAATGAGAATCTTAAAGAATCAGAAAGATTTATAAGCGTACTTTTAAAAAATACAGCTTGAAATTGAAGTCATAATGTTTATTCACAAGGGCGTTTTGTATACGTATAGATTCTTTACCCCAAAACCTCATTAGTATTAGATTGACGCACTACACCCTTGAACGTGTCATACGAACCGTATCGAAGGCAGACCAAACTACTTTTGATTAACATTCAAGAGTTTCTGATTTTTTTAAACCCTAGAAATGAAATAATCATATGCATGTTCTAAAACATTCCTTAATATCGGTTTTTCCTTCATGCTATACAAGGAACTTGATGACTAGTCTATCTGCATTTTTTTTCACATGTATGAGGTGCAATATGATGACGTAACACCACCATATAAATATCCCAGCAACCCTCATTCTGGTCAAATCCCATTCAAAAAAAGCTTATCCAATCACACGCAGCCCGCCTAACGGTGGCCAGCATCAAAAATTGAATTAAGCCATTCGTTGCTGAATTTCCCATGGTGCTCGTTAAACAGTGTTTACGCCCCCACGAGAGAGATTCCCCAACATTTCACATGCCCCCACAGGCGTGAAAAATATGCAATTTGCAACGCACGGGCAACAACGGCAACTTGTATGCGTGTATAGGCGAGTAAATACTAGTAATATTCTTACCATACGAGCGATCGCATAGCCTTTCCCACCTCCTAGAAATGCAAAATAAAACACAGAAATGCAAATATGTGACATGTAGTACATGCAGCTACTCGCTCATTGGTTGAACTGCTAACTGCCACGCTATCATTGGTTAAACTGTTAATATTGTGACGGACAGTACTGATGGTTACATGCTGTCGTTATATGCAAATCAGATATTTCGTCATTACTGCAAGTGGCGATAGTTACCCTTATTACAGAATACGGTGGTAAAAACGGTTAAAGTATAAACCATTAAACTTCAAAATGACAGACTACCATACAACAAAATGATAAATACACTTGTCTGGTAAAATGATTAACATTTACCTGATATTGTTTGTGTAATGAAAGAAATATCTTGAGGCTCTTTCCGGAAAAGAATACTTCTTGGCTTCGGGGGGGGGGGGGCAAAATGCTTGTCTCAAATACAAAATGTAACCTGAACTGCTTGATATGCATCCTTTACAATTCGTTGTCATTAGTTTGATAACCAAATAAAGGTTAGCTACACAGCATACAATGCAGTCACTTAAAAAGGAATAGAAACTTTGAGCGTGTGTATATTCAACATTCGTTCCTACCCAGCAGCACCCGCGCCCGGCGTCTGCTTGGCCGCCATTTTGCATGCCCAATAAACAAGCAATATCCAATAACGCGATTCAAGTTGCTATCAACCAATCAAAAGCCGCGAAGGCACTGGCGTAACCGGTACCATTTTCTCGCGACAGTCAATTAATGAGTTATCCAATAGCACGCGAGACCAGTCCCTACCAACCAATCAACAGCCGAGAAGGCGCTAAAGTAATCATTTACTCAGGTGTGGCCAAGACACACCTGTAGCCCACCTGTGAAACCAACACCTGGCCACTGTGGCCTATAAATTGCAACAGCAAAGCTGAAATCTCTCTCTCTCCCTTCCTTCCGTTGACACGGGTGGTGAAGTTTTGCCGTCTACAACCTTGGTAGGTAAAATTCGGTTGCTACTGGTTGTGCTGTTTCAAAACTGTTGGAGTATGTCGAAGGAAACATAACTGCGGATTTACTGTCCTTAAAAGCTATCGTTTATGAAATATCCTCATGGTAGCTTGACTTTTTTTCCAGACTGTGTATCCTTCGTGACTTCTATCCGGAATACGGAACGATGGCGCGTACGTCCGCGAAGAAACCGGCAGCCGGAAAGTCCGGAGGAACCAAGGCGATGACCAAGGCTGGCAGGCCGCCCGGCAAGCCATCCGGCCGGAGGAAGAGGAAAGAGAGCTTCGGTACCTACATCTTCAAGGTGTTAAAACAGGTACGGCAGTTCCAGTTTTTTTTTTTTAATTTTAGCATGGCACCGTGGTTGAAGTTTTTGTCGGAATTCATTTTCGCGTACGCCACGTGGTCTTGCACAAAATTTGACTTCTTGGCTTCGAATTTCCTTTAGTGACAAATTTTAGCTCTAAGAACTTACTGTTGTACTTAGATATTAATGTTTCGCATTCACCTCACGCTTTTGTAGAAGCCAGAAAATTCTAAAATTCTTGATTACACATTATTTTCGGAATTGTACCTCAGTGCATGAGTGTTTTTGTGACAAGCATTCACCCGATCGCACGTGGTCTTGCATAGGATTATTTTTTTCCTATTCATTAGGACATTTTAGGGCGAAAACATTTTTACTTTTATGTTCAGGTTTTTCTACTTTGTGTGAACATTTTCTTAAATTTCTATTCCGACCCTTTGTAGGTCCACCCCGATACCGGTATCTCGGCGCGAGCCATGGGCATCATGAACTCCTTCGTCAACGATCTCTTCGAGAGGGTAGCATCCGAAGCCTCCCGCCTGGCGAACTACAACAAGCGCTCCACCATCAGCAGCCGGGAGATCCAGACCGCTGTGCGACTCCTGCTGCCGGGCGAGCTGGCCAAGCACGCCGTCAGCGAGGGCACCAAGGCCGTCACCAAGTACACCAGCAACACCGCCAAGTAAAAACGATCGGCAACGGACTGTTTTAGCACTTTGAGATGCAAAACTTTCGAGCGATTTTGTACACAATGTAAATAAGATTAAAGTGGACGATATTTTGTGTGCCGGAAACTAAATCCAAAACTTGAGGGGAGTAACCAAATTGGGAAAACCTAAAATGTCTCAAAGCAGTGTCAGTGCTCACGAATACGAGAACCAATTGTTAGTTCAGTTTGTTTGCAATGATTTGTTTGATGTGGTTGTGTGAATAAAGTTACTTTTTTATAGTAAAACTTTCCGCTCTTATTTGCGTCGACATGATTGTTGTGATATTAAGCAAGGTCTCTGTCCAAGTCCACTGTCGAGTTCAAAGAGTACATCAATGATAGTATAAGTCGGCAAGACGTAATTGATTTAGATTAGGGTTTGAAAGCAACGTATCGGCAAGTTTAGAGGAAACCATTGCTGGAAAATGAATTTCTTGAATCCACCCAGGTTAAATGAAACATAATTTAGCAAGGGTCGAAATGCCCTTTTTCTGCTTATTGGCCCTGGGTCAGGTTATATTACATAGAAAATGACGCCAGATAAGTTCTACCTGCACCATTCTGAATTTAGTAAGTACTAGTATGGATCATACTGGAAACCGTTACTATTTCTTTAGACCCCATTCAAAATACAGGTGGTACCAATAAATACACAAACTACGCCTATGTTATTAACCCGGGCCTGGTACATACAACACTGTACATGTAGGCTATTGTAGATTAGGTGCAGGTAGACATAAGAAATATCGGCACAGGCTGCCCCCTCCCCCAATTTTACCTGTATCATCCTGCATAATTATGAAGGTGGGATTTCAAGTCCTGTAAGTCTGGTTTGCGTTCTTTAATGCATCTTGTTAAGACAGCTTTTATACGGAAATGATTTAGATACCACAAACGCTTCTAGTCTTTAATAGTATGTTTAGTAATATCAACATAACCTAAACTTTAAGACTACAAGATGTTTCTTCTAGTACAAAACATGACTAAATGACAACTGATTAATAAAGATAGCTGAAATGATACATTTCATAATCTGGTTCAATATATACATAAATCAATCAAGATTTGATATATCTAAGGTAGAGGATACATTCTACTGGATATATACAAAATTTAAAATCAAGTAGTATACTACAAATGCACTGCAGTTGCACTCAATAAATTAGTGAAATCAATTAAATGTTTTGAGATAAAATGCATAATAAATGCAATGAAGTAATCTCTGTAACATACAATTAACTTGAAGCCTTTTCCTGATATCTGATTTGCATAAAGTTCAATGTTTCAATGTACATGTATATGCACAATTTATATGATCATATATACTAGCAATACATTATTATTAATTTCTCTTTGTGAGAATATGGCAGATACCATGGCAAGGTTTAGGTAACATGTTAAAAAAAAACAAATAGATTCAAATTTGTCATCTATGATAATCATATGCTAATGCAAACAATAACTAATAGTATCCAATGACTTCTAGGTAAAATACTGTTGAACGGATGTTTTTTTTAACCAGTGGTTACTTTAGATTATAAAATCTCTTATTCAACAATAAACTTTCCATAGTTTTAGATGGGAAATTGCAATATGACGCAATTTCAAGATAATTAAATCTTTCCCTCTCTATGTGAAATTTCTATGTACACTTCCTATGGTTACTAATAGTATGTGGCTATAGAGAGTAATGCTACATATCATGTAATGTTTCACAATGGCAATGGATATGGCATGTTAAAGTTCACTGTATGTACACGGTTAAACACTGTTACATAGGGGCATTCTGTAAGAATGATTACAGTTTTCTCATTTCTCAACAATTATGTGACATTGCATTACACAATATTGTCTTGTAATCTCAATGGACTACATGGTCCTGTTTACCAGTGGTGTATTCATAATTATTTTTTGTGCTAAAAGAATCTTTTCAATAACGTTGTATGTACATACACAGTTTAATTTCTTCATGAATATTACATGAAATGCTACAAAGGCCCTTAAAATTGATTGAAGTGTTTTTAAAACTACAAAAACCTAAAGCTGCATTGTGTAATATTTGTATGATACAACAAGTGAAGTTTCTTCTACAGAGTAAGTTGAACCAACCATACTCTAATGCAAAGAAGTGGAGGTGCCAACATATGATGCCTTAGGTGTGTGTTTAAAAGATGGAAACACAGCTGTCTGCCATGTTTGTTTACATTCTGCTATTTTGTGGTGGCATCACAAACTGAGTGCACCTTATGTGGATTGTTTTAGTGACAATCATAAATGTTCAAAATGTAGGATAATTGCACAAACATGTTGAAAATTGGAAATAAATTACAATCACTCAATTGAAATATCTTAATTTTGGGTGCAAAAATGTTACTTAAAAGACCTTTAATGACAATGCACCAGCTAGCATGAAATTTGCTTGTCTAAGGCTCTTAAACTTCTTGAATGTTGCAATTTACTCAACAGTGGGGTCTGAACAATACACCTTATTACCCTCTGACTGAGCCCTCTAGCCTTCAGCTACATGAACAGCAGTGCCATCTGGTGGATGATAACAGACCTGCAGGGAGTAGAAACTGAAACCCCAGGGAACTGCATAATGAGGAGAAATGTGGACATATGCATGGTGCCCCAACGACCAGAGAAGTTAAGCTATAAATGAGGGTGAGGTCCCTTGAAGACATCTGCCTTGCTAGCTTGTCCCCTTCTTTTTGATAGGTGTTATATTCTCATAGTGGGCTTTCTGTGGGGGAAAATAATACAAACTTTAAGTTGAACATCCACAGAGACACGCAAAAAAAACAGTTACCCAAGCAACTGAATATGATTTTTCGACATGATTTTCCAAAATTATATCCAGTTGCTTGAGTAACTGTTTTTTTTTACATTTGATTACGTCTATGTGTAACCTTCATTGACATATCCACAACAGAAAAATGTAAAGAAGCTTGAAATCTTTCCTATTCTTCAAGCTAAGAATTCTGATTGCACTACTCTATTCACTGTTAGTCAGAAGTTGTAAGATTTGTCAAAGGGAAGATCAACATAGTTATCAAAAATATAAAAGACTCACGTCAAACTTGTGCATAAAATCTGCGAAGATCGTGAAGAGAAGTTCGGAGGTGGTTAGCGCCGGATCCTCTCCATAGTACTCGGCCACGGCTACAAACTCCTTCATACTCTCCCCGTACTGCGCCCGCAGGGTCTGGATCTCTCCTGCTGCCTTCTGCATAAAGGCCTGGGGACATGGTTAAGGAACTGGGCAATATTTTTGGCAACACCTTTAGAGTGAAGCAAACTGTCGACATGTGACTTATCAAGTTTTATCAAGTTACTAACGTAATTAAACTAAAATTACTTTAAGTTGACAGTCATCTTAACTTCTTAACAACTTCAATCGATGTGTCCTGATTGTAAGGAATGGTCCACACAACAAGTACGCTGTATATGATATTGATGGTTATTATTTTTACAGGTACCCTGAATTTAGACACACAAACAGTTAGTAAAAGACTGTTTATTTGTATATTTAATAACATCCTTTGACAATACGCCTGCTTTAAGCAAGAAGCATGTACATGTATTACTAAACAATAGACTCAATAATAGTGTAGCTCTACGTGTTCTCCCTTTGTAAACAATAGAATGTAGTGTAGCATAGCTTTAGTTGTGTTGTTTCTATAACTGTCTCATAGCTATCATCATCAGTCACCATTGTTTTTTATGCGGCAGAATAAGGATACACCCATGACTTCCACAAACTTGTCCTTTGGATCATGGGAGGTGTTAGCAGACAGCATTTTTGCAGTCTCTGAAATCTCCTGTAGGATGAAAAACACACAATTTTAACTTCAGGGTCTAAAACATGGATTGCAAAATGCCTACAACTAAGCTAACTCTGACACTTGATATAAATTTGGCTAATATATATAGTAAGTCTTCTTCTAGGTGAATAATTTTGACAGAAGACATTTGCTTACCAGACAAGTTTGAAATACATGACTTGTACGAAATGTCATGTATAGTTACTGTATTAAAAATAAAGATTGTTTTGGTTTGCACCATGCCACATTTTACTGAGTTTTTATATTACACCGGGTAGATTAGATTACAAAAGTGTGAAAAGTCAAATGATGTGAAATATATAGCCCCTGAAACAGAACAGTGAGAAACATGTAGAGTGTACACAGAAATTTTGAAACCACCTGTTAGGAAAAATGTGAAGTGTGCATTAGCAGTCATATGCTACATTGTAAGAGATACCAATGACAATGTATTACAAAAACTGTGAGTTGGGTGTTGTTGATACCAGATATCCTTACCTCCCATGGCTACCAAGGAGACAGGTTAAAGCCAGAGTACAAGAAGGGAAGACACTGGAGTTAAAGGGTAACGCTGACTTGAGTTGCAAAGAAGTCTTAACAGCATTACTTATTACAAATGGTAAGTCATCATACAAGTATACTCTTTGTACATGTATCAATTTGTTCAGGTAGATAGCAAGAAATAAAATATAGTCCAAAAGATATTTCTTGCAATAATAGGAAAAGATAAAGTACGAATTTAATATAATGTATTATTAGATAAAATGCATTCAACATTTTGTGTTTACCTCGTAATCCTGGGATCAAAGATGCATGGAACAGAATGAACCAGACATATTACACAGTCACACAGTCACTCAGCAATGCACCTCATGTAGTGTTTAAAAGGTTTAATGTACCATGTTATATTTATGCTTGGAACATACATGTAGTGCATTAAATTCATATTGTATGAATTATACATATGAGTACACACAACAACAGACACACCCAATATTTACGGAAAATGGAGGCTTTAGAATGACTTACATCCAGCACTGACTCCAGCTCCACTAGTTCTTGTTCCACAAGTAGGTTGGACACTTCGTGTAAAAAAGGAGAAAAAATACAGTTACTGTTAATGTTGTGAAAAGTTGTGAAAAGTATCGGAACTTGCATAAAAATACAGAATATATTATGATATGGGAGGCTAGGGGGGTATAGTGTACTACAGAGATGGTTTTATCTAAACTATGTGAATCATTACTATTGAATACATTTTGACAAAAAGTAACTGTTTTTCTAATAAATGTACAATAAAGATGTACATTGAACAATAAAGATACAAGGCATAATCAAAATTTATGGTCCTAATAAATCCATAGATATACATGTATCATAGAACAGTTGTATTATAGTAACTTTAGTCCATAGAGCTGTCATGTGGTGGCTGAGTAAACTGTTACCTTTTGCAGCAAGTGGCACTGTAGGCAGTTCCTTGGAGAAGGCCAGGTACTGGGAGAAGTTTGTGGACACTGCGTTGGCCAGGATGTGGAGAAAAGTGGACTTCTTGTCAGACGTCTTGGTGGTGTCCAGCTACAGTAAAGTGGGGAAGAAAAAGAGTTTAAAAGTAACCTGGTTGAAAATTGTTGTCATCATAACTACTACATGTACTAGTATGTAGAATCCCATACATCCAATTGAGTATGTAAAATGTACTTTTAGATCTGCATGAAACTGTTTTTTTTTTTACGAAATAAAAGTTTTCATTCCGTGGTTACATCTTACCTCTCTCAGGAAGGACACTCGGAAACCAGAGGCCTTAGCCACCCGGATGTTTCCCTCGTTTAGGTAGTTTCCCATGGCCAGTACAAGCTGTTAGGAACAAATTTAAGTTAGCATTTTACCAGTAGTACCAAATCAGTGTTACTAATATGATTGGAGTCAATATTCAGGTTTAGCAGGAAGAATTACACGTACCTGAAGAATCTTGGCCAGTTTTTGGCTGTTCCTGAGTTCCCAAGACGCTCTGGAGATAGCATCTATATGCTGAAAAATGAACATTACACACTCATTCACTTTGACTCACATGTAACTGAAACAGTGTATCTATCACAGAAGATTGAAATTACAAAATAAAATCGTGAACCTTTAATACCTGTAAGGTCTTTATTTTGTATAAACTGAAATATAGATAGCTTTCAAGTACAGTATAGTGCTATGTTTGCTTTAGACAAGTAATAGTTCAGAGTAAGCAGTTGCAACAGGAAAGCTTACCATGCTATCCCACATAAGTCCTGGCATGACTTGATAGTGAGAGAGTGCAGAAGTTGCAGATAAAGTTACGTAAGGAATTTAGCTGCTATACAGGAGAATTAAGAAAGAGGTGCAGATCAGATATACAGAGGGAATAGTATAGCACAGAAAGAATAACTACAGTCTACTGCAATGGGATAAAAATAACCTTAAAGTCAAGTTGGACTTAAGCCTATGTCAGACTCTATGAATTCAAGATAATATAAAGTCATGTATTATCACAATCATGGTAGAATTGTTTAAGACATTATGCAAGTCAAGGTCCACCTCAGACCTTACCTGTCTTAGCTCTTCTGTCTTCTCGGCAAAATTAGCCTTGAAGATCATGGCCTTTAACCTAGTCTTGTAGCCAGGGATCTTGTTCATCTGGATGAAGAAAAAAAGGTGGAACAAAATTTAAGGTTATTACCCAATATAGGTCACCCTAAAATGATTACCAGTATGGTACGGTCCCAAATATGCTTAATGTATTTACTAAATGTTTTAACATGTTAATTTTATATGGTGTGTGCACTTCAATAACTCACCTCATATGCAAAGCGGTCAGAGTCATTCAGAGCTGACAACACTCCGTTGTACTTCTCAAACTTTTCGATCTGTGTGAAAAATGTAGATAATTAATATATGTTTTTTTATTGATTGCATGAGTACATGATGATCATAATGTACAATGTAACACCTGTCCTGTGGTTCCTATTGTCAAGAAATTGATAGCATCAAGATTGACACCTTCGGTACAATGTATCTTGGACTATCCCCAATATATTAAATCATACAAGTGTCACAATGTGCTATAAAGCTTATTATATATATAAGAAGTTTTGAGAAATACACTGTTTAGGTCGCCTCATCAACCTTTACATGTTAGTCCAGAAATAAATTTCATGAGGATGACTACATTGAGAATCTGAGATAGTCCCCACCTCCTCGTCCTCAGCTGCGTAGGCCAGCAGCTGTTTCAGGTGGGAAGGTGAGACACGTGAGTCGTCCATCTGTAGCACCGCATGTCTGATCTCCTCATGTGACATCTTCAGGTGGCCCAGAACTATGGCTAAGAAAGCAAAATACAGAGTTGACATAAAAGATGTTGAAAGTTTAACTAACAGTTTCTCTCTCCGTAAGTTGTTGAAAACTACAGGTTGAAGTCATTTTTAGTTTTAAAGGGTGTTTGCCTTCATAATCAAATTAGTCCATATTGAGGAAGTCTGTAGACTTACCAATGTTGTAGGCTTTCTTGTGAGGTAGAATGGTAACAACTTTCTTCTTCTTCTGTGCCACTGGTGCTGTGGGAGGTGTCAGTGGTACATTTTATAAGAATCTATTCTTTTCATTCATTTGCATCATGAAACACATAGATTTGGATTTGCTCTTACACTGTACTGATTGCATTTAAAACAATAAACAACAATGGCCAAAAATAAAAACAAAAGAAAAACCAACAATCGACAAGCTGCAGCACTCAATTTTTAAAAACAGAATTATGAAACTGGTAGAAGTTGATAATAGCTATAATACAAATTAAAACTTATTATTAAGTTATTATTAACTTCAACTTGCAAATGAAAAACCACATGTTAGTAATTACTATCTAACGAGAACTTCATGGAAAACAGGTGCAAGTTAGAATTAATAACTTAAGGTGTTAGTAATAAAAAAATCAAGGAGAAGGGATGTTTTTTTTCAGAGGTCTGTAATTCTAGGCTACAGACATTTCAATCTGTGGCCTATTTCAGACATTCTTAGGTCACTCAAAAAGGATAAAGATGATCAAGGGAAGGAATGATTGATTGTCTTTGTTATTATCTTACCATCTAAGGTGTCTTCTTCATCAGAACTATCTGTGATTGGATTCATTTAATGAAACATTTTGATATTCAATTAACAAAAATCAAGCAATCAAGCAAATCAGCAAAAATCATATGATATGAATTAGCTTCTTTAATTATAATAACATAATTGTCAAGACAGAAAAAATACAAGAACAAGAATACAGCAAATTTCTCAAACGTATAACTTAAAGGTATAACAGACATTTCGTTACTTACTATGAACTTAATCAAAGTAAACATGCCCTTGAAATACATAATTTTGTGAAGGTACACAATTGTGCCGATGAAATTACCAGAAACAAGCTTCAGAAAATGCCTAGGCCCGTATCAAAGCTTTCCTGATTGGTTGTTGATAAGGATAGTTTTAGAATGACTAGTTGGGAAGGATCCCTTACCCTTGGTCTTCATGCTGAAACGATGCTCCAGTTCCATCACTTTTACCACTTCCTGCAGATACTCATCCCCTCCAATCTGAAGGAACAAGAAATCAGAGATTGAAGACTTTAGGGGAGGGTCTAGGGGGTTTTGTGACCTTCAAGTTCACCAAATTTCCTATGTCTGACCTTGACCTTCTGTCATTCTGCTTGTCAATTTCCCCCCGCCACATGCTGTCTGTCTTCTCCCAAGTTCACACTATTTCCTTTGTCTGGACCTTTTGACCCTACTTGCCTGTCAATCTTTGCCTACCCACCCACATGCTGTCAATCTTCTCTGTCCAGACAGACACAACAACCACAGCTCAGCCTCAAACAATGCTTCAGAATCTACTACCTGGAAGCAAAAATACAAAGGTTACAAATGCTTGCATTCCTAGAAAGAGTTTGAAGAGCACAAGGCTGTGTTTAAGCTGCAGTTCACTCACCTGTCCCCAGATGGTGTTCTTGACCTTCTCTCCCTCCAGTTTCTCCCAGTTCATCCTCTTGACGTTCATGTTTATCTTTGGACCTTTAGATTTTCCAGTAGGGGGTAGGGGTGGGGGCTTGGGAATGCTGGACGTACTTGCATTCAAGTCTAGTGGGGAGGGGGGCGGCGGGGGAGGTAACGGAATAGACGAAGTGGACTCTCCCAGCATGGTATCATATTGCATCTCTGATGAGCTGACACTTTCAGTTGGTCTGTGTACAGGTGGCCTGTGAGGGACACCCGGATCGGTTACATTTTGCTGCACTGCTTCTCCTTGGTACCCTGGTATGACACCCTGTTGGTACTCTGGTGTGATACCCTGCTGGTACCCTGGTATGACACCCTGTTGGTACTCTGGTGTGAGACCCTGCTGATACCCTGGTGTGACACCATGTTGGTGTAGTGGTGTGTTACCCTGCTGGTACACCGGTGAGATACCAGGTTGGTGTGCTCTTGGGATACCTTGCTGGTACTCTGGTGTGATACCTTCCTGGTACCCTTGTGTGACACCCTGTTGGTGTGCTGGTGTGACACCCTGGTGGTATCCTGGTGTGATACCTGGTTGGTACCCCCGTGTGCCACCCTGCTGGTACTCTGGTGTGATACCCTGCTGGTACTCTGGTGTGATACCCTGGTTGTCTGCCTGGTTGAGATCAGACCCAGCGAGGGCCAGTCGACTCATCATGGCCTCTGCAGTCATCTCCTCTGGGGGGTAGAGGGGCTGTGGCTGTCTGGTGAACTGTGGGGCAGGGCCCGGGGGTGGGGGAGGGATGTCCCCTGGGTAGTCATCATGGTCTGGAAAATAAAACATAAGAATATAAATAACAAAAAAAATTCCCTATGATCATCATTTCTTTCCTACATTTTGAAGTGGTTCAGAAATCTGTTTCATACAGTCATTTTGCTTTTTTTTCTTGCAAGTCATACACTAGACCACAAAATGTATATAATTTAAAACAGAGATCTAGCCTGAAATATTTTTCCATCAACAGCTGAAGGCATAAGGTGCGAAAATCCTAGGGGAGTCTGGGGTATTCTCCCCAGGGAAAATTTTGAAATCGCGACCCCCTGGAGCATTACTTTCTGCAATCTGCAATCTGTGGTGTAAATCTTGCTTGGTTTAATGACACCTCTTCAGTTTCCATACCTTAACATGCTGATTTTTGTCCATACAAGATGATGGATTTGGCAAAATTCCATCAAATGGTAGAAAGACTGATGCAGGCTAGAGCACTGATTTTGAGTGAAATAAGCTTACCATAGCCATCATAGTCTCCCTGTCTGCTATAGCCATAGGGATCCTGATCACCCCTCTCCTGATAGTAGTCTGTCCCTCTGGGCTGCCTGTCATCATAGTAGTCCTGGTCACCCCTATCTTCATAATAGTTTGATCCATCTTGCCTTCTGTAGTCATCTCCATTGTACTGCCTGTACCTAGAGTCCTGATCACCCCTTCTTTCATAGTAGTCTGTTCCATTGTGTTGCCTATAGTCATCTTGATAGCCACTATCATCATTGTAGACCGGTCCATTTGGTTGCCCATACCGGGGGTCATATTGGTCACGTCTGTCCTGATAATACTCTGGTTGGATGTATCTATCATCATAATCATCACCCCTACTCTGATAGTGGCCTGGTCCATTAGAGTACCTATGATCCACTTGTCCACCCCTGTCTTCATAGTGGTCTGGCCCATCATATTGCCTGTGCCTATGGTTGTCCTGTCCACCCCTATCATCGTAGTAATCCAGTCCATCAGGATCCCTGTAGCCAACATGATCCTGTCTCTCCCTGTCATCATAGTGGTTTGGTCTGTCGTATCCAAAATCCAGAGAAGCTCCCCTATGGTGAGAATGGTTTGGTCTGCCTGAACTCCTAAAACTGTCATCTCTCTGAAACTGCTGAACTCCATTTCCATAATACTGAATCGGTTCTGACCTCTGCCTGACATGTCTGTTTCGGTATTGTTCTGGTCCCTCTACAGCCCTGTTGCTGTAATCATCATAACTACCCCTATCTATGTAGTAGTCTGCTCCATTTCCACTTACAAAAACATCCTCTTCCCTCCCCCTGTTTGGATGTTGGTCTTGTCCACTTCCATATTTGTCCATGTCATTTGGAGGCCTATAGTCAGTAGCCTGTTCATCCCTCTCCACAAAGTGGTTTGGTCTTCTTTCCTGGTGGTTTGCTTCTATTGCTGTTACACCCCCAGATAGGGATTGGTTGGGTCCATTCTGGTCCCCGGTATACTCCTTGTCATCATTGACCGGTCCATGCTTTGCTTTGTGGGCAGGGGAGCCCTCCTAGAAAACAAAAAAGAGAGCAAAACACATTCAACATATATGATGTTGAAAACAAAAAAGGCTTTCTGGTAATTATTCTTCCCACAAGATATATTTTCCTAATTCTTTCTGAAAAAAAAAACACAGGGCCAACAGAAGATTAATCAGTACATTACGAAAAAACTCACCATAGATGTTCCGTCTCCTTCCGACCTCTCAAAGGGAAGGTCAGGTGATTTCTTGACCAACAGGTCGGCAGCTTCTTCAACTGAAAGATGTTAGAAAGAAGGAGATATTAGAAGATATCTTACACCTTATTTTCCATTGTGTCCCCAATGTTACACACATAAAGAAACAAAACACAGAATATCATTGGTTACTAGAAGCTTGTAACATGTACGGCACTTGTATAAATAGAGTGTAGCACACTTTGACTATGTCTGAAGAAAAAAATGTTTCATCTATGGATGTGCCCCCTTATCTTTTATAAATTAAAAAAGAATGGGAAGTGATGGGATTAACCAATTAACCAAGACAAATAAGGCAGAAGTGCTCACTGTGCGAAAATGAGTCATCGTCATTGGTAGTGCTGAAGTGAATGGTTTCGCTGGTTTGTGAAACATCGTCAGCCTGGTCAGAGTACCCGTTTTCACGTTCACTTGTATCGTGCTGATCTACAGTGACAAATAATAATATCATCTTCGATTTCACTTGAAATACAATGCCTAGCTACTAAAAAGCCATAAAGACAGTCCAAAGTAATGAAAACAAACAATTTGATGAGTATTTTTCATATTTACAACAGTTTTTGTCAAAGGCGCTCTCCCTGGTGCTGAAAGCTGGGTTATGATGCCATATAAGCTTTCCGTTACTCTGACACACTGAAGCAGATAACATTCCTTTCCCAAAAATGTATTCCATGACCTACATTTATGTGGTATCCTTACCTGGTATATGTGGTATCCTTACCTGGTATATGTGGTATCCTTACCTGGTATCTGACTAGTCCTGACAGTGAGGACCTTACTGTTGAAGACATGTTGTTCTTCAGTAGGCAGCAGGCGGATGATGTAACCCCACAGTTTCTCCTTAGCCGGTGTGTCCAGCACAGGATAAACCTCCTGGATCAGTCTGTCTGCGTTCCTGAAAAATTAAGAAATTGTAGATTTCAGACTTTCTGGAAGTGTTTGGGGGTTTTTGTGAATGCAAGTTACTGGAGATTACATTACATAATCTATGAGTCACTAGTTCCAGATAGGAAAAAGTCAAGCCAAATTTCATAATCTTATCAATACACACATCTTAAAAATTTGAATTTAAGGTAAAGGTAAAAAAAAAATTACCTGGTGTCCTTGTATCTCTTCAGGCTGGCTTTGATTTGATGCTTCTCAGAGGTGGTCAACAAGTGATCCATCTGAAAGAACAAGTTTCATCTTAGAGTTTAACTTTCAAAATTCTCTTTTTCACAGACAAGCATCACAAATGTACAAAATGAGATACTACATGACAATAAATTTTAAAGAAAAAATTGCTGTAATGTATTGCTGCAATTATTGAAATATGACGTAAAATATAACAATAATTGTTTATCACAAACTCTTTCCCGAGATGTAATTGCAGGGCTAGTAAAAAGGTATTTTTGATGATGAAATACAAAATTGGTAACATATCAAAATACATAAACTGAAAAAAAGGGAAACACTAAAATCTTCGTGTTACATTTTTAACCCTCTTTCACACACCCAATTGACCCTTGCTGTCTTTAGCCTTGTTTATTGTTTTATCAAAAGAACTACAGTAACTACTACCCATACCTGTTGTTTGAAGGACCTGCCATCTTTTACAATCTCCGTGACCTGTTGTGAGGACAGGGATGATGTGACGGAGGACAGAGATAACACACTCGGAGACCGACTCCGGGATGTCAGGCGGGCCGGCAGCGAGGACGCAGACGAGATGCTCTTCCTGTCGTCACTCGACTTTCTCTCTTGTTCTGAAGTAAATGTAAATGATGTTCTCACAAGTAGAAAATATATATGGTGTGAACATATCCTCTCAAACAAAACTAGCTAAGTACAGATACCCTTACCCTAGCTACAAAGACCACAACAAAGCATATTGTTGTCTTGGAATCATATTGTTGTAAATTATCATTATTACACACACTGTCAGGATTTTAGTATCACTAATAATTGTAAGTTTTTTAACAGAGTAATCTATTTGATAATATCCATAAAGTAAAAAATCAATCTATTGAGGTGACTTTGACAGGTTTATTTTGAACTTCATTTAAGACATTCATGATTTCTTTATGGAGGAGTTTGGACTAGTGGGTCAAGCAATGCATTAAGGGCATACTATTATATATTTAGAAATATGGGTTGTGTATTACACAATCAAACATAATTTTTCTGAGATAATACTGACCTTTCTTCACCCCCACCACCAGTGTTGGCTTACTGCCGCTCCCCTGCAGTAGTGTGATCACTTTCTTATGGGTTGCAGAGCTACAGGGCAACAAAAACAACACTTGTCAGTATAAAAGCACCACTGTGACTATGAGAATTTCCATTTCTATAACACTGTAATGTTACATTGCCTCTAATGTTGTCTTGCAGGACCATAACTAGTACCTACCTGACATCCAGTCCATTCAGTTTGAGAAGATGGTCTCCAACCTTTAACCCTGCCCTGTCAGACGCACTTCCTAAACAACAAAACAGCACAACGATTAGAATATAATCCTCTATCTTACACTCCAATCAATAATGTCTTTTGTATGAAAGTGTTTGAAAAAGAATACTATAAGAAGATACATAATATAGATATTTCAGCCAAAAAAAGTTTGAAATTCTCTCAACCTTTTTAAATGCCTCTGCTTAGATGACCAAAATTAGCCTAATTTATTATCAATGGTGAATGCTTCAGTGATGACAAATGTAAATCATATGTCTAGCCAATTGAGGACACACACTTCAGAAAACAATTGCCAAGGACTCTACATGCTAATTGACCTCTTGGGTAGTCAAGCGTACACAGTCACGTATACATTTCCCTCTTTAATAAGAGGAGGATTACTAAACTTAAGGCTCTTTGTTTTAGCATCTATGGATCATTGATTGGCGAAACATAAAAGGAATCCAATGCAATTTCAGGGAAAGAGAAAAATCCATCCTCTCACCTGGTTCAATGCTCTCTATGTAGACAGGTGAATGACCTCGTAGGACAAACCCAAAACTAGCCTGGCCCTTTTCTATAACAACCGCCCTGCAAGAATTAAAAAAAAAAAATTAGCATGAAAAACAAAATGACAATGAAAATTCTGATGTATTCACTGACATATGAACTTAGAACCATGCATGACATGTACCTGGTTTTCCAAGACAACTTCCTTTCCTTCTGTGGGGAGGGGAGAATGGACTTCCGAGACGAGGTCCTGCTAGATCCACGAGATGACACCGTAGATGAGTCCCAGGATGGTTTGTTGTCTCTACCGCGCTGTTCCAGCTCGCGGATGACCTCCCTCCGCAGGGTGAGCATGTCCTGTGACACCAGGTAGTCAAACCTGCCGCGATGGCGCTGGGGAACAAATATCCTGCGGAAAATTCATGTAATATTACATTCAGGAAATTGTACTATCATGAGGGAAATAAGCTTTATGAATGGCTAAAAATGGCAATTCTCCTATTGTGATGGGTCACAATACTTCTTTAGACTAGGCATTATGGCTAGCTTTGAGGCCAGGTGTGATGTAACGTTATATCATCTTAGAAGTGGAATATGTTGCCATGGCAACAACAATAAGCTTGGAGGCCAGGTGTGATGTTTCTCAACCATAGTATAGTACTTGTTTCTTTACTACAGTACTGCTCGATTACAAACTGGAAGATTTAAGATACCATACCTATATGTCAGTCTTTTCTTAAAATTGTACAATTTATTGTTATATTATACTATTAGTTTACATCAAATTGGCGACTATGTTTAGTGCAGACTTATTATCATGCATGTATATGTAAAGTGCAACCATTTAATATGTTTTAGACACATGGGAATGCAATTCCATGGCTAAAATGGTTTTAATTTATGGCTTTGAGATATTGCAAGGCTGACCTTTATGACCTACTTATAGTGTATCTGGGACTTTTCAAATGTACATGTCACAATTACATAAAACATTATTTACGTGTATGTACTTTTCTCTTATGTTATACTCAGTGACATATTTTTACAATCTTACATTACAAAACACAGAAACTAAAAAAAGCAGAAATTGTGCATGTAACACAGTCTGAATTTAACAAAATATGGTATTCAAAACTAGAAAAAAGTACAATTTGCAAAAGCTACAAAACCATGATATTGTATATACTTCATGATATAACATTACAGTTGTACATGTAGCTGCAAAATCAATGTGATTCCAAATCTTACTAACTTAAAGGTTCATGTCCATGCATGTATTGTAAATTATACAAAACATTCCATAGCCTACAGGCATATACAGTGTTCCACTGGCTGGGCATGATTGTTCTCTGTCAGCTGATGCCATCAACAGCTGTGTGTTCTTTCACTTCAGTGACATTGAACTACAAAAACAAACCACCAGTCCTACCCCTTTCCCTGTGAAGCGATTTTCGTCCCTACTTCCAGTCGAGGAACCATCTTGAATTTGCGGGCTTTCTTGGCGGCCATCATTTCTCCGTCCAACAGTGTTCTTAAGACGACATCCTGTCGGCGTGTGTCACAGGAATTGACGTCCTACTTAAGTTCATCAAAAATTCATGATGGTCCCCTTTGTCTTGTCTACCACATGGTTATTATACCACACCTTTCTTCCCCTCATTTTTGGGGTCATTTTTCCTTTTGTATCAAAATTTAAAACCTTATCAAGGCCTGCAACTTACTAGAACATTAAAAGGCACTATAGACTATCCTTCAAAGAATAGAATCATTGCTGGCATTTTTGGTGTTAGAATGTGCAATGACCTTTCGCGGCATTGTGTTGTCCCTGAAAAGTGACACAATGTCTCATGGGACGATAGTCATTTCTTGGTTGCTGTGAGGTAGTCTATCCTGTCACCAATGACGTGAGAATTCACATTGAGGATCTTATTTCTATATAAGCTAGAAAATTGCTACCATTTTATTCAAATTGAAGCCATTCTTATGCAAGGAAATAAAGCCAGGCCTTTTGTACATTTTACGACCACAGACATTGCTAGCAGACATTTCAGGTGACTTCACCTGTCAGTTTCAGTCCAGGTGAGGCGCTGAGCAGCTGCAATTTGCCTGAATACCAAATGAGCATCACTCCAACATGCATACGAAATGAGTCTGTAAATTAGTGTAATTTCATTAGCTATAATGGTCCCGAGAGAGAAGATATTTTCACGTTCATTTTATGACGTGACCTTCCTGTTTTTCTTGTATTTGATGATTGTGCATCTTATCTACCAGTGAGCCATAACATAATCCCAAGTGCATTCTTCATAGGGATTTTATCTATTGTGAACCATGTTGTGCAGCACTTGAATGACAAAATTGTCATTACAGTATTGTTATATTAGGATAAAATTATTTACAAGGTACTTCAGTTGAAAAGAAAGTTTCAGGTTTCAAATATGACAGATATTTTGTGATGGTCCCAGGAAAACTTTATCCCTAGATGACCTTTGCATGCTGAAAATGTCAGGGACATTTCTTGTTATTTCATCTATCATTTATCACCTTTCGTATTGCCTTGGTTATCTTCTTTTTAACAAAGGGACAATACTGTAAGGATGTAAATTCTATTTCCTTTTCTTTTTTTTTCTCCATACCTGATGTCACTGAGTAGTTTCCTATGCGCAGACTCGGTGAGTAAGAAGGCCAGCGCTCTGCCGAAGGTTTCCACGTTTTTGTCGGAGGCGTAGTCCCGTAACAACTGCATCAACTCTTCCTTCCGATCAGGGTCATCTTCCAACACAACATTCACCTGCATGGAAACAAAGATTAAAAACAAAGTGCTTTAGACAAAAGTTTTTCAAAGTGGTGGATATGCAGACAAGTGAGAATGAATTTCAAAGTTAAGTCCATTCTATTTGATAAATGCAGCACCCCCATTTTTTCAGGGAGATGTTCAATGTGACCTCAGTGAGATTTTGATAAAAGAGCCTCAGCATAGAATCAAATTGAATGTAAAATTCAACAAATTAACACACGATTTAGGATTCTGTTACAATAAACAACTGTTACTGTGAATAACTTAGTAGAGTAGTTTTTTCCTTGCGTTAATATTGGTTTCTTATGTTGTTCTTACCATATCAACTTATGATTTGACTAATGGAAATGTATTTTTTGTTGAATACGATATGTTTTTGATTGTCTTACTTTATTGTTTAGATATTTAGTTTGCCGTGTTAACTTTATATTATCTTGTTTGAGTTAATTTTCTCTTGTTTGTCCCTTAAGACATGCATGTTAATTGTTAACGTAAGTAATGTTGTAAATATGAGATCATCAACAGGATTTGGGAGAGCCCACTAGATAAACCTCCTGGTTTCTTGGGCTCTCCTGCATGTATTTGATTGTACATAATTTCTTTTTATACCATTACTTTTTTTATGTGCGAAAGGACAATAAACAATAAACAAAACAATAAGAAATTGCAAGTTGGTCTCTACCAAAAGTCTGTCATAAATTTGAATTTATCAGGGTCTACTTGAGGTAACCCTAGTGACAGCACCTTACCAGCTGTAATCTGTGGCTATTTCTGTTTAGCGACAATGTCCCTCAGTCACGACAATGAACGACATTGACCTAACCCTGGCCTTGAAGATATATATTTGGTGTAATAGCTATTCTCCTTGGAAGTTGGAGCCATCTAGTCTAGAATGTTGTGAACTTCTAGAGTCATTTCATTATTGAGTGATGTTGGTAAAAGTTTAATTTAAAAAATAATAAATGAATAAAAATGAAAATAACTGAACAAAAAAGCATTACCGGAAATTAACTTCAAACAAAAAATTCAACACTCCTGGATTGGGAAGTGTTCCTCAGCTTCCTGAAGTCCCCTATCGATTCTGAGACCTTTGGCCACCTGTCATTCTGTCTGTCAATCTTTCCCACCAAACCTGCTCAGCCTATGACCCACAAAAAATTATACTTCAGATTACCCCGGTATTCTGCACCCAGAAGTACCAGTTAAGCATAGAAACAAACCTTTGTAAAGAAGTTGACTGCTTTATTGTGTTTCCGGATGCTCCTGTCGCTTCTCATCCCGGGTTCTCTTGGAGACTGCATCACCACCGGCGGCGTACTCACGCCCTGCTTCCCTCCCTGCCCAGGAATGATCGCTAACCTCAGCACATCCCGTCCGCTGCGAATCATCCGGTTGGCCGCATCCATGTGTCGCATCGACACCCCGTTAATTTCCAGCAGCATGTCCCCCGGTTTCAGTCCGGCGTGTACGGCAGGGCTGTTTTTGGCGACACCTTGTATGTACACCGGTCCCGTTCCACGAAACAACACTCCGTAGTTACCCTTTGGGTCTGGCACGAGTTCTAGATGTCGGATTCTGGAGATCACGCCCAGACTGGGAGGGACCTGCTCGCAGTGTTTGGCGAGCGCCATGATGCCCTCCCGTGACATCATGGTGACATCGTGCCCGTCAAGTTCTACAATCTGGTCTCCGGGCTGCAATCCCGCCTGCTGTGCCAGGCTCTTGTCTGACACGGCCACGATGTAACATGGCACGTTCCCCTCGATACGGAAGCCAAAAGCTTCGGGCCAACCCTCGTTACTGGTCATTTTCATTCCTGTAGTGTAACAGAACAAAATGACTTGAGTTAGAATCTTAAGTGACACTGAAAATAACACATAAATGATGCATTAGTGTCTATGGTCATACTTTCCATAGTTTGAGGCCTTGTTACCTTCAAAGACCATTGTCCAGACAGATTATATGGAAATTGTTTGAAATGACCCAAAGTACAAAAACATCCAGGACCTTTAGCAAAGCGTCCTGGGAAATCGTTGTTGTGCCTGTCTTTCCCTTCTCGACCAACCAAATTAGACTTTCCGTACTTGTCAATTGAATTATTCTTGGCACTCTTAACACAATGGATTAAAGAAAAAAGTTATTGTGAAACAGTAGCACTACACACACATTCCTAGCTAAATCAAATTGTCTACCAATCCAACCAGAAATTAAAGAATGCTGGCCAAAGGACGTTGAACTTAATACATGATTGTGTATACAGTTGTGTATTTCTAAGACTCTGGCCTTATTTTGTCCAATAATTACAGATGATGTTCGTAAGACTAGCACTAAATAGACATTTCAAGCACCCTTTAACAGCCTCTAACATCCCAGCTGTGTGTCTACAGTGTGTTTATTGTATTGATCCTGGAGTCAGAACAAATAAAACTCAGGTCCTCTGGCCGCTGGTGAAGTATTGTAAGGAGGTCAAGGGTCACAAGAGCACTGAAAAGGTCAGATCTGCAATTTTTGGCATGTCTGACTAGAAGGACAAAGTCCAAAATTGAGTCTGTAATCTTCTACTGTTATGGGCTTCAAAGAAGATGAAGAACTGTATAAAACATGTATCAGGCATACTGGTATTCTTTGTGAATCATATTCACAGTGAATCATTATAATTCATTGTGAACTGCCAAAGAAGACCCCTCAGGGGACCGATAAAATCTGTTCTATGTGAACAGGTGGTCACTAGTACTGTAGACAGGATTCTTCAGCTGGTGTCTATCGATGGGTAAAAACATCTTACCACCAACAAAGTTGTCACAAATAAAGACTTAGATAGTGATTCTTATGTACTACTAGACAGGACTGAATACTCAATCGACATATGAATCTCAGCGAGTTACATGTCTTACAAATGTAGGTCATCATAATCATCTTAATAAAAGGCATAACAATGAAGATAAGAGCATTTTTCCTTAATTAAAATAGTAAAAAGAATTGTCTGCAAAATACCTTCAATCCGACAAGTCCAATAGACTTCAAGGTAGCACGTAATTTCCGGTGGCTGATTCAGATTTCCCCATTTCGATGTTATTGGTACTTTTAAATGACTCAAACTTACACAACATCGCCTGACAGCACACAGTGATTTACTGGTCTTTACTTAGGGCGGACCAGTTTATGCGTCTTCGCCCAACACCTTTTTGCCCTCCTTTTGCCAAAAGGACAAACAAAGTCAACAGAGGTCACAAAACAAACACAAAGAACTAACAGTAGCGAACGTGCGTTGGGGGGAAACATCTTCGGACCAAAGGCCATTGCACGCCCCCCGCCGACATGCCTCGCTGCGGCCCCCTGCACACGAATCCCGCGTGCAAGTTTGCGACATCAAACACTGCCGAGCCTGAACGCAAATAAGTCGCCTTTAGTCCACTTGCCGGCCTTTTAACTAAAGCCCAGATAATCACACCTTACAAATACACAGTGACTTTACAATCTCTACTCACTTATAATAACAGAACTGGACAGCAAATTTCTATAATTTGCATGACTTTTTTTGTTCTTTATTGATATATCTGCTGATTGTTTGCTATTATCTAATAGAGGCATGGTTCAGTTCACAATTTTTCTAATTGTAATGCTAATAATTTGATGTTGTAGACATATGCAAATGAGAGTGATTAATCATTAAGTGCCATTATCACTTGTGGGGCTGACATTATCACTGGTGTGTGCTTGGTCAGCTGAACTGTCCTTCAGAGAGAATAGCCCAGATAACACTCATCAAACAACTCTGCATAGCAACTGTCCCAAAACTAAAAATCTCAGTAACTAGTAAGCAAAATGGTTACCTGACAGAATCCTTCAACACACATTATACAAAGAAGGCCAGAAACTTTGACAAATAAACACAATTACTGGTACTCATTGACAAATAAACTCAATTACAAGTCTAAGCATTATCATGATTCATTTGAAAATTGTATAATTAATACTGTACATAGAATATGATTGGAGGAATTTACATGGTGTTTCACAAAGCCTTTCAGAATCAAGTCACTACTTTTATATTATAATTTAGGAATTTGGCTCTAGAACAAAATTTTACTTCACTGTACATGTATAATATCGGCAATACCATGTGAACCTGGTTCAACAATTCTTTCATGAGCTTCTATAGAGATGGATTCCTAAAAGACTTCAGGTGTGACCTAATATTACATTGAACATTTGTGTCAGACAAATACAATATCTTTAGTCAGCCACCATACTCAATGTATAAAGGGCAAAGGTCATCACGAAAGTATGTTGTGAGGCGAACAACAAAGAGTTAAATGGCCAATAGCTCATCAAATATTTACAACCAAGCCAGCTTGCATTATCCTTAGTCGTTAGATAAAGATATATGCAGTCACAAGGTATACATTCAGTAATATTTAGCATTTTTGCATTGTAAAATGTTTCAAATTCTGAAATTTGTTTTCTACCACAAGGAAACTGTAAACTATTTGAAGATGCAATCGTGATGACCAAATATTTGTGGAATGCATCACGCTACGTGTGGAGTTGTTAAAGGTTTACGGTTTATTTGCAGAGTGGGTTAAAGTCCCCTTTTTCGCACCCATTGTGTGAATCATCAATTATATACTTGTGGGACCTCGTTTGGTGACACATAATGTTAACATAATGATCACTCATTGAAAACTGTCAAGGAGAGCCAGCGTAATATGTATATCTCTGTCATGTATAACTAGGACACTGCAAAATATTTATCAGAAAACAGAAAAAGGCTAGGGATTCTGGCTTTAACCATCCTGTCACCTTATAACCCTCCAAATACAAATTTGTTATTTTGCTAAGAAAAACAGTAACAGCATCTTGATTTCAGCTATATGCATATGACTACAAATGAATATACACTTCAACATAGTCCCAATAAGTCAGCTAAGGAAAAAAAGGAAACATAACATAACATAAGGCAATATGCCTTTTGCATTCTCATTTCAACCATATTTCAATATTTAATAATTTGACTCAATAACTTAACAAAGGGTTAAAAACGGTGCCTATACTAACCTAGAAATTCAAGTTCACAATAGCTAATAGCTTCTACAATATTGTTATTCTCACAAGCTTCATGTGACCAGGTGGAACATTTCAATGGCATTCAACCAAACATTTCTCACTAGAAAGCCATAATCCACAAATCCAACTTCAAAACCTGTACCAAAACCATCCATCCAAGTTGAAAAACAACAAAAATCGGCTTTTAGCATCAAACTTACCTTTTAAACAGAACATTTTTGCTATTGCAGAGAGAGCTTGGGACCTGGACCAACTCGACAGGTGCATAGCTGCACTTGTGTTTTGTATTCTACCCCGTCCTGAGGGTACGAAACACGATACGCCACAGAAAATTCATGCATGGAGGAAAACATTCTTCCCTGTTGGCTACTAAACCCTTAGGAACAGCAGAATCTCTGTGTCAAAAGGAACTGAAAGGAACAAAAGGTATTCAAAAGACAAAGAGAAAGGAAAACAAAAATAACTCAACGAGCATTCAAAGACTTGAATCACAAAAATTTTGACAAGGCTTCTAAGCATATACATGTATTTAAGACTCAACCACCGTTGTCCTATTTTTAGGTCAGATTGTTGTGTTGTGTTGTGTGAGAAACAATTCTTTCTGGACTTGGCCTGATGAGTATGCTGATCATGTGAAGAAGTTCATGTTTGCATTGAGGACATTTTACGAGCACCTTTTTGTACATCTTAACTCCTTCTTTAGGTTATGATACATGCGGCAACATGCCTGTATTATGATCCTGAACATTTTACATAATATAGTACGTCAGTTTGCAACTTATTCACTTCATTGATTCAAACGTAGGGTCAGAACGATACGATTACAGGATCCTGGGAAGGAGAGCTGGCAATTCAGAAACCACCTGTCGGATTTTCCAAAAATATTTCCCATGATCCCTCAGAAGTAGCTTTCAGTAACCAGCTGTGCTGATATAGGTCAAGAAATACAGTCCTCAACCTCATTGGTCAGGTCATAGCGGTTGTATTTCAGGATACTGGTATGAGAGCAACCACCTGTTGGATTATCAGATATATCTCCCATGATTCCTTAGTATTACTAGTTTTGGAAATGTGCAGAGGATAACCTGTAGGTAACTATAATAATAGGTAAAAAAACATTAAAAAAATGAACTTCAAGTAATCATCAAAGGATTATATTCTGGACAACAGGAAAGAAAACAATTTTCCAACCACCTGTTGGATTTTCAGAACTTCTGGTATGTTCCCTGACTTGTACATACATGTAGAAGCAAGCCTGTTTCAGTGATGCAGTGGCCAAGTGGGCAAAGTGTTCGTCTTGCATTCAGTAGGTTGTAAAAGAGAGCAATAATAATTTCAAATCCACCTGTTTCATTTTAACATATGTCCCATGGCTTTTATATGGGCAGTGTGTGTATGTGTAGGTCAGAAAACAAGTGTTTGACTTGGTCAGTTCAAGCAGCCCGGTCACAACGATCACATTACAGGACACTGGGAAAGAGAGCGAGCAATTCGGAAACCACCTGTCGGATTCTCGAGAATATGTGAAAATTATGACACTCAATCCGTCCACACAACAATGATCAGAAGTGGTACTAGTATCCAGATGTTTTAATTGCCATAATATTTGACCAATATGGCGGTCATATAGGCATGACAGGGTGGAGTTTTTGAGGAATAACTTCCGTTAATACCCCTGCATCTATGGCCGGAGCTCCTGTGTAGTTGGGTTGAAAAGGGTGACAACACATGCCACTTCACGGCTCTTATGGTATAAAGGGGGAAGAGAAGGGTGCTTAACTACGGGATAAGTCATGTGGCGAAAGCCATTCAAAAACCTTTTGTTTACTAAGGCCTGGTTAAGTGTATTTTTGTCTATCGATCCTTTTTTTGAAATAATTTCTTTATTCACAAACTTTCTGTGTGTGCATGTTTTAATTACATTCTAAATTTTGTCTGAGCATGTATACACGCAAAAATTAATAAGGTATACGTGACTCACTAACCATCACTGTACTACGCAAAGAGGCAACTCTTGTTTTTGTGTTGTCCAGTTCCACAGTTTGTTTGTTATTTACTCAGGAGGAAGTGGTCCGCAGTGGTTGCCAGGAGACTTTGAAACAGTAAATGTTAATTAGGCAGTAATGTCGAGGACGGTTTGAGGAATACAACACATGAATTTGTATTGTTCATCAAATAATTGTATAGAGTTGCATGTAAGAAACAATTGTAGATGTTGAAAAGTTGACATTGGCACAACCAACCTTTGCACAGATACTAATAAAATAATTACTAAAGAATAGGTTTACAAGAATGTTACAAATGAGAAAAACAGTAATATCACAGTCGTATAATGACAGAAAAAGATACATTTGTATTATTTTCTAACTGTTATAAGGAAATGCCACATTAAATCAAGACGGACGTCAACTTCAAGGATAATGTTTAACTGTATGTGAATAGATTCATCAGGTTTCACTACTTTTTGGATCCTTATTACTCGGAGTCTGTACATGACAGGAAATTTACTGTAGCAGTTGTTCCTGAGGGGACATATATCTCTAACATACACTAAATCTTCCTTAAATAAGCATTTCAGGCGTTTAAAGTGTATCTCACTTTGTGGGGGTCTTAACAGGCTTGTTACATGTTATGCAACTACAAAGAGGCCGTGTTTTGAAACTAAACAAGCCCGTGTTATTCTTTGCTGATGTTTCAGAGCATGTCCTAACATGGCCGTATCACATGTCTCTGAACACTCCAAGGCACACGGCACGTAAACACATGTCAGGGCGGTATACTCTTAAAGCCATCCAATGCAATTTCAGGGCAGTAAAACAAAAAAGAAATTCTGGATGTGGAAATCTGTCTGATACTTATAATTACATGATTTACTGCTATTTCTTAGCACATTTTTGTCATTATTTCACACTTCAGGCAATTGAAATAGCCCGAAAACAAGTTTCTTTTCTTTTTTTGGAACCGCCCATAAATAGCTAGCACGATTCTGACGGATGTTTCTAGACTTAATAGGCAAAAATGACTTGTCTTCAATTACTGTCACTGTCAGTGTCAAATTGAATTAATTTATTCTTAGAAAATCAATATTAACCTAAAACAGGTATACTAACTTTAAGTATATCTGCATATATCTAAATATTGATTGCATTCATTCTACAGTCCAGAATATGATATAAATTCTATCTAGGATAAGTTTATGTTGACCATGCAGTTTATCACACCAAATAGCATAATTCATAATTAATGTACTCCGTAAAACTAAAGTAGAATTGTCATCATATAGAAAATCAATAGGCTTTGTTTGAACTAATTACCTTTCCACTCCATTACTTTAATTATTCATGGTGGAAAAATAGTGATATTTCTTTGTAATACAGCATCCATCATAGCAGCACTGTAGGAAACAGTGACTATCTTGGGATAGAAAATATGATGCATGCAATAGAGACTAAAATAATAAGTATCAAATGTTTTAAAATAATTTACTCTAATATCAATTTTGATATTTCATCATAACCCACTCCTTTTTTACATTTCAAAGCTATACTTCGTTTCTTTCTTTTTTTTTTTTTTGCTGCTTTCTTCTTGAACCCTTTAGTAATCCTTTATTTGTTTGGTTTGAACATAAGATATTAAGCAGTAACTTTTCATCACACTTAAAGTTTTCAGTGTATTTCAAGGACAGTTAGGTAATTCTTCTTTTAATCTGTTATCTCTGACATACTTAATAAAAAATGTAAAACACACTTGATAATATTAGCAAAGTTACTGGTGCCATGTCTTCAACTGTTGCAACATTTGCATGACGCAGTCTTTGCAACCTCAAATTGAACTTTGGTAAAAGTTGACAAGGCTGGCAAAACCTCTGTACCCTAAACTTAGTAACACAGCAAAGTAACAACTCATCAAATAATCCATATTCCAAATGTATAAACTGCAATAAAGGTTTCAAAAGTATAATATTGTTTATAAAGAACACTAAAATAAAGCATTTGAAACTTTTTTACGAGCAAATTAAGATCTTAAGTGTATGATATAAAACGTAGTCTTCCGACTACCACTAATGACTTGCCTTTTGTACCGCGCCCAAACAGCTGTTGCTGCAAAAAGTTCGCGCCAAGGAATCCCCGAGTCTTCTACCGGCTCCTAGTGGACAGTCTGGCGGCTTAGCGGGCCATCCGAGCCCGTCAGCGGGTCTGTCGCGGCCCCGGCACCGTTAGATTGTCCCCTTAAGTACTGGTTGTACAGTTCGCCACCCTTAAATGGAGCTGATACCTGGGCTTGTCTCTGGGCCGTCCTGTCCCGTTAGATTTCACATACACACCTGGGCGATACCATTCATGTGGGGGAGAAACAACCAAATATTGATGCAATACAATATAGACTTATCAAAAATCTAGTGACTCACCTACTAATCATGTAGAAACACTAAATCAACATCATAATATACACCTGATTAATGATTTGTGTTGTTATTATTTGTGTAGCAAAAAAAAGGCACCCCGTTTGTACTATGGAATATTCGTCTATCACGTGGCGTCATGTGGGGTGAGAGGTCAAAAACCCGGAAGTGACAGAAGAGAGTTCGAGAGTTGAACAGGTGGGGCAAAACGTGACAACAAACGACTCTAAATCGTCATACAGGTGTTGTTTTTACTCTGTTTGCTTTAACTGTGATCTTTTGTGTGCCTCGTAAGTGTGTAGGTCCACGTGTGATGGGTTTTCATAAGCTGAATGTTGAGTAAATCGTTCATGAAAAAGCTAAGAAAATGTAGTTTGCAAAGTAACATGAAATATTGAAACAATTTCTAAAAGTATCACATGCCAAAGGTGGTCGAGAGTTTAAAATTGACAAGTTATGTTTTGATTAGGATTAGGACTTAAGGGTACAAAGAAATTATTTGGATGGTGTTGTGCATGTATAATGCTTGTCTGGCTGGACAGAGTAGGTTGACAGCATGGGGGGAGGGGGGAGACACTGGAGAAATGGGTCTGAGTCTGGAATCTCTGCTTTCTTGTTCTAGACAAGAAGAAGAATGGACTTCCTCCTGCTGTCCACCCTGTACTTGGGTGTGTTCATCGTCCTGACATACGTACTCTGGTTTGGGAACAGTTCATTTCACAGGCGGGGCTATGTGGGCAAGCTGAGGAGGACAATCATTAAGGTAAGACATTTCCAGACTTAAAATGTATTTTTAAAAAATCATGTAATTCTCTTGAAGGCTTGAGTACCATACATGATCATACATACGTAGTTGTCTAGTGTGAAGTTTGTTACTTAGTGTGTAGGCAAGAAAATCAACAATTACAACATAAGTGTGTGTTTGTGTCATGTTTCATGTAGCATTTATATTAGCCCAACTTTTTAAAATCCAATATTACATTGAGTAACTAGAAAAGGCATATGTTAAAGTGTAATCAAGATTAAACTGTTGGTTTTGATATCTTGCTGTTGCTATTCCTGTTGTTTTGTAGGGAAGCTACTGGTGTTTCCACCATTGTCTACCATCCATTTTTAGAAGACAGATTGAAAACCTGTGGCTCTACGCAGCTTACACAAGGTACAGTACAGTGCAGTATAACCACAACTACTGTATGTGGCACAAATTCTTAATTGGAAAATGATTTACTTGAATATCAATAGTATACCACAAATTAGCCGTGGCGACTATTGATTCGGGCTTACATTGCATTACCCTCAGCAATAGTCGTGGAAAGATCCATTGGCAGAACTGCACATTTCCCGTTGGCTGCTCGATGCTCCGTTTTTGACCCGGTTTTTTGCTGTCCCGAGCTTCCCTACAATATAACTCCACAATTGGCCGGGTTGCCGATGTTTAGATCAGCCTAAATATTCCACAGCGCGACAGAAAAGTAGTAAAATAGCTAGTCGGCACAAGCTGGCGCCATCTTGGATATAGTCGGGAATGTCCGCTACCGCCGTCGGGAACACTCGGTAGCCTTTCCGGTTATAATCGGAGAGCTTTCGGTCGGGCTTCGGTAATCGTGACGCTTCCCGACGGCGGTAGCGGACATTCCCGACTATATCCAAGATGGCGCCAGCTTGTGCCGACTAGCTATTTTACTACTTTTCTGTCGCGCTGTGGAATATTTAGGCTGATCTAAACATCGGCAACCCGGCCAATTGTGGAGTTATATTGTAGGGAAGCTCGGGACAGCAAAAAACCGGGTCAAAAACGGAGCATCGAGCAGCCAACGGGAAATGTGCAGTTCTGCCAATGGATCTTTCCACGACTATTGCTGAGGGTAATGCAATGTAAGCCCGAATCAATAGTCGCCACGGCTAACCACAAATCACTGTACAAGTCTCAGTGATTCAAGAAAACAGCTTCACTCCTGGTCTTCTTTTCTTTTTACTTTTAACTATGTATGTCAGTATTTGGGGCGCAGAACCAAATCAGTTAATTGACTGCACGGAAATGACTTCTGACCTCTGACCCGAGGTCACATTTGGTTTCCGTTCTTATCGTGCTGTTACTGCAGCCACTCTAGAAAATCCTCGAAAAAATCCTCAAAAATTCTCGTTCAAATCCGACAATTTTTCGGAAGATATGGCTCCCAAACGTTCGAAGAAGTGTCCAGGATGCCATTTGGACGTCGCCCTGCACAAATCGGGCGTTGCTGGCAAGGATTGCACGGGGATTCTGGAAGACAACGGCGCTGTGGGTCAAGGCATGCAAGGCACCATGGCCGAGCTACAACAGCGCAAGGCAGAGCTTACTCAGCGCCTAGAGTTGAAGAAGCTTCAGCGGGAAGTGGATGCGCTTGAGAAGGAATTGGCCACAGACACCACTACAACCTCGCCACTTCCTACGGCCAAGGACGGGAGCAAGACGGACGAAACTCAAGACGATGAACGCAAGCATGTGGATTTCGGGCAAGCAGACATTACGTTAGCCCAGCTCCGCGAGGATGCCGCGCTTCAGAGCCTCGTATCCACAAAGTATGGGGATCTTGTCGGCGCGGGCAAGAAGCCAGAGAAAGGTAAGGCAATCCTATCTCCTGAGTCTTTCGTCCATAGTTTTCATTCAGCGGAAACGAAGAAGTATGACGAGCTCGAGATGGAAGAATTCCTGGCTGGCTGTATGGGTTTATTGCGCAATCCCGGCCTACCCTCCTATGAACTGATGGGGCGCATAGCACTGTTGGAATATACGTGTAACAAACTGGCTAGGTACGACTGGACCGTGGTTCGGTCTTTTCATGCAGCGGCGGTCAAACAAGCGCTCCGGAAGCCAGGCTCATGGTCGGACGACTGGGTAGCCCTGAAGGAGATTTACTTTGATGCCGATCCGCTCAAGATCAAGCCTGCCGGGTCCGCCGCGCGTCGACAGCCCAAGAAATCCGATCCTCCACGCTTCTGCTTTCGGTTCTCTAGGAACGAGTGCGCCGCTGATACGTGTCGTTTTGACCACCTTTGTTCTTACTGCTGGAACAAGACCTCGCAGAGGTTCAAACACTCAGCCGCTGACTGCCACAGGAAGCAAGCCGAAGAGAAACGCGCTTCATCTACCGATAACGGGGCCAACGTCAAGTCGTCTTCCGCATGACTACTTCCGGACATGCAACATTCTGTCAGCGACAATTTGCAACATTCTGTAAGTGACAATTTGCAACATTCGGTACGTGACAATTTGTTATCTAGTATTTCATTGTATCCCGATCTCATCGACCAGTGCACTTCTGGCTTCTTCTCGGATTGCGACATGAACGTTGTTTATCTTAGCGATAGTGTTACGCAAGAGTGCTTATCACAGCCGGGCTCTTCAGACGTGTCGGAGCCGTGTAGTTTACTTACTGCAGCACGTGCTGTCCCCTCACAAGAGGATTTATTGTTGTCAAATCTCCGCACGAGCGGGTCGGCTCTGGATGAGCCAGTGTCTCCAGTTATTTCCTCACACGAGGATGTATTGTTGTCAAATGTCCGCACAAGCGGATCGGACTTGGCTCGGCCAGCGTCCCGAGTAATTTCCTCAGGTGAGGATGTAATGTTGTCAGATCTCCGCACGGGCGGAATGGACTTCGATTCTTCTGTCAAGTTATTGAATGAACTCAGCGTACGTACGTTCGTCACGGATTTCCCCACGGATCGGCCAACACCCAGCGTAGTGGACTTCGCGAGGCATGCTCGGGTTCGACAGTCAGGCGTACCCAATTTTAAGTCCGAGCGCATTCCAGTACCCACCAAGCTACACGTTTCCGCCTGGCGAGGTCTCCTAGATGGTTTTCATGACACTGTCTTATGTGACTTCCTGGAGTTCGGCTTTCCAGTTAATTACGAGTCATCCGCGCAACCGCGAGTGCCGCGCACCAACCACCCCTCGGCTTTGCAGTACTCCAGTCACGTGGACAGGTTCATCAGCACTGAGTTGTCGCACGGAGCAACAATCGGGCCGTTGTCGCCGGCCACGTTCAGTCCCGGTTTGGTGTGCAATCCGTTGCAGACGGTGCCAAAGAAAGCCTCTCCGGATCGTCGCATCGTAGTGGACTTTAGTTACCCGCCCGGGTCTTCAGTTAACGACGGGATACCCACCGGGACCTATCTCGGTCAGCCGCATCGGCTTCGCTACCCCTCCATGGATGATTTCGTTGCGTTAGTTGTCAACGCCGGCCCAGGATGTCTCATGTTTAAACGTGACCTTCGCCGCGCATACAGACAGTTGTTCGTGGACCCTGCAGATTATCACCTGTTGGGATTCTCCTGGCGTGGTTACGATTACGCGGACGTGGTCTGCCCCTTCGGCTTACGTTCTAGCGCACAGGCGTGTCAGCGCACGACTGACGCCGTCGCGTTCATATATAATAGATGCGGATTTCGTTGTGTCAACTACTTGGACGATCTCGGCGGCGCAGACTCTCCGCACAGGGCCGAGTTAGCGTTCGATACTTTAGGTCGGCTATTACGGTACCTCGGACTAATCGAGGCGGACGACAAAGCCACGCCGCCGTCCACTCGTATTGTCTTTCTCGGTCGCACAGTGGACTCTATTCGCATGACTATCGAAGTGACACCGGAGAGACTTTCCGACACGTTGGCCGAGTTGGACCGTTGGCGTGTCAAGACCAGTGTTCGCAGACATGAAGTTGAGTCTCTGTTGGGAAAGCTACACTTCTTGGGGTCGTGCGTGCGACCTGGAAGATTGTTCGTTTCACGGATGATATTGTTCCTGCGACGCTATTCGGATCGTCACCAGCGGCTGAGTATAGACTGTGAGTTTCGCAAAGACCTTCTATGGTGGTCTACGTTCCTACCTTGTTACAACGGTGTCTCCTTAATTCCGCGGACCGGCTGGACGGAACCCGATGCTGTTTTCAGTTCAGACGCCTGTCTGACAGGCTGCGGCGGCTTTCTCCGATCCACAGCACTGGGGAATACTTCCACGCCACTTTTCCGCCTTCCGTGCTCGCGTCAAACCCTTGCATCAACAGTTTGGAGCTACTGTCCATCTTGGTTTGCGCACGGCTGTGGGGCAAACACTGGGCCGGCAGCAGGATAGTAGTCATGTGTGACAATGAAGCATCGGTTACTGTGTTGAACTCTGGCCGGAGCCGCTCCCCGTTCTCCAACCTGCTTACGGAATCTGTGGCTCTGTGCGGCCGTAGGACAGTTCGAGCTTCGCGCCATTCACATCCCTGGCCTCGAGAATCGCCTTGCTGATCACCTCAGTCGCTGGACGTCTTCCAACTACCACCAGAACGAGTTTCTGCGTTATCAGCACACATGCACGCCTGTGAGGTAGAAGTATCGTTGCATCAATTCGATTTACTGACTCAGTTGTAATTTTACAGGTCTTCACACGCAGCTTCAGCGCTTGGACAATGACGTCGAGGCGGCCAAGAGGTCTGCATTTGCCGCTGGTACCTACGCTAACTTACGGACTCAGTGGACAGCGTTCCTGTTGTTTTGTGAGTATTTCCGGCTTCCAGCCATTCCCACAGACGCGAGGACTCTGACCAGATACGCTCAGTTCCTCTCACGCTCATTGAAGAGCCCCGGCACGGTCCAGATCTACATCCACGGTGCCAGACTGCTCCAACGATTCCAAGGGTGCGAGCCTCCCCCGTCTGACGCGTTCGAGCTACGCCTTGTCCTTTCCTCGTTCCGCCGACAATCCCCGCACATTCCGCAGCGTACACTTCCGATCACTCCGGCTATCCTCCTGCGGCTGCGGGATCATCTGGATCTAAATAGACCGCTTCATGCCACCTTGTGGGCGGCGTACACCGTTGCCTTCTTCACACTACTTCGGAAGTCGAATCTCGTGCCTAAGACGACGTCTGCGTTTGACCCAGGCAAGCACCTGACTCGGGGTGCTATCCGCGTCACTTCGGACGGACTTGTGGTGCGTATAACATGGTCCAAGACTCTACAGTTCAAGCAGAGGGTCCTGCTGCTTCCTGTGCCGGCCATCCCCGGTCATCCCCTGTGCCCACGACACGCGTACGTCAACATGTGCAGCCTCCTCCCGGTTGGATCGGACTCTCCAGCCTTCCTCGTACCGGGCTCGGCGGGCAGGTTGGTATCATTGACACATGCCTCTCTGGTGGCACATCTCAAAACTCTGCTCGCGGCCGCTGGACTGCCGTCAGGTGACTACTCCGGCCATAGTTTCCGCCGCGGCGGAGCAACATTCGCGTGGCATTGCGGAGCTGATCCTCAGATCATTAAACTGCTCGGTGACTGGAGCTCGGACGCTTTCCAGTCGTACCTTGACAGCTCCTTCGAGCAGCGACGTTCGTTCGCGACTCTACTTGCGACCAGAATCAACCAAGGTTTCCTGGAACCGGACCGGGACGCAGTATAGACTCATACGAACTCTACACGAACTCTCGTTTATTGTTCTACTGTGGATTTATCTGATGCCTTTGTGCGGCCTCCTGTTCTCACGTGGATATATCATGTCTTAGCACTAGTTTGACTACCTGTATTAGGCATGACAGGGCAGTCCTACGTATCTCCCGTTACTGCTACTAGCGGCCCTGCTCTGAGCCAGTTTTGTACCGTTTACATAATAGACTTGGCGAACTTCCATGTTAGTACCTAGTGGTTCCCGTTGTTCAGCTTGTCCGTCAGTTTCGCCTTAGTATCTACCAATTTCGTCAGTTTCGCATGTAGTATCCACCAATTTCGCAATATGCTTCGGTTCTTTAGCCCACTACTTGTTAGCCAGTTGTCGCCGCACCGCAGTGTCGGCGTTTGTTGTACCAATTCGCTATTAGCCCCTCGGCGCTTGTTCTACGGATTCATTGTTAGCCCCTCGGCCCTTGCGGCCTTTGTTTCGGCTTCCCTCCCTCCGCCTCCGGCCTCACTACTACACTTACTGCACTCTCCCCACCCTACTGTCTCCCTATGGGCTTGGTCTCGGTGGATTTGAAATGTTACATTAAAATTTTTACCAAGCCCAGCACCTGTATTGTCATCTTGAGTGAGAGTGCAGATAATTGTCAGTATTTGGGGCGCAGAACCAAATCAGTTAATTGACTGCACGGAAATGACTTCTGACCTCTGACCCGAGGTCACATTTGGTTTCCGTTCTTATCGTGCTGTTACTGCAGCCACTCTAGAAAATCCTCGAAAAAATCCTCCCACCCTCCCACCCGTGGATTTGAAATGTTACATTAAAATTTTTACCAAGCCCAGCACCTGTATTGTCATCTTGAGTGAGAGTGCAGATAATTAAGAAATCTTATAGGCTGCAACATCTGGTACATGTATCAATTAAAGTTTACTAGTTAATTGATTTGCAGATTGAGTAGCTGATTGGTTTATCACTTAACATGAATCCAAAAGTATTTTGATTGACAGATGCACACGATGCTCTAACTTCTAAATGTCTTTTTCTTCTTTTCAGAAACCCACTTTTCCAATGCCTGTATATCATTCTGGTTGTATCCGGCTTTTCCACCTTCCAGCTTGATGTCCTACACTACGCTGCTCTATATGAGTCCCCCGCCCTCCCCCTCTACCAGAAACTACCCCTCTACATCCTGAGTGTCAATGCTGTGCTGTTCTGTGCTCTAAGCATGGGAGATCCTGGAGTGATCACAAAGAAAACGTGGAGAAACATCTTAAGTTGTACGAGTAGATGGGCGGCTTTACAGAGGGAGTGAACACTGCCGGACTTGTCAGTTTGAAAAACCAGCCAGGTCCAAACACTGTGGTGAGTTTAATGGTATCCAATGCAATTTCAGGATGGCAAAGCTGGAATATTCTGACTAAGGCAATCTGTACTATTATACAATATTGACACATACCCCAATGCCCCATATTAGCACATTTGCATCTGTATTTCATACTTTCATACAAGTTAGCGCCAAAATGAGTCATTTCCTGGGTGGTACCCTAAAATTAGCCCAGCATACTTATTTCAAAGATGCATGAAATACAATGATAACTGCAGTAAATTACTTAAAGCTAACAAAGTTTTCAAACATTGTCATGTTAAAGTCTACCTGCAACCTTTTGTATGTGAACCTCCTCACTCAAGCTCTTCAAAACTTGTACTCTTTGTTTCTCTTACAGCATTTTGTAACCACTGTGTGTACCGGTTTGACCACCACTGCCTGTGGGTGAACTGCTGTGTTGGTGGGCTGAACCACCGTCTGTTCCTGGGCTTCCTGGCCAGTCTGTGCTGCTTGTGTGGCTACATTTCCTATGCAACCTGCAAGGTGGCGCTGCTGATAGTGGAAGCCAACAAGCTGTGGTCTGCCCATTATGTGGACCGCTATGGGAGACCTCAGCCCATGGACCTACGCACTTTGTGCCAGGTGAGAGAGAGGATTTTGGTAGTTTGTAGTGCCATTTCAATTTTCTTCACCTTATGAAATATTTTTCAGAAAATAACTTTTTTCCATTTCCTGTAATGTTGGCAATATAAAACTAAATGGCTTCATGTGTTATTTACAATGTCTTTAGGTTTATAATTTATAATACAAAATATTTTGCATTGCCCATTGTCTTTTAGACCTTGTTTAACAGATTTTTATTTTTTTTATTTTTGGAGATCATTCTGGATTTTGCTATATTTAAAAAAAAATGAAACTCAAAATGTTAGATATATTTTTGTGTTTTTCCTTATACAGTACCTGTTCATGCAGCATCCAAGGATGATCTTCCTCCTGATTTCTCTCAGTGCTCTCACCGTACTACTCGTTGGTTTTACTCTATACCATCTGTACCTCACCCTCAACAATGTCACCACCAACGAACTCTACAAGAAACCTGCTTCTCAGCAACAACAACAACAACAACAACAACAACAACAGGACAAAAACAGTACCACAAAAGGAAAAGTGCGACATAAGACAAAGCAAACAAAACAACATGAAGAAGAAGGTAGTCAGAGAAAGACAAAATTTACTGTAAAATGTCAACATCGTAGATGGAATCCTTACCACAGAGGATACTTTCAGAATGTTTGTGAGGTCCTCTGGCCACTTGCGAGGAAAAGATGATAATGTAATGTATACATTTATAATAACCTATCATCATGTTATCTTGTTTTTGGGGACAATTCTGAGATGTTGATACAATAAAGTGTGGTTTACAGCAAAAGTTTTTGTTTCAATGTGCAGATTTTCTTAATTAAAAAGAATGTAAGTCAACTCTAGTACATGTAGCATGAAAGTTCACCTAAGTTGGTAAGTTACATAATGAGAAATCCAAGAGAAACCCAAACCTCTGCTTGGAGAGTATACTAGTAACCATTTATTGCCAAACCCTACAATATATGGTGTACTTAACACATCTCCTTCTCGACAAAGGTAACAAGAAGGTTAGAGGGGCAATCCACTTTACTATTTCGCCTATTTAACGTTATTTCAGTGACGCCTTTCAATGACTGATTAACTGGTGCATTTCTTCGTGGGGACGAGATTGTCATTTGCTTGGGAACGAGAACAAACATGGCGGCGACCTGATGTTTTGTTTTCGCGATCTTCACAATTTTTGCCAAAAAATCAAAAAGTGTTCTCCGGTGAAACAAAACCACCATGGGCCTTCTCAGGCAGTCTGCAATGTTTTCTAAACGCCTGTTTCTTTTGCCGTCACTCTTTAATCCGGGAAAAAGAGCCTTGTGTAGCCAAAAGACGTCGAAGAAGAATATTTTTTTGCAGACGACAAAAAGCTCGGATGGCGACTTCGCCATAGTGCGGATGCAGAGACCGCCGGCTAACGGCCTGAACCTGGAGTTCCTGACGGAGCTGACCATCCTGCTGGAGAAGCTGGAGGACGATCACTCCTGCCGCGGGATGGTTCTGACGTCTTCCCTTCCCGGGATCTTCAGCGCCGGGATCGACATGGGCGAACTGACTCTGGTCTGCCCCCCTCCCCACTCGTAAAAGTGCTTTGCGTAGTTTGTGTACGTACTGACCGTAGTATAATGATGACAGTGAAATATTGCTTTACGAAAAAATGCTCTTTATTTAAGATTTATCACATTTTTCTCGATATATAATTTGTTGTCATGAGTTTAACTTCGAAATTCGCCATGCTTTCTGACTGTGTGCTTGAAATTATAAAGAGATACTTCACATAGCTTCGTTGTTTTGGCGCTATTTCAAATAAAGTAAGAAATTATAACAAAAATATGCTAAGAAATGGCAGTAAATGTCAATATCAGACAGATTTCCTCATCCAGGATAATAAATATCAAGGAGGTTAACCTCCTTGTAAATATTAGTTATGACGTCCTGAATTTGCATCTGATGTCTTTAAATCATCATAATAATGTAATGTGAAATATCCCCAGACTGCGAGCCATGGTCCCGAGCATGTGACAGCCTTCTGGCGAGCTCTGCAGACCTTCATCATCAACCTGTACCAGTCCCACCTGGTTACTATAGCAACCATCACAGGCCACGCCCCTGCCGGGGGATGTCTGCTGTCATTGGCCTGTGACTACAGAGTCATGGCTGCTGGCAACTTTACCATTGGTCAGTCAAGTATTCAATCAATGAGATCATTGATCAATTGCTATTTGTGTTGTATTGCTACTGTAATTTGTTTGGTCAACTTTGGTGTGTTTTGTACAATGTATTGATCACAATGGTACACATATACAAACTGTGGCATCCACATACCAGTGGCATGTAGAAGCCTAATCTACATGTGGCATTGAACTAAAATGTGCATCAACATAAACGCAAACAAGAGTTCCATGATCTCATACCTTGCCAGATGATTTTAATATTTTTGTTATAAATGTTTCTCATTGATTAAGCAAATAAGATACCAGTACTCATTTTGCATAAATCATTAGTATATCAGTTGCACTTGATGACATTGTCCACCCAATGACAGGCTATTCTATTGCATTTCTATTACATAATTTCTTAGATTATGTAAATGTGGTCCTGATTTGAATAATTTATTCTGTCAGGTATCAGTGCTGTGCGAGCAGGACTGTTCCCCCCAGCCTGGATACAGATGTTACTGTCAGACATCATCGGGAAGAGACAAGCAGAGTTGTCCATCCTTCAGGGGAAACTCTACAGTCCTGAGGAGGCTCTACAACTGGGCCTGGTGGACAAGGTACAATATTAGGACAAGGAGGTTAAATACTAAGTATTCAACCCTCTTGATTTCGACTGGACCTCTGGGAAGAGCGCCTAAGGCTGACAGGGCATTTCCAGTATAAATAAAGGCGATTAATTGATTGATTGATTGATTGATTGATTGATTGATTGATTGATTGATTGATTGATTGATTGATTGATTGATTGATTGATTGATTGATTGGTTGGTTGGTTGGTTGGTTGGTTGATTGATTGATTGATTGATTGATTGATTGATTGATTAGGCCTAGCATGGTGGTCAAATCAGGGCTGCAAAGTTCCCACCTTTTCTAGAACCCGAACTGTGTTCAGTTGTGTTCAATCTGGGTAATTCGACCCGAACACGGAGACCAATATTAAAAACCAATATAAAAATGATGCCTAAAACATGATTCTGACTGACTGGCTGGCTGAAAATCTTTGCTTTCGGAAATATAATTTTGAAAAATATCACTAGTATTTTGTCAGTATTTGATAAATCATTCAGGCATGAAATCCTTGATGTCTTAGTGTTTTTCCCCCATGAAAAATCCTTGATGTCTTTTTGTTTTCTCTATGTTAAGGTTGTTCCAGAGACAGACATGATGTCTGCGGCTGAGTCAGAGCTGCGTCAGTGGCTGCAGGTTCCAGACGCAGCCAGGATCCTCACCAAGTCCAACCTCCGCAGAAAACTGCTGCAGGCTTTCGAACACAACAGGGAGAGGGAAGTCGAGGAAATCACCAGATTCATTCAGACAGACTCTTTCCAAAACAACTTGAAGGAATTTATGCAAAATTTGAAAAATAAAAAGAGATAAAATATCATCATGATGATATTTGATTTCATAAGAATTTGAATTATGAGTTCATTGATGATGACTGTGCATGCACAGTGTGATGCATTGTGGGTCAGTGTCAAATTTGAAGGCCACTGCACGTGACTTAAATAAATAAAAAATGTCTGGACATGTGTTAAGCATGGTCTAAGTAAGGACGTTATGTCAAGGTGATATAATGCATTCTTGGTCTAGAAAAGAACTGTTTATACGTTCAGGGCCTTTAACTTTGACATATTACCCACAATGCCCTATTAAGGCTACACATGCCCAGTTGGAACCAATGACTAGCATATTAAAAATAAAAATAGAATAATATATGATTTTATTTAATTAGATAGGCAGAGGGAAATTACTACAATTTTGGAGTAATATTCTTTATGTAGTCTAAAAAAAAGGTAGCAACATGTAATCAACACCAAGGAGGTTGAAACCTCCTTGCCAAAACATGTCAGAAAATCATGAATTTCCTGATTCCCAGCATATCTGCTTTGCCATACCATTGATGTAAAGAACTTTGAATAAAAGTTTGGAAGTCTGAAGTGTTGTTCTTTCTTGGTGGGCAAGCATGAAATTTCCACCTGCGCATCACATCCTTGACGTCATGAGCAAAACTCTCGGCTTGCTCCAACGAATATTGGTTTCTTCGGCCCGAGCGTAGACATCCTGAATCCAATTTCTTTAGCCTTTACAAAACAAGATAATACGGCCCGACAAAGACGGCATCGTCAAGAATTTCCTCGAAAGCGCCTTGAAAGCTTGCCCGAACACCACCTTGTTCATAAGCGCCGCGTAGCGACTTTCTCCATTATTGCACACCAAGCGGTCTCTATGACGACCAAGTCCCCGGATGTGTAATCCAGTCTGAAGGGCCACTGGCGCTCACGATCGGGTTCTGCTACAATTTCTGCTACAAAAACCACGAATTTTTAGCCCAGACGCAAGTTAGAAGCAGTAATACCGCTGTATATAGAAGTTCTGGGTGTTACAAGATCCACAGCTTTCCACAGAAACCTGGAGATTTGTCGGAGGCGTCGAGAATTCCCGCCGGTTGTGAAGTTTTTTCTACAGACACTGTGATCTTCCAAGACGCCGCGAAGGAACTTTTGCTACAGAAATCCTTGCACCAAAAATGGTTGGTGACATCCTTCAGGATTTGCTGATCTTGTAAGAAAGACACCAAGACTCAAGAATGGAACGTCTTCGGGTAGGTTTTGATGCAATAAGTCAACATTTATGTTGTAATATGTATAACTCTTGCTAATGAAAAACATACCTTAGACTACATGTGTTTTATAATCGCTGCGATTCGAGCCAAGTTTGCCCTCAAATTTATAGATTCTTTCACCAAGACATGACAAAAAGTTACGTAAACCCAGGTTTATAAAGTGACAATGCTTCAGATGAAAGATAATGAAATATTTTACTTGTTTTTAGTTGTTATTTAGTTTGAGTGCAGCGATCAACGTAGTGCCTTTTGAGGGGGAGTGTCATGGCGGGGTTGATATTGTTTACAAACAACATCAAGAAACAACATAAAAAATCACAAATTGATTTGAATTAACTTTGCTTGTTACATTGTATATAACAAAGTTTGGTATATTGCCCTTACTATGAAAACAACTGATTGTTATTTTCATTTGAATTGTTAATTTCTTTCAATTGATAACAATTAACGTTAAATGTAGTTCGCAATATGTTGAAGGTTGACTATCACTTTTAAAAGTGTTAATTTCTAAACACATTACAATTTTCTAGCACGTTTGGGAGCTAAAAATGTTTTAAAATTGTTTTGCTTATTACAATGTAGATTCCTGTCAATAGATGTTACAACACATTTGTGATATTAGACAATGAAAATGCAGTTGTCTGTTTTCATTAGCATCAAAAATAGTGTGTGTTCACCAATGACAAAAGTTTCCAGCTTGCTCGAAAAAAAAATGCCATTTTGTAATGTCTAATTTCCCTCAACTCTGAAAAGAGAGAAATTAAGTTTAAGAAACTATAAGCCTTTACACACACATTGTTTTTTGGTATCCCAATTTTTTGATTATCATAATTTCTGAAAGTTTGAATTAAAAAACTGTTATTATATACAATGTAATGTTACTCCCTGTAAGTGCTGTTCTAGAATAACAAAGTGTCACTAATGATATTGTTGCGAAGCAAACATTATATGGAGCAAGAATTTAGAACAAGTTAAACAATGTAACCATTATAATATGCAACATCTTATTGATAGCATTAGGCTTTTCAATGATTTGAAATTAATCCAAGTATGGACTTTTGAATATAGTAGTCTGAAAGAGAAGTTGCATTGATTGAATAGCAAGCGAAGTTGAACTTACTATTTAATACAACCACTTGTTTAAAACACCAGTCAACTTTTTGATGACCGTCTGTCATCTGCACTGAAGCTAGACCAGTTTTACTGATAACAATCAGTGGAAATGACAGATATCGAAATGTCATCTCTTGTTAAACAAATGTTTGTCACATATGGAGAACTTATCTCATTCAATCGTTCATCAACTTGTTAAATTGTTCAGAAAAAAAAATCAGAGTCTGTCTTGGTGTCCTTGCATACTGTATATATTGCCCATTTTTAGAACAGATTATTTAGTATCTATTGGTGCCTGTCAACCCCTCACTGTTGCCCCCTTAGGTAGTACATTGACAAGTGCATTTTAAACACAACCCCTCTACCCCCTGGGCAGACACATGTGTCAAATTAAACCACTGATGTTGTGATTTGAGGTAGCATATGGTTATGTGGTTACAGTACTTACACACATCTTGTCACGAATTAGGTCGTTCCGCATTAATATTGTATGAAGTCACTGATATGATAGGAAATTTGTATGAAGGATAGCGTGTGAATTGGCATCCAGAACTAGAGTGAAAAATTATTGTGTCAAATCAAAAGTATTGTGCTACGTCCTACCTTTGGGAGTTGATTATGGATCAAATGATGGTTTGATTACTGTTATGGTAAAATCATCATGAAGTTATGATTTAAGGAAATTAAGCAAATATATATGATTAATGATGGAGGATAGTACTTCTATAAAGATTATGTGATAATTAAAATGTGAAAAACTTAAAAGGTACACTTTTTTATGTTCTTAATCTTAATAGGTAGGAAGTTAATTTCTTAGGCCATATCAAATTAAATCACGGGGTTGTGACGTATTTTGACATGTCACTGACATGCTTACTTGAAGGCAATTACTGAAATGCTACTTTTGGATAATTATATATATAAGAAGGTATGGTGTACCTACTTTTGACAAATACCAATTTTCTATGTTATAATGCCATTGAACTCAATGTAATATTCTCTTTTCTGTAGATGAATGAATCTCCGATCCACAACAGCAGTATAACGCGAGGGTTGCCAGGGTTACCACCGCTCCCCACACCCGCCGCTAATGAACCGTCTGAGCTCTACCAGGTACGTTTGATAGCACAGCTGCAGGTTTTAATAAAGCTACAGTCCATCACATATACCAGTACCAGTTTGCAATTGTGGTACAGTGTATCAGATATATAATCATTACTAAAAAAAAGTATTACAACATGATGGAGCTTTTGTAACAAATTGTATTTACGTGAAGGGTAAGGCAGCAGGTAGAAGGTTAAGAATCATTTCTTATAGCCCAAAACCCCTATAAATAAAATCATCATCATCTTCATCCGTCGTCTCTGTTGAGCGGGGTATATAAATGAATAAAATAATTCATTTTCAGCTATTGTAAATAATTGTGAGAAACAGTTTTTAATCAGTTTTAAAGCTCTAAAATATCTAGTTGTCATTGTATGTTACTGTCAGCCACAGAATGTTTAAACTGTGCCTTTCAGTACAGTCTTGTTGTTCAATTGTCCATAATTACATAATTCCTGAGAAAAACCTGCCCCTGAAAATCCCATGATGATAATGTTGGATTTTGTAGGCAGTTGAAGAATTCTACTGGTGACTCAGAGCTAAACGCACAGTCATCATTGCACAATCGAACTAAAAAAACATAATAAGGGCCTTCTAAATAGTAAACCTGATATTTTACAGACCTTGCAAAGGTTTTGTAGGGGTCAACCAGTTAAGAAATAAGGGGGAGGGTGGTACTCGTAAATGTTGTAATTGTTAAAAACGCAATTTTAGTATCTGTCATGCCAAATGAAAATTGTTACTAATTTACAGAACTAGAAATTTGTCATGTGTATTTTATATTAGGTTTTAGAGAGGAAAAAATTGAAAGAAATGTAGTTTGCTGTTTTCGTAAAAACTCCCCTCAACCCACGTCCTACTTTTAGTGGTTGCTCCCTTTTGTGCTCCATTCACACGTTATTTCAGGCCTGAGGTTATTTGGTTACGCAGACCCTGGCTACCAAAGACGTAGCCCTTTGTTTGGCCTTTCGTGCCCCTTTGTGTTTGTTTGTTATGTAAGCAAACGATGTGATGGCTCCCGTGCTCGAGAGCAACTTCTGCGTTCAGATTTTTTCATCGCCAAGAGACGTCGCGTATACACACCTGTCGTTGGCATACACGTTTCGTATTTTAAGTCAGGAACCAATTAAATGTGGCGTTGTTGCAAAGCTCTATGATTACAGTACTTTACTCTTTAGTAACTGTTGCAAAATGTTCAGTCCGACTCCAAGGTGGCCCAATTTTTTGTGTGTGTTCTTAGTAAGATAAATTACCATTAAGTATTAAAGGGATAGACTGTGATTGCACTGCAGTGAAGGGTGCTTTGTATACACCTGCAGTTGACTCTTGAGAACTTTTCATTCCAAATAGAAGTCTAACAAAGAGCAAGTCTAATTTAGAAATTAGAGCAAGCAAGCTAAAACCTAAGTTCCTACAAAAAAACTCCTGATACAGCATAGTTACTACATATTATGCAAAAACATTTTGTATAAGATTTATTAATTACAGTGACATACTTTAAAAGTCTCTTGACGAAGTTATCTTTTGGACCTTTGAAACCTAAAATCCTTTGAATCCTTTGAACTCCAGCTTATCATATAGTTTTCTGATCTCTGAACCACAAAATCCTCTTTCAATGTCAGCAGTACTGTTCATAATGTACGACACTCAGGTATTTAAGTCTTATATATGGGAGAACTTATAACTAAGCCTCACAGTCTATGCAAAGAAGGTTAGTCTAATTATAAGACAAAATGGGGGGGGGGGTAAATAATATCAATAAAGTAGCATTTTCCAAAGCTACTTTAACAATTTGTTAAGTCACCAACTGTCATCCTGCAATAGTTGTCTATTTTCAAGCACTTGAGATATGTGGTGCTCAAATGATAACTCATGTATGTACTGTATAATATACTGATCACTTGCACCTTGTTGATTTGTCCGTAGGTGGTGCTTCGGCACAGCGAGCACCCGCCTATCATGCAGGGTCACTCCTGGACGCTGGCCGCACCCTTCAAGGAACAGAAGTACTGCCGAACCCCCAGGTAAGGATTATTTAAGTCTGAAGTAAACTTAAAGGTACATGTATCGAATAACACTTAGACTAGTTAACAGGTGTCATAAGGTTCCAAGTACTAGACTTGGATCTAGCATACAATTTTGAATCATTTTCACTTTTAAAGTGCAGAAAAGATATGCTAGGAGTTCTAATTATAGGCCATTATGATAATAAAAATATGTCTTTAAAACCTTTTCATGGCTTAATTATAAAAATTGATGTTATTTGATACTTAATTTTAGAAGTGTATTCAAATGTATAATGTCCAGAATTTGTTTCTTTCATAAATGTTTGTTGATCAGTTGTTTTTGTTTGTTTACAGTGAGTCGATTGCCAACAACTACACGCCGACAGCGAGCGATCTCAGGATCAAGAACATCAAAACTATCCCGCCCATCGCCAGGCCGGGCACCAAACGGTCTCCCAGGAGTCCTTCACGTATCCTTTTTCATACAAGGATTTTAAAATGAAGTGTTTTAAGTTCCTTCAAAGGCTAATAGAACACAAAACAGAAAACTGTTTGTTTGTCATGCTTTTCTTTGCACATGTCACATATTCAGGACCTTCCCATGACTTTGCTTTAAGTTGGTGCTAGGTTGGAAATAGTCTGGAATCCATCCTAGCTTAAGCTCTCAGTTCACCCAGCTGTCAGCTGTCGATTGCATTCAAGCAAAATGCCATGACTTTCTCGGCTTTTTCAACATTCATAATCAGGGCTAGCACATGGTCAGCTATGTGTGATAGGAGCTCAAGAAATGTTTTAGTCAATAGCTTTTATAACTTAAATTCAAAATACATTGAAATTTTGAGACAAGTTCTTTAGGTTGGTACTGAAATGCCTTCCAATGCCTTAGTTACCATGTATAATGTCTTCATGAAGTTTCTTAACTGAGATCACAGCTACAAAATCTCCTCCTAGTCCCAGAAAAGTACCCAGACATCGCGGACTCAACGGCAAAAAGCAAAATGGGTAAGTACCAAAATGTGCATGTTTGTCGTCAAAGTGATGGGCCTTAACTAATATTTTTTAAATTCCTTTTTTTCTAGTTGATACCATGTCCATACATGTTTTCTTCATGTCTTAAGCTTATCATACAGGTTTCTGATCTCTGAACAACAAAGTCCTCTTTCTACATATTACATACAAACATACCTCTATATACATTGTAATACCCACAATGCATCACACTGCGCATGCGCAGATCAAACTGTGAACCAGCTTATTGTCTTGTTACAGTATGAATGGTGCAACCAACGGGACAGTGAAGCACGCCCATGTCTCCAACGGTTCCACCAACGGCGTGAGCGACGTTTTATCGCTGCCGGGTAGCCGTCCCATGAGCCCCGTGCAGCAGCTCAACGTGATGAAGTCAGGGGAAGACGAGGAAAACAGCAGAATGGGGGAACCTTCTGACAGAGATCTCGAGGTTAGACTTCATCATAATCATTTATATTTCAGTCCAAAATCTCAGTAGTAATGATTTCAAATACTACATTATATTAAGATTAATACATTTGTTTCTGAAATGCAATCTATTAATTTCAGTTTCATGGTCGGAAAAATATGAGCAAAAATGATGGAAAATTGTAGACAACTCATTACTTTTAGCCTCAAAAGGCTGATTTCTGGGAAATTTATTTTCGTAACTGCTTATTAATATAATAATTGTTAATTTATGACATTCCTCATATTCTGTTCAATTTGATACATATGATAGTGTAATAAGCTAAGTTTCATGTTGAAAAAGTCATACCATATCTTTTTGACTTCCCAATGTCCAGGAATCAAGCTGGGTGAGTTTGGCGTACCTTGTGGGGAGTATGAGTAGTACTGTGTGCCCGTTTTAAATCCTATTTGTGGTGCAGCACAGATCTTCCCTTCACACGATATGATATATCAAAAGCATGAAATATTTGGTGCAACAAAACATAAAAGAGTTGTAGTGTTTTCATAAACCTCCCTCCCCCGTGTTGCGTGCCCCCCTCCCCACTTATTACCGTATGAAAATGCAACCTAGGAGTGGAGCCAAATTAAAGTGCCTCACTAAAAACCATGTTTTTTTGTACCAATGCTACAGAGATATTACTACTACATCACCAAAGGCGTGAATGACGCCATGTTGGCTCCGGCTCCAGAAGACCAGATGCCCAACATCAAGAGCAGAATTCCAGAAGCCCTCCGCGCCAACCCGGACTTGAACAAAACGGTAGCCGCTCTCACAGAGGAGGCCGAGGGAGACTACAACTTCACTCTGAGGAAGTGCATCGGTGAGAAGGGGGCTTGATTTAACCCTTCACATGCTGAGTTACTTTGTGACGTCACATATTAGGACAGTTTAACACTTGCGTGTATTTGGGGCCTTCTTCAAGTTGCAGACTGAAAAAGTTACACCCTTAATATCCCATAATGTCTTACGCTTTTTTCTTTGCTATGAAATTCAAAGGTACATAATATTGCTGTGTATGCAACTCTGTTCTTCTACTCTTACAATGCAAGTCTTTCAGAAAAAAAGGCCTGTTTTAGCTAGTGAGCTGACAACTACCCAATGGAAATCAGCATTTCAAGTTGCATTTTCTAGCATACTTCTAACACACCCTAGTTTCGATTGACACACTTCTCCATCAATCCCAGTGGACTACGTCCTGAAGGATGAGAAGGAGAAGAGCAGGCTGCACATCTCCTGGATCCCGCGCTCCTTCCCTCACCGCGTGATCCGCGCCCCCGTCCCGTGGCACCACACCTACAAGGACACCAAGGACTTCAATGAGCAGCACCTCTTCACCACCAATCCCATCATGCTGCACCTGCAGAATCTCTGGTTTGATAAGTAAGTCTGACCTCAGGTGACCTCCCTCAGTCATCCAATCAGATACCTTCCCCAGTTATCCAATCAGGTTCTCCCCCAGTCATCCAATCAGATGCCTCCCCCAGTCATCCAATCAAGTACCAGCCTGTTGTTCTATCATTTATTTACATCATGAAACCCATACCCCAATTTTTTTGTTTTTTCACCCCTTGTCAAACACAAAATTTTGTTTCATTTCCAGTTACGTCTTTACACTCTTTTCTTTTATTCTTTTCTTGATAAGTTCCTCCTCTACAATGCACTCTTTGGTTGATAAATTCTTCTTTAAGTTAGTTGTTCTTTCTCTTTCTTTTCTAAATGTCTTTTTTCCCTACAAACTCATCTCTGTTACTCTTTGCATTGTTATTTTCCTCTCACTTCTGTTTGCCCAAATCCCCCCCAGCCCCCCCTCCCATTAAAAAAACTTCCCTCAAGACACAAAAAAAATCCTTTCCTACCCTACTCCCCCACCTATTGTGTCATTAACATCAGGTGTCAGATTGGACCAATCAGGTTCAAGACACCCGACTGTTGTTGGACCAATCAGGGACTTACAGGTCAAACCAGAGGTTGTGCAAGTACACACGAGAAGTTTGGTGCCAGGTTTGGTCAACGTTAACTTTTAAGTATCACTGATGGAAGAAGTTACAATTGCGTAGTTGCTAGGCAACTGTGACTTGATCAACAGTTAGATAGAAACACATTTCTTGACTGCATTGGGAAATGTGTTTGCAAGCTAACAGTGAGTTTTTTACAAGTAGGCCCAACTGAAAACATTACAATGTCTCTCAGACAACTTACTTGATTTACAGGTGCAATCTCCTACATACTTCATTGACACATTCATCCTCAAATGACAAGTCTTAGAGTAACATATACATGTAAGCCCCGCCCACAACAGCCCAGTAACCATGACATGATTGACATGCAAGCTCCACCCACAACAGCCCGGTAACCATAACATAATTGACAGGTACTCCCACCTGAGGTTTGTGAACAAAGACGAGCTGCTGAGGTCTAACCTGCCGCTGCTGCCTGCCGACTTTGAGGAGCTGATCAAGAAACAGTGTCGGGAGGCCCACGAGGTCCTCAGAACAAGGTACAGACGTATGGAAAAGGTGCAAGGGTGTACAGAGTGTCCTGAAGTTTCAAATTACCAGCTGTTCAAAAATCCATATCTTGATCAATCATTTAGAAGTTCAAACTTCTTAAATCTTCTGTAAGTCTGTTTTAGTTGCAAAGCAAACAGGAACAACAACTAGCAAATTACGGTCTTAAATATGGTGGATGTGATACCTGGTACAAGATTTTGAATGAATTCTGTTCACTCCAATCTTTTTGGGGAGGCTTTGACCAATTAGCTTGCCTGAAAAAGAGTGAAATTAACATATTTCTAAAACTGTCATACATTCTTTAATCATGATCTAGTTGAATACAAGATTTTTGATGACCTAACTTTTGAACTACATTGTATCAGCTTTCGTTGATCAAATCTTTGAGTTGAAAGTACATGTAACATGTTTTTGTTCAGTTGGATCCCGACGTGTGCGTCCGTTTTCCTGGCGCACAAGGACCTGTGGGGCCACCTGGTGCCTCTGAACGACACCGACTCCACGCAGCGCGTACAGGAGTTCTTTGCCTGCGTCGCTGCGCTAATGTCCAACCACCTGCGGAGCATGGTCATCAACTCTCTGGCCGACTTCCTGGACTTCATGCAGATGCACAAGGTTTGTTTGTCATAGAACAACAACCTGTAGTTACACAATGTAATGTACACTAAACGTTCAACCTCCACTAGTAGTCTCCAGCCTTTTTCATGAAAAATGACCCACAAACTTATGTGAGTGTGGCCTTATATGAAAAGTTAACATTAAGTGAGGGGGGGGAATGGTATAACCACAGACTTATAATATTGAGCAGAGGTCAACATGGTCTTCCCAATTAGGCTATTAAGAAGTTGAATGGTACGATTGAGGAACTTAGGAATCCAAGGGTTGCATACTATTTACAGAAAAATTAAAGGAAAATTCACAGTAATTTTTTATATTGCATAAAAGAACCATTTTTCTTGTTACCTTTTTTTATTCAGGCTGGGAACGACTTTGGATCAGACTATGATGAGCTCCAGTTTGCCATGGGGTCAGTAATGATCATCAAGCTCCGTGTCGAGGAGCCAAAGATCATCTTCGAGCCGCCTTTCAGAGAGACGAGGGACATCTTCCTCAGGTGTTTCTCTGAGATCGTTGCAAGTGCAGAGGAGCTGCCTAGGGTATGCTGATGTTCCTTACTTTTGAGTACAAACTTTAAGGTATTGTTTTTGGTGACTGTGTTGTGTGTTTGTGTGCTTGTTTGTCTGGACAGAGTAGGTTGACATGAAATCTGAAATCTGGGATTTCTTGTTGCAGGTTGAGAGTGACCTGTTTCCCGACATGCGACACGAGCGCCTGCTGCTGAGGACAGTGAAGATGGAGGAACCTCTGGTCACAGAGTTCATGGACAAGGCCATGGAGACCTTCAAAATCAACACCATCGGACCACAGAGGTACCTGAACGTGTACAAGAAGTACGGAGATCTGCTGAACAACAAGGCTGAACAGGAAGTCACCGCCTTCCTCAAGGAGAAACACTCTCTTCAGGCATTCACCAAGGTAAGGGCACACAACTTTGTTTAGTTTCCTAGTGTTAAATTTTTCATTTTTCTATGTATTTTTGTCGTATATAGGTCGTCAGATGATGTCTTTGGTCCAAAATTCTGGTGCCAACAGTATACAAATTATTAGTTTTGGAAAAATAAGGATTGAATTTAAAGAATCTTCAAGCTTTGTGACTCAAATGTTTACATCCTTACGTATAGTACAAACACGTATAAGACTTTACTTATTTGTTGACAAACAGATGCACTTAGAAATCTCTAACCTGTTTGTTTATTTTTCTCAGAAAATCAACAGTTACCAGCAGCTAAAAGATGAGATCGCCCTCCTGCGCATCACCGTGCCCCTGAGCATGTTCACACTGGCCTGTGAGGATCTGAATGTGGATCTGTGTGCCAGGGCACAGAGACTTAAGGACAGGCTTGTCATCTTCGAGGTACTTAATTCATAAAACTTCTGTCACACTGTGGTACAACATTAAAAAATATGATTTGAAGTAGTATCTGGTATTCTCTCACTCAATACGCAGACAGATTGGGTTGAGTTGTACACTAAGGTTACATTCAATTTGTATTACTTCTGTATCTATATCGCCGGTATAACCGCCCCTCGGTGTAACACACCAGCTACTTACATTGTACTTAGTCTAACTCTTTAACCAAGCATGGCAATTTTTTTGGCAAGGCCTCTGGGGTGGAGCTAATTGATAAACTTTTGGTATGTACTGATTTTGTATTTTTTTTCATTATCCTTTAGGTCGATGAAAACAGGGTCCTGAACAAGGAAATCTGTAAGCACTATGATGAGATCGCAGACCGCGTGAGCGAGATGCCGGACACGACGGCAGACCTAGTTGAGCTGACCGACTTCCTGCGGACGTCCAGCGAGGTGACCGTCTTCAAGCTGAAGGACGAAATCGACGAGGCTGGACACAGGCTCCAGTTCCTGCTGGACTATGCAACACTGCCATGTGAGTTTATTAATAGACGTTTTCTTTCAAATAAAAAATGTTACTAGTCTTACTGCAATTTTTAAAAATCTTTTACACCAAGCTTTAATGATAATGGTCACTGGTCTGTATTGATTTTGAAGCTTCCTTGACCGTTGAAAATTGACAAATTTGTATCAATTTTTTTTTGCAGATGAGGACATTAAGTTGAACAGCCAGGTCTTCCACTGGCCGGACCACATCCAGACAGTTTTTGATCTGAGTAAGAACAGGCTGGCCAATCGCAGAGAGGCAGCAGAAGACGAAGTCAAGAAGAAGTAAGTGCTAGACAAAAGAGACATTCAATTTTGGCTTTGCTTTTTTGACAGAATGAATTAACTTATAAAGATTTTGTTTTTGTTTTTGTTTATAGAGTAAACTAAGGTTTATGATCAGCTTTTTTGAGCTTTTTTTAACATGACACCTGTTGCACTTATTTCCAGGTTGCAGCAGTTTGAGGACAAACTGAACCGGTACAACCAAGAAGTCGAGAGCTTCAGGAAAAAGGAGGTAATTGAATTACTGTCTGTAGTCTGTAATTGAACTAATTTAAGCTTGAGGATCATTTGACAAAAACACTAACAATGTGATCCTACCAAAAAACGTGTACAGCTACACTGAGCAAATGGAAGCTGCTTCTTTTTTCTGTTTTCCAAAAAAAAGTCTGAATAGCTGTTAAATATAATAATGACTTACCAGACTGTTACTTGTTTTGTGTTAAGTTAAACATTGTTGCTAAACCAAGTTTACTAGATACAGTATGCACAAATTTCCTAACACAGACCTGACTCATTTGCATTCTAGATCATGAGCCAGGATGAGATGAAGACCAATGTGGACAAGCTGAACGAGCTGACCCAACAACTGGACGATGCTATGGCAGAACAAGCTGTAAGTTGACACGGAAGGTTTTTTGTTGGCTAAGCTGTGGGTTTGTGTCCCTGTTTGTCCTAAAGTTAATAGCTTTGGGAAAATCCAAAACACTTATATCCCAGGTATGTGAACTGGAAGGTCACAAAATCCCAGAACACTTGCAGGAGGAATGTGAATTTGAAGGTCAAGTGATTTCAGGAAGTCCCAAACCTTTAATTTCTTGTAAATGAATGTTTCAATCTATTTTTTCTGTATAGTCCATCAACGTGGAAGAGGAGTTGTTGGAGTGGGAGCCAACAGCCTTCCCTATCCTGCAGATGATGGTGACATACAAGGAGCCATACGACAAACTGTGGGGGACAGCTCTCAGCTTCCACACTAAACATGAGCAGTGGCTCAACGGTCAGTCTGGCATAATGTTGTTTTGGACCATCTTTTCTTACAAGCTTTGGAAGAAATGTAAATTCAGCAACAGAAACAAGTTTCTTAGGGCTGAAGTTATCCTAACTTGTAACATGATTAAGTGAATGACAACTCACTAACAATAATTTTTTGCACTTCCATTCTGTAGTCTTGTACATGATTATGGTCATCAATGTTGCCTTCTGATTCTGTATCTGTATCTGTATAGCCGGTATAACCGCCTTTCGGTGCAACACACCAGCTATAAGCTGATTAAGACCTAACCCTCTTATTGCTACCTAATTAACCTCATACAAGATTAAATGTTTTATTCCTGCTACCTGTATGTATAGGTCCCTTTGGAGACCTGAACGCAGAAGAGCTGGAAGAAGAGATTGGGAACATGTGGCGCACCATGTACAAACTCACCAAGCAGTTCAGCGACGTTGCTGGGCCGCGCCGCATCGCAGAGAGCGTCAAGTCCAAGATCGACAAGTTCAAGCAGCACATGCCGATCCTACAGACCATCTGCAACCCTGGTATCAGGGACAGGCACTGGGAACAGGTAAGGGGCTGTCACAACAGTTTGCACATCTGTTCTAAACAAAATTAGTTTGTTCAGCAGGTACATTGAAAATTGTGACACTTGTGACTCATAATCAACAATGCTTACTTTTGAATCCTTTTTACAGAGACTGATTAACACACAAAGGCATTTTGTTTAAGAAAAGTCATTTGAACATTTGAACAATATATTATTGCTTTCCTCCCATGTTTAGATGAGTGACATTGTGGGGTTTGACCTGAAGCCAGAACCAGAGACGTCCCTGTTCCAGATGCTGGAGTATGGACTGAACAAGTTCATGGACAAGTAAGGCCATTGCATGGCTATCTCCTTTTAACATCATGAATTATTATTTTTTAAGAGTTAGGTTCTTTCAATAGTTTGCACTGTAATAATTACTTGTACAAGTAAAAGCACACAAAAGAATATCAAGTTTAAGTTAAACTTTAGTTGACACTTTGAGTGTTTAATATTTTTGTGGTTTGTTTTCCAGACTGGAAGAGATTGGTGCAGCAGCCAGTAAGGAGTATTCCTTGGAGAAAGCCATGGAGAAGATGAAGACAGAATGGGCGGAGATGTTGTTTGAGTTTGTAGCATACAGGGACACTGTGAGTACACAAGGGCATGTTAAATGGGGGAGGGGGGGCACAGTTGATTCGGGTCTTTGCTATGAGCTGGTTCACCGTTTGGACTGTGAATGTCAATCAATTAGTGTGGTGCATTGTAGGTTATGTTACAGTTAAAGGCCCTGAAGCATCATTGAGCAAAACATGTTTGGAATCAAGTATGGTTAAGACAAGAACTGTTTACAAGTTTGGTACCATTGCTTCAAGTTAGACCTCATGCATATTAACAGTTCAAACTGTGAACAGGCTTTTTTGGGAAAATACACAATGTATATAAGATATATAGTGTATTAATATGTTGGTGGGAGTCCATTCTGATTTACATTTAATAAATTTCAAAGCATGCTCTTGATATCATAACGATAGTTGGGAGTAACAATAAGTTAACATTGCATTGCAAACATGGGATTAGCTCATAAAGCTTGAAGAGGAGAGTTTCAGTTTGACTACAATTGATGAATCTTCTGTCATGTGTTTTCTTTCACCTTTTTCCCCCACTACAATAGGGAGTGGATATAGTGTCGGAAATTGATAGTGTCCAGTCTTTACTGGATGACCAGTTAGTCAAGGCTCAGACAATGCGAGGCTCCCCCTATGTCAAACCCTTCCAACAAGAGATGAAGGTCAGGTGGATGTATGTGAAGGTCAACGGTTCTTGGCATGACTTTGTTTGGAAGGCAAACAAACAAGCAAATGAGCAAACAATGACGCTTGTAAAAGAACAATCCAAATGTCCAAATTCCAAACTTCCACAAATTAGCTTCTAATCTTACTTTATTTTATGCAGAAAAAAGAATTGTTTTGGCCAGCTTTTCACATGACCATGATCATGTGATCTCTGAGGAAAGTGCTATTGGTTGCTGGTCACATGACCGTGACGGCACCTGCTAAAAATACCACCTGTTGATGAAACCATCAAAAATTTTAAATGACAGGTTCTTTTCCTCTGAACAAAGTCATGTTAAGGAGAGTATTTGTGATGTCTGTATGTCCAATTCATGTTATGTCTTGTCTTTTTTTAACACACAGGGAGTTTCCATTTTGTCGTCTATTGATGAAATTCAAGTCCTTCTGGATGACCACATCCTCAAAACTCAGACCATGCGCGGGTCTCCCTTTATCAAGCCGTTTGAAATAGAGATTAAGGTGGGGTGGTAGACGGTTGGTGGGGAGGGGGGACTGTGCCATTGTCATACGACCAAGCTCTGGTTGCTGAGGTCTTGCAATGTGGTGATGAAGCAATGTGTAATGTGCAGTAACTGTTACTGTGCTAGAATGGTGGCAGTAGTTTTAGATGTCTCACTTTTGCAAATTGTGTAAACTGTGTTTAATGCAAACTACTGTTTTAAACACTTTCTATTCAAAAAAATTGGTGAGCTAGCATGCTGTTAGGGTCAGATATTGCAAGCTAAAAAATGAAACTTTTATTATTGTTTTTAACACCAAAGCTATGCATGGTTTATGTAAAGTCCACTAACAACCAAAAGAAGAAGAATCCTAAGTAGACTCATACATGTATTTGACTTACTGTAAAATCTTTATTATTCTTTTCCTTTTAATACTTAATTAATACGGCTGGTGTTGCAACTTGCAAGTTATGTAGAGGTAAAAAAAACATTATGAAAACAAGAAGTAGAAAAAAATGCAAAGGTGTGGAATTTAAAGGGAAATTGCTGGGTATAAAATAAGGTTTATATTGGTGGCATAATGTGTCCAAACCAGAGCTTGGTCTACAGAACATGGTGAAAGTCCTCCCCCCTACAACTGGAGTGTGATCTTCTGGCTTGCAGCTTATCCTTGGCTCACCTATCTGATTCAGCTGGTACTGCAGATTCCTAATTTGATCAACAACACACTGCAATTATTTTTATTCTCTTCAGCATCTATTGATCAACATCCCCTGCTCGACTAAACCCAACTTTGCCCAACATTTGATTCCTGGTCTACAGATCTGCTAACTTCAGTCTTGTCCTCTTTTCTCTGTGTGTGCGCATTGCAGTTGTGTGACTATGTAAATTTCTAAAGCTTTTGCCTAATATGTGTGTCTTTTTTGGATTTGACTGTTTACTCTAAATGTAGTTTTAAAAAATGTAGAATAGTTTTCTCTTAATGTAGTATCATTATTAATTATTAAGTTAAAAGGATAGATTTAACGTTCTGTAACAGCTTAAATTTATCAGTAAGAGCAAAGTGCAAGCACTAAGTGTCAGTATCAATATGATGATTTTGCACGTTGACAGAAATTTAAATAGTGTATATTTGCATACATGATTTATGCTAATGCCACTGGTTGCCATGGTGACAGGATTGGGAGGAGAAACTGATCCTGGTGCAGGACATCCTTGATGCGTGGCTGAAGTGTCAGGCCACATGGCTGTACCTCGAGCCCATCTTCAGCTCTCCCGACATCAACGCACAGATGCCTGAGGAGGGCCGCAAGTTCGGCATTGTGGACAGGTGAGCACCATCGAGACAAACACTGACTCAATGTCTCAGTCATAATGTCAAAATGCAAATGCAATTGTTAAAGTTGCACCAGATTGTACCAACATGTATATCTAGTCTCGTAATGTTGACAGTTAAAATCAATAATTATTATAACAAACTTTAAGGCTGTCTTTTAAGAGGGTTACGAAATTTTAAACTTGGACAAGACTTTGACAGAATTGCTTTCCATGAAATGTCACTTACATTTGTACTTATTTTTGGATTTAACTTTTGAGTATTTTACTTTTCATAGATGGATTAAAATGTATTATAGAAGTCTTGACACACATTCAATTCGGTAATATTTGTGTCATTTTATCAACAACTTGCCAGAGGTATTTCTTGTAAAAAATTCATTGCAAACTGCAATTCAACACGATAAATAGACAGTAAATTATGACATAATTGACTGTCTATCCAATGTGTAGGGACCTATAGAAACAAGGAAGGGCTCTAATATACAGTTATGTACCCTTTGCTAATGTTTGCAAAATTTCCCCAGCTATTGGCGTGACATCATGACAGAGGCAGTGAAGGACTGCCACGTGCTGGTGGCCACGGCCCAGCCCAACATGCTGGGGAGACTGCAGGAGTCCAACGTTCTACTGGAGGAGATCCAGAAGGGACTGAACGACTACCTGGAGAAGAAGAGGCTGTATTTCCCCAGGTTGGCAGGACAGAACTACATGTATACTGTCGACGTCTCCTAGATGTCATTCTAAAAAAAGGATCTCGATCCAGTTTTAGCTCACAGAAGACCTAATCTTCCATTGGTCGTGTCAGAGGAGACAGACACTATGTACAGTATTTACAGGTTCATTGTACCAGGGAAATTGCCTTAGCTTTCCTCTTTTTGACAAGCACAATGTTTATAAACATTCATTAAACAAGCAAACACCTAAAGAATTTTAAAAATTGTTTGTTAACTCAAAACGTTTTGCCTTATTTTGTGATCCAGGTTCTTCTTCCTGTCAAATGACGAGCTCCTTGAGATCCTGTCTGAGACAAAGGACCCGATGCGCGTGCAGCCTCACCTGAAGAAGTGTTTTGAGGGCATCGCCAAACTGGAGTTCACTGAGGACCAGGTCATCACCGGCATGATCAGCTCTGAGAAGGAGATCGTGCCGTTTACCAAGAAGATTGTCCCAGCTCAAGCAAAGGTAAGGCTTTAAAGTTTGGTTATTTCCTTTGGTTATGTATGATTTTTTTAATGTACTTGTGTAATGACTAAAAACCTATGAGAGAGAGAAATCTTCAGTCAGACTGTCGTTTGTGATGAATTTGCACTTAGCTCTAAAGTCTTGTCCTTCACTCTTCAGGGCATGGTGGAGAAGTGGCTGTTACAAGTTGAGGAGACCATGATCAGCAGTGTGCGTAAGGTCATCGCAGACAGCTACCTGGCTTACAAGGAGGTGCCCAGGAAGAAGTGGGTACTGGACTGGCCGGGACAAACGGTCATCTGTACCTCGTCCATCTACTGGACAGCTGAAGTGACCACTGCCATCCAGGAGGAGGGTGGACTCAAGGTGAGCGAATTGTTTTAAGATCCATTTAAGGACTGTTCCTAATTTTTTCTGGATGTGCAATTGTCATTACAGCCATCAACATTTTTAAGAAAGTATGTTCAACTTGGTAATGTTTAGAGAGGGATAAAGCCATGGTTATAAATAACATGCTTCCTGATAACAAAAAAAAACTAAGTCAATTTAGACATTTAAATTCTTGTAAACTAAGGCCTTACGGCTTACCTGAGCTGTGCATGCTTGCACGTCTTACCAATGTAGCAGCTCTGGGTACCAGTACATTGCACTGAATGTTTGAGTGCCTCCCGCTGCAATTATAGCAGCCCAGGCTTTTTGGCATGTAAATTTTGATGGTTCAGCTTTTAAATGTGTTTTTTTTTTTTTTTCAGAAATACTTGGAGATCAGCAACAAGCAGATTGATGAAATCGTCGCCCTTGTGCGTGGCAAGCTGGAGATCGGAGCTCGTTTCACACTGGGTGCCCTGGTTGTAATCGATGTCCACGGTAAGGCAAGAGGCATCAAAGTCAGCCCTCTTTTTTAGAAAATATCCTTCTAATGATATATGAAGCTTCAAGTGAGGGTGATTGAATGTTGTAAGAATCTAGATAGTTGACCAAAATTAATGATGAATACAATTACTTTATAGCTTATTTGTAGACTAAACATGTCCATGAACAATTCTTTAGCACGTGATGTGGTGGAGAAGTTGGCCAATGACAAGATCAGTGACACCAACGCGTTTGACTGGATCAGCCAGCTGCGGTACTACTTTGACGGGAAGGACGCCCAGGTACACATGATCACCACAGAGCTGGGGTACGGCTACGAGTATCTCGGCAACACTGGACGTCTGGTCATCACACCACTGACCGACAGATGCTACAGGTCAGTTGTGACGGTTTGTTTATCTGAAAGTAAAACTTTTGTTCCAACACAAAGAATGGTTCTTACCTAGAGCTTCTGACCAGTCACTCCGGTCTTCTTCAGTAGACTGACCCAGTGAGGTCATGAAATCTTACAATACTTCCTGGAAGTTTGAAGTCTGATTTCATGCCATCTACGGTGACTTCAGCTTTGTTTTTTTCCTTTTTGTATTTAAATTGTTTGGTTTATTTTGTTTCTGCTCAGGACACTGATGGGTGCGATGAAGCTGAACCTGGGCGGGGCTCCTGAGGGACCGGCTGGAACCGGAAAAACTGAAACTAGCAAGGATTTGGCCAAAGCCATTGCCAAACAGGTCAGCATGTGTTATTTTATAGTATGTTGCTAGAACAGATGACTTTGATTGATTTTACTGTAGAAGGACAACTGTTGACGGATTTGCTTGTTTCTTCCAGTGTGTGGTGTTTAACTGCTCAGACGGTCTGGACTTCAAGGCTATGGGGAAGTTCTTCAAGGGCCTGGCACAAGCAGGAGCCTGGGCCTGCTTTGACGAGTTCAACCGCATCGAGCTGGAAGTGTTGTCTGTGATTGCCCAGCAAATTCACAGGTACACATAGTGCCATGTATTTTTGATAGCTTCATTGCAATAATATAATGATAGACTGAACTTTGGGTTTGAGTTTCTTGGGACCCTCAATTGTCATACTGTAGCTAGTTTCCTTGATTGTATTGCTACGTTACATACTTCTTTGAGCATTGTTCATTTTCCTCAAATCGTTAGATTTTGCTACCATGAAGATTGATAAGAGAATTACTAACAGTAAATTCTCTGAGTCTGACGTTTGAAATAATTGCATATATATTTGGATGTATTTTGAATAGTAACAAAGAATCATTATTTCAGTATCCAAACTGCCATCTCCATGGGTCTGAAGAGGTTCCTGTTTGAGGGGACAGACCTGCAGCTGGACCCCACCTGTACCATCTTCATCACCATGAACCCTGGGTACGCAGGGAGACAGGAGCTGCCCGACAACCTCAAGGTCAGAGAACTTGTAAAACATACAAAAGCCATGATATAACTCATCTTGACTGTCCAACACAATTAGCGGTTCTACCAATGATAGCATGGCCATTAGAGGTTCGGCCAATTATAGAGAGGGGCTGCTTGCCTGTCAACTATTTTCATTTTAGGCAACAGGAGCTGCCAGACAACCTCAAGCTCATATAACATAAAAAATATTACTGTAACAGTATTAACCTGCCCATAAATAAACCAATGCTGGCAGTCCATCACATTATCATATTACTTTGAAATTCATAGTTTTCCTTCCTCTTGTTTCCTTCAGGTGTTGTTCAGAACTGTGGCCATGATGGTACCGGACTATGCCATGATCGGAGAAATCTCGCTCTACTCCATGGGATTCCAGGATGCCAGAAGGTACAAAGATCATGCAAAGTTGGCCACCATCTTCTTTGACACCTATCTTAATTGATATCTTCAACATGTCAGTAATGTGAACTTTCACGTTAATGTCAGTAATATTTTGCGTATTAGATATCAAGCAATGTTCACCTACCATCATAGACATACATAGTATCAAACAATTTTTCATTTATCTTTCATTGAACATTCACTGTCATGGTGATAATGATTTTTTTTCCGTTGTGCAGTCTTGCCATTAAGATCGTGGCCACGTACCGGCTGTGTTCTGAGCAGCTGTCCTCGCAGCACCATTACGACTACGGCATGCGTGCCGTCAAGTCCGTGCTGACGGCCGCAGGCAACCTGAAACTGAAGTACCCTGAAGAGAACGAGAGCGTGCTGCTTCTCCGAGCTATCCTGGATGTCAACCTGGCCAAGTTCCTGGCTCAAGTAAGTTTAGTTTATATTGGAAATAGCTTTTTGTGTTCGGAGGTTTTGCTTTTGGTGTTCTTTTCTATTTGCTTGAATGTGTGTCCTATTATAGTTATTTGTATATTTATAGAATACAGTAGAAAGAGCCACAGGAAGTGAGGGGGGAAATGGTATAGTCACATACTGATAGGAAGGTTCAATTGGAGGTCTGTCCATCAAAAAACTTCATGGGAGTGTGAATGTTCAGTTTCTTGATACAACCATGACAATAGCGGTCATGATTTTATGTCTGACTGAGAAAACTTTCAAATCAGATCTGTAGTAATTAACAAGTGCCCCAGATATCTTTGACTATTGTTAGTAGCAGAAGGCACACCATTTCACAGTACATACATGTAATGTTCTATGTTAATGATGACCTTCGCCCCCCTCCCACCCCTTCTCAAGGACATCCCACTGTTCCGAGGCATCATCTCTGACCTGTTCCCGGGCGTGGTCCTGCCTGAGCCAGACTATGCACAGTTCCTGGACGCCCTGAAGGACAACATGAAGAAGAGAAACCTACAGCCTCATCCCTGGCACATCGAGAAAATCATACAGGTGTGTGTCAGTCTGGTCCAGATGGTTTATTCTTACCTTTGTAATGAAGGTTATGCTGTGGGTGCTATTTGTCTGTGAGTTTGTAAACAGAATAACTTGAGAAGTTTTGAATGGATCCATATATTTTTTGGTAAGTGGGTAGGTGCAGGGTAGATGTTGGCAAAACAAAAGTCAAGTCTGAATAGGGCCGCTTTAGCTGCTTTCTGCTGGTCTGGCTATGCCATTGTTGTGATTTTGGAGTATTAGCCTTTTGGGGAGAGGGTAGATAGTGTGTGTTTTGGCCCCCTAGCAGGTTTTTTAAAACTGTAGGGACCTTTTTGTCAGTGATACCAGTTGTGCAATCCATCGGAAGGCCTAACCATCATTTCAGCACCACGGACATGAACAAAATTTTGTTTGCCTCAAAATATCAGCTATTTGCTACATATTAAGCCATTTAAAGTGTACAATTTTTATTATACAAGTTAAAACTAACAAAGCGGGAGATTGCCTAGGGATTTCCTCTTTGATAGGGTATAAAGCTGGTGGTCCTGTGCATGAGAAGAGAATAAGTTGATCAAACCTTGAGGTCTGAGGTCTGTCAATTGTTCCACAAATAGGGTACGTCTCCTTAAAGCTATTGTTACTATTAAAATGAATAAATCTTTATAATATGAAATCTGACAATCAGTTGGCTAATACTCTTGTAATCTACATGACACTAGGTTTATGAGATGATGCTGGTTCGTCACGGGTTCATGATCGTGGGTGACCCCATGGGCGGGAAGACCATGGCGTACAAGGTCCTGGCGGGCGCTCTGTCGGACCTGCACGCGGCCGGTCTGATGAACGAGAACAACGTCCTGTACAAGATCATCAACCCCAAGGCCATCACCATGGGGCAGCTGTACGGCTGCTTCGACCCCGTCTCACACGAGTGGAGCGACGGTCAGTTGGAGTGTTTTTACATTCAATTTAATGGAATTGAATTTTTTAAAATTCTTTCAGGTATCCTGACAGCAACAGACATATTTACTATGATGATATTATGAGACTAAACAATTTATGTTTATATTTTTGTAAAAAGGCAAATTTTAGAAGTCATTACTCTGTTGTGGTGTTGAGTAGTCTGTTTATAGATTTAAACGTTTTCCAGCATCTGGCATCAAATGTACAGTGTGTATTAAATTTTGTGTTTGGTTTCACATCGTTTTCTCCTTTTAGTGCTGTCATTTTTTCTGTCATTTTTTGTGCACTGTTTGACACAGTAAGGATTTTAGGAAATTTCTACAAACAGTACTTCTTCTGACAAAACGTGCTTTTAGTTGTGAATGCTGTGAGATGTAATCTTATTGACTGTATGTTACTGACTTTGTCGTTATCCATCAGGTGTGCTGGCCGTGTCGTTCCGTGAACAAGCCTCCTCCACGCTGGAGGACAGACAGTGGATCCTGTTTGACGGTCCGGTAGACGCCGTGTGGATCGAGAACATGAACACTGTACTGGACGACAACAAAAAGGTACAACATGTAACAAAGACTGCACACTGTGTATCTTACTGCAGTTCAGGACAGTCAGAATAATTTCAAAATACAGTTTTTACTGCACTTTAAGACAACCAAAGTTTTGAAATGTTAAGTTCTGAAAAAGAACTTTTAAAAAAATGCCGAGGTGTATCCCAAATACATGTAGGGCATTATATGAACACATGTACTGTTATTTATTGTGTCCAAAATGGTTAGAACTTTTGCTAGAGATAGTTGAATGTTTAAAAATGACATTGTAGTAAAAAGCACGAGTTGATGTAACAATTATGTTTTTGTTTGCTTGTTGCAGCTGTGCTTGATGAGTGGAGAGATTATCCAGATGAGCAGTCAGATGAGTCTGATCTTTGAACCTGAAGACCTGGAGGTCGCCTCTCCTGCCACAGTTAGCAGGTCAGGTCATAGTTCATAGGTCAACATATACTGTAAATCATTGAACTATTGTGGTGGTTTTATCTTGCACTACGATGGAAATGGAGGTTAAATTCACAGTTGAAACAGTTCTGTAGTACTTACAAGGAAGACAAATTCTCAGTGTCATGAATTCACTGTTGAGAGGTCATGATTACTGGAAAAACAGCAAAAATAAAACTGATGTGAAAGTTTCAAGAGTTACAACAAACTGTAACTGAAATTTGAAGCAAATTGTTGCATTGAGTAGCCCTAAAATTGCAACTTAACTGAATTTAAATCTTCTTGTATTTTAGGTGCGGCATGATCTATTTCGAGCCCCACCAGCTAGGCTGGCGTCCCTACAAAGAGTCTTACTTCAACAACCTGCCAGAGACAATGAACAAGGAGCACAGGGATCTTCTGGACGACCTCTTTGAGTGGCTAGTTGACCCTTGTCTTGGTGAGTGTGGAAGTATTGTTTTGGGTGGCTGTGTTTATGAGTTCATCTGTATTGATTCCTTTTGGTTTCATGGTGGATGGGAGGTGATTTTGACAGATGATTGGTATGGAAGGTATGTGAATTATATATTATTAATAAAAGTTTTGTTTACCCATGTATGTTTCTATTTCTTCCGTATACTAATCCACAAGTTGATTTTTTTCAGACTACATCTTCCACGAGTGCAAGTTCTTTGTGAACTCTGCGGCGGGTCCTCTGGTCATGTCCCTCCTGAGACTGTACACGTGTCTGATCGACGAGATCACAAACTCTGGAGCTGAGGGCTGGGACAAACTGACAGACCAACAGGTACAGAATTATGAAACAATTATTCTACATTCTGTACTACTATTAGTAACTCTAAATGCTTTTACTTTAGCAGTCCCTGTGTGTATTTTAATGTGTTTTTCCTTTAAATTTGTTTTGCAGATTACCATGTGGATGCAGAACCTGTTCCTGTTCTGTCTGATCTGGTCCATCGGAGGAACGATCACCGGAGACGGGCGCAAGAAGTTTGATGTCTACTTCAGGAACATCATTGCAGGAACAGACCCTGATCATCCCAAACCTAAGAGCTTCAAACTCAGCAAGGTGAGAGATGTTTCAAGAAATAAAATCCAGGGGTTAGGGGTTGGATTCCCATCACTACCATGCCTTTTGAATCATAGATTTCTTTCTTTATCTTCTACACTACTGTTTGTTATTTCAACATGGCCTTCAAGTTTTTACTTGGGTATAGAAGTATTATTTTTATTTTGTATTATTTAAACCTAAGGGTCACGAAAAACCCCATATACTTTCCAGACATGTGAAAATTTCTTATTTCTTGTTTAAAGTGTTTTCTCACTCGCATGTTGTAACTGTTTCTAAATGTCTTAAACTTCATGTTTTTCAGAGTAACTTGTTCCCAGAGCGAGGGACCGTGTACGACTACTACTTCAAGAAGCAGGCCAGTGGTTCCTGGAGTGGGTGGATGGACTACGTCGACCAGAGCAAGACTGCCATCCCAGCTAATGCAAAGGTACTGACTCAGAGTTTGTTTTTTGCCTACGACTTCATTTTGCTTGTTTTTGTGTGTGTGTGTGTCCACGACTTGATATACTTTTTTAATTTTATAGAATCAATTTAAATTATAACTTCTTTTTTCTATTCCTACAGGTTACGGAGCTGATCATCTCTACGGAGGAGACAGCCCGACAGACGTACTTCCTGGACACGTTCCTGCCCCACAGCGTACCGCTGCTGTTTGTCGGACCCACCGGAACCGGAAAATCCGCCATCACCAACAACTACCTGGTCAAACTGCCCAAAGAGAAGTGAGTGCAAACAATTTTCGCCAGAAAACTTAACAAAATTAAGATGTCAAATGAATGAATGAATTTACTTATCATGATCATGTATATCATGACCATTATGAATGAAGTTAGTAAGGAGGGCACATGTGTTACATGTATTCATGATCAATTGTTTCATGTTTCAATTGTTTTCTTGTACATTACAGATACATATATTCTGTACTTAGTAGTATATTTTTTTGACCATTATAAATGAGGTTAGTGAGGATGGCTCTCAAGTTGTTTGAAGATAATAGATAAATATGTAAAACTATTTTCCTTTATTTTACAGATATCTGCCCAACGTCATCAATTTCTCTGCCCGCACAACGGCCAACCAGACGCAAGATATTGTGCTCTCCAAATTGGACAGGTAATTATAACATTTTAGAAAACTTATACTCACTAGTCTGATACAATGTACTAGAGGAATGAAAATTGAACTGTACTGGATTTAAGTGGTCAGATTTTTCTTCATTGTACTTAGTAGTACATCATGACCAGTATGAATGCGATAGTGAGGAGGAACTATTCTAACTTTCATTTATAAGCCTTAGGGCTGTAAACTGTATTGGATTACTTCAACCAATATCTAAAAAAAAAGAGACTCACCTACTAACCCTGTTTTTTTTTTCAGGATTGTCTTATTCCTTATACTAGAAGAATCAAAATTAAATTGCGTACTAGTCAGATTTTTCTTAATTGTACTTAGTAGTATATCATGACCATTATGAATGTGCTTATTGAGGATTGACTGTTCCTTCATCTATCCAGACGGCGTAAGGGTGTGCTAGGCCCGCCCATGGGTAAGAAGTGCGTGGTGTTTGTGGACGACCTGAACATGCCGGCTAAGGAGAAGTACGGTGCCCAGCCTCCCATCGAGCTGCTGCGACAGTGGCAGGACCACTCCCACTGGTACGACCTCAAGGACAACACCAAGATAGAGCTGACTGACGTGGTCAGTACTTTTTTAATTTTTACAGTTTACATCTTGTCCATTTTAACTATCTCCCTGCTGCCTAACCTTGTAAGCAATAGACACTTGGTACCTAAAATTAGTTCAGTATGCTAAAGATTAAGAATAGCTGACAGCTAGTTTTTTTTACTGTAAAACCCAAATTTATCTTAATAGAAACATATTGATCAAAAACTTTTAGATTCATATTTTGTTGGTCTAAAAGGTGTGCATGAGCACTTTGATTTGTGTCATGTACTTCAAAAAGAGAAAAAGTTTTTTAACTGTTAAAGAAAAGGAAAGTATGAGCTAATATTCCTTACAAACCACCTGGTTTTATATTGATGAAGTAATAGTACATGCATGTATATTTTGCAACAAACTCTGTAACTTAATTTTAAGTCCAGTACAGTTTTTTTTCCTTACAAATATTCAACTTTCTTGCAGCTGTTTGTTTCCGGTATGGGCCCACCTGGAGGTGGGAGGAACCACATCACAGGTCGCATGATGCGGCATCTCAACGTCATCTCCATCGACTCGTTTGACGACAGCACCATGAGCAAGATCTTCACCTCCATCGTGGACTGGCACTTTGGCAAGGGCTTTGACGGGTCCTTTTTGAGGCTGGGCAAGGTAGGACATTAGTCAAATAGATGTACAGGGCAGATATGCCACCTGGCAACAAGTGTCAGAACTGCAGTGACTAGTGTTGCCACTTTATAGTGTGCAACCTGTGGATTAGATTTTGACACTGATTTTCTTTTCTTGCAATGCTCATTTCTTCAGGTCAACCTATTGTAGACAAAATGTACTTTGAATTGCATTTTATCACAAAAAGCATCTGACCGTTTTCAAAATCATATCCAGTTGCTGTTTTTTGGTGTAATCTCTTGGTCTTTTCACCAACTGTTTTAAATTTTGTATTTATGTAATAGTATATGATATTAGGAAAGGACTCCAGCAAGACTTAATCTAGAAAGTACAAATATTGGAGAGTCTAAACTAGAGCTGTGTACCGGTACGCAGTACCGATACTGTACCGGAAAAATTGATTAGGTACAGGTCCAAAATACCTAATCCCTCAGTACCGGTACTGTACCTAAACAATTTCACACTAATTTTATGCCTATTTGTGACCTCAAATGTGTAAATAGCTGGTCCACAATGGGTCCCTGTGTAAGGACAGTGTGTTCATGAAAACAAAAACAACTTAGTTTTGCCTATATTTTATCTGAGCATTCGCCATAAACAAAGAATAAACCTTAACTATCAAGTTTATTTATGTTTTTTGTTATTGAAGGAGTTCAGAAGAGCATATAAATTGGTCGAATTGTTCAGGTACAGGTTCAGGTCCGGACCTGTACCTAAACCTGTGTACCTGTACCTGTACCTGTACCTAAAATTTGTTTAGGTACACAGCTCTAGTCTAAACATGTCTGTTTTCCCCACAGATGTTGGTCCAGGCCACGATGACTGTGTATAAGGAGGCGATCGCTAACTTCCTCCCGACCCCCTCCAAGTCTCACTACCTGTTCAACCTGCGAGACTTCGCCCGTGTGATACAGGGAGTCCTCCTGGTCCCCAGCAGTAACATGAAGGAGGGAGACAAGCTCATCAGACTCTGGATCCACGAGGTCTACAGATGCTTCTATGATCGTCTGATTGACGATGATGACAGGTACTGTAGACTTGAAAAAATGAAAATACAGACTTAGCAGGTGTTACCCAGGTGTTAGCCACATGTTTACAGTGACCAGATAAGCAGAGACCTTAAAAAGGCTGCAAATATTTTGATATCTACATTGACCTACAGTTTGCTTTTCATTTGCTCAAAGATTGCAAATAAACAACAAGGAATCATGGATTTCAATGATTACTACAATATGAAACTGACAGAATATGTTTGGTGCCTCTGAAGTTGAAAGAAAGTGAACAAGTGTACACAGTTTCAAGTCAAAATATTAATTTTTTTTTTTCATCTTTTTCAGGCAAATGTTCTTCAACATCATGAAGGAGACCACAAAGGAATGCTTTAAGACCAGCATGGACAAAGTCCTGAACCACCTGACTCCCAGCGGCAACCTTATCGACGACAACGTCAGGTTTGTTTGTTTTTCTGTCATCGATAAACACAAGAAACATATCAAAAGCTGCCATCTTACCATGTTCTGTAGTTCTATATTAAGTCTATTGCACACCTCAGGTAATTTTTCATTTTGAACCTTGAACGGTTCTATGGCTATTTCGCTCTAAGGCTAGAGATTGAAAGGTCATGGGTTTGAGTCCTTGCATTCCTTGCTAACAGTAGATGTTTTGTTCTTGCATTGGAAAGGGCACTTTCTTCACTCCACTTAGGTGTAAAATGGGTACCTGACTTCAGTTGGGAAGGTGAAAGGTGGTGGAAGGAGAGGGATGGGACACAATGGATCAACAAACCACTGCCCCTACGGCCTCAAAAAGGCTATGGACGTATAGTACAGAATTTCCATTACTGCCCTTTCTCTAAATCTGTGAATGTCTTGTCTGTTTGAACAGGAGCCTGTTCTTTGGTGACTACATGTTACCTGATGCAGACCCCAGGATTTATGATGAAGTCACCAGCATTCCTGAGTTACAGACTGTCATGGAGTCGTAAGTACACAGCAATTTCCATATCTAAACCAATAACAAAACAAAGAGCTTTGTGACCAAGACATATGCACTTTTATTGAATCTATCGAGCACCACAAAATGAAAGACTGACATGTCCAAAACAGAACATACAACCTCTACCCCACCTAAAGTTCTGCTGCAGTACCAGGGAAATTTGCTAGGAGGCTCACAAATGCATCTTTGGGATCGTAATTACTCACATACTAAGTGTCAAACAAGTTACAACACAGTAACAGTGCTACATCCACTGACCACACAATACACAGCCATCAAAAACAGTACCTCCTTTACAGAGTTTACTGACACTAGAAAGGCCAATTTGCAAGCAAATACAGAATATTTCATCTCCCCATGTGAAATTGTATATTAAACAAAAAAATATGACTCTAACAGAGTTTAAAACAGTGAAGACAATATTGAGAATATAAAGAGTTTCGTTCTCAAAACAGTAAATGTAATGTTATTTTGTGTAGGTACCTTGATGAGTACAACACCATCAGTAAGGCTCCCATGTCGCTGGTACTGTTCAAGTTCGCCTGTGAGCACATCTCTCGTGTCAGCCGTGTACTGAAACAGGACAACGGACATCTCCTGCTTGTGGGTAAGTCGTCTCGCCTGCACTTACAATGTAGTTACTGTAATAAATGGCATATAAATGTATAGGTATATGTATATGTAGAGATTTTGTTGGTTAGATTTAAAAAAATTAAAAAAAATGGGGTTTCTAGTGTTCAGATTTTCACCAAAACTTGTCCAACCATAGATCTCAGGTAGAACAGTCTGTGGAAAAGCCATGTGAGTGAAACACTGTCACGAAAATTGGAAATGCTGTTTATAAACACTATTATATAATAATGGGTCCTGTACATGGTGCTGAATGACATGCTGTTTTAGCACCTGTCTTTCCAACACTTTGCATATAAAGAAAATCCTTTTTTTTTCATTATGTGGAAGAGATGATTTGCCATTTCAAGAGAAATAAAACTCTTAAAAAGGAATGAGATGCTGTATTAACTTATATTAACCATATTTTGTGACAGGTATTGGTGGCAGCGGCCGACAAAGTGCCACCAAGCTGGCCACCTTCATGCAGGACTTTGATCTGTTCCAAATTGAGATCACCAAAAACTACACCAACACTGAGTGGAGAGAAGATGTCAAAAAGGTCAGACAACAGGCTTTCTTCAACTTATTTCTAGGGGGAGGAAGGAAGTCCAAACTTTAACTAAACAAAGTTTCAAGAAGAAATGGAGGGTCTCCTAAGAACTACAGAATATAAAATAATGTGGAACCACAATTTCTTGGATGTAGTAGTATTTGTTAGTTTTGTGTATTGATTTCATGGTTATTTGAATACAGTAGAGTGAGAGGAAGTGAGGGGGAATGATGTAACCACAGAAGAGAGTGACAGGAAATGTAGTTCAGAGAATTAGATTCTAATCCTGCCCTTTTTCCCATTGGATTATATCTAACCATTTCATTCCATATTGTCAATGGTTTGAGTATGGTCAAAAACATTAAAGTTCATTTTTCATCTTGCTACACTATCTTCCTCACCAGGTGTTGCTGAAAGCGGGTTCAGAGGGCAAACAGACAGTCTTCCTGTTCAGTGATAACCAGATCAAGAGCGAGTCATTTGTAGAAGACATCAACATGATCCTGAACACCGGAGACGTGCCCAATATCTTCCCGCCGGACGAGAAAGCCGACGTCATCGAGAAAATGCAGCTTGTCGCCAGAAACACTGTATGTGTTACTTTTATACATGTTTTTGATACTATTAGAGAAAAATATGATTTAACCTTGACCAATTGGACAGAAACTGTTGGACCAATTGGACAGAAACTGTGGTTTTGCTTAGGTGCAGTTTGTTTTGCTGAGTCCTTTTACACCTGGTCAGTTTCCAGCGTTTGCCATGCACTTCGGGCTCAAACTGCTAGGGGGCACTATCTGACCTCTTCCATGACTTTGTCTCCAAACAGGGCAAGAAGATTGAAGCCACGCCCATGTCCATGTACAACTTCTTCATTGAGCGCGTGAAACAGAACCTCCACGTGGTTCTTGCCTTCAGTCCCATCGGTGATGCCTTCCGTAACCGCCTCCGTCAGTTCCCCTCGCTGATCAACTGCTGCACCATTGACTGGTTCCAGGTAAGATGAAATATGACAAATCATTCATAGCTTATTGTTTTTACAGTTAGTTTATAAGTGCTGAAAATGTAAAACATTTCATACAGTACATGTAATAGATTTGCAAAAATGTACGTTTTTGTGTTTGGGTACATGTATGGAAGTATTGTTTTGGGTGGCTGAGTTGTAGGTTTGTTTCTTTGTTAGAGGGTGATATGTGGAGGAATTGGAATAATACCCAATTGAATTGCATCATACAGTTCTAATATATTCATGGACACATTAAAATCTTCCAAGAGATCTGTGACCTCGAGGATCACAAAAATTATAAATACTTCCTGGAAGTCTCAAATTTCCCATTTCTCCTTTTTTTTAGGCGTGGCCTGAAGACGCCCTGGAGATGGTCGCTAACAGGTTCCTGGAGGACGTAGACCTTGACGACGACCTTCGGAAGGAATGTGTCTTCATGTGTAAAAACTTCCACACCAGCGTCAAGCTTCAGTCCGAGAAGTACGTTCAATCTTTCACTTCTTTAAGAAAATGTCTGACTGCCATTGTCTTTTAAAAGTTCAACTTGTAAATAGTATTGGTCCAGGATTATTGTGAAAAAAATAGTATTGGACATTCAAATGTGATCAGTTCAACTTATTATTTGTAATAAAACTGGTCACTTTACGATGGAAATAAAAAAAGTAAGTTTTCTGATCCACTGTGTCTTAGGCAGAAGGCAGACCCCATGCCTCTCCTTCCATCTGAGCTTTTACCTCCCCAACCTAAGTCAGGTACCTGTTTTACACCTGGATGGATTAAGGAAAGTCAAGTAAAATGCCTTTCCCTAGGACTTGATATCTAGCCAGAAATGCTAGGAATTGAACCTGCAACCTCTTGTCATTGTGTCTGCTAATCTAGCCACTCAGCCATTCAACACCACATGTTATATAATGTCGTGTTTGTGTTACCACAGGTTCCTGGCCATCCTGCGTCGCCACAACTACGTGACCCCGACGTCATACCTGGAGCTGATCATGACCTTCAAGGCTCTGCTGGACCTAAAGCGTAAGGAGATCATGAAGCTCAAGTCTCGCTACGAGACCGGGCTGGAGAAGCTGGCCTTTGCAGCATCACAGGTGAGCCTTCGCTTTATCATCGAGTTTTGGCAACACCACAGGGGTGGAGCTTTTTATTACTTACTTTTGTCATCATTGAATACTAACAATTTAGAGAAGATCTTAATTCCACGTACATGCAGCTGCATATTATGTAATGCCACCCAGATATCAGTTGCTAATGCAGTTGGATAGATTTAAAAAATGGTCAGATGTTTCATCCACTAACTTCTATCCATGTACTGGACAACTATTTTTAAAATGCTTTTGATGTTTTTTTGTTTTGTAAGATAAACTACATTTACTGTAATACCAGTATCAATGAACCTATCAATGGGGAAATAGTCCTTACAGCTTAAAATTACTGTTGTTGACAACAATGGCCTTGTTCTGTTTTTAGGTGTCTGTGATGCAGAAAGAGTTGCAGGACCTCCAACCAGAGCTCATTCAGACCTCGGAGGAGACTGAGAAACTCATGGTGAAGATCGAGGCTGACACGGTCGAGGTGGAGGCCAAGAAGCAGGTTGTCGCCGCTGACGAGGCAGTAGCTAACGAGGCAGCCGCCGCGGCCAAGGCCATCAAGGATGAGTGTGAGGCTGATCTGGCTGTGGCCATGCCCGCGCTGGAGGCTGCCATAGCTGCTCTCAACACCCTCAAACCTGCTGACATCACCGTCGTCAAGTCCATGAAAGTTTGTTGCATTTGTTTATTGTCTTTTTATTTAGGACTCTGGTCTCTTAAAGTATATCTGTGTGTGTGTGGAAGTATTTTTTTGGGTGGTTGAGCTCTGTGTGTGTGTGTGTGTGTGCCTGTGCATGTGCGTGCGTGCGTGTGTGTGTGTGTGTTGACAGCATGTGGGTTGGGAAGATTGATAAGCACAATAACAAAATGATGATAGGAGGTTAGAAGGTTAGGCACAGAAAATGGCTCTGACTGGGAGCCAGCAGCAATTAGAGGTCAACATGAGGGAATTTGGAAAGCTAAGGATCACATAAGGCACTCCTCAATACTTACCAGAAGTCTGAAATCTTTCTTGGTTTAATTTATTTTGAAAAAAATTCTTTCCCCACCAGAACCCACCTGCTCAAGTCAAACTGGTTATGGAGGCGATCTGCGTCATGCGGCAGATCAAGCCGGAAAGGAAACCGGACGGATCCGGTAAGATGGTGGAGGACTACTGGGGACCGTCTCAGAAGCTTCTCGGTGACATGAAGTTCTTAGATCACCTAAAGACGTACGACAAGGACAACATTCCAGCCGCTGTCATCAAGAAGATTCGAGACAGGTGAGGGAGTTATCTGGATGTTAAAATCTGAAGATTCACTATTTGACATTGATTTGAGAAAACAATTATCTAAGCTGAGTTGATAATTTGTGAAAACTACACAAGTTTGTGATAACTGAAAATTTTGGTAATGATAGCAACAAAAAATTATTGTTGTTCAGAAATGACAGATCAATCCATTATTTCATCATCAAATTTATGAATACATGTATAATTACAGCAGCTGTGATTGTTGTTGTTCACCTTTGCACACCTTTGTTCCACAGATACACCAATGACCCTGAGTTTGACCCTGCTAAGATCAAGAACGTGTCGTCTGCCTGTGAGGGTCTGTGCAAGTGGGTACGGGCCATGGAGGTGTACGAGAGGGTGGCAAAGGTATCGTTTGTTTGTATATCTGTTTCGCACGTAAAGGGTAAGATTGCAACAAAACTATAATTATTATGTCTTGTGTGAAAGGGATAGAAAAATCAATGTACAGCAAATGTAGTTCCTCTAAAACAAACTTAGGAAAAGTCAAAATACTTGGTTCTAGGTTGGATTTACAATGTAGTACTCCCCTTGGAACTGCACTCCCTGTGATTCACCTATACAATGTTAAATCCATCCTAAGACCAAGGTTTGCTTGATAGAGGCCCTGCCTCTGAAGCATTCCCAAAGTTTCTTTTCCACCCTGATGCCTTTCCTTTACTTTACTTTTCTATCAAATCTGACACTGCTAGATCTGACTGAATGGATGGTTTCTTTTTTTCAGGTGGTTGCACCCAAGAAGGCCAAACTGAAGATTGCAGAGGCAGAGTTATCCGTACAGATGGCAAAACTGAACGAGAAGAGAGCAGAACTCAAAGCTGTAAGTTTTCCTTCAACAACATTTCCCTAAAAAAGATGCAGAATATACAGTCATATTATCAGATATTAGAAACCTGCCAAAAATAGCATTTTAGAACCAATATTCACCAAATGTTTACATCTTTTAGACAGCTCTAAGGAAAACCTGACTTGTGAACAGGTTGCTGATGCTGATGGTTCTGTGCTGCCCCCTTGCAGGTCGAGGACAAACTGCAGGCCCTGAATGACCAGTTTGACGTCATGACCAAGAAGAAGCAGGACCTGGAGGCCAACATCGAACTCTGCTCCCAGAAGTTGATCCGCGCGGAGAAGCTGATTGGCGGGCTGGGCGGAGAGAAGGACCGTTGGAGCGAGGCGGCCAGACTGCTGGGGATTCGCTACGTCAACACGACGGGCGACATTCTCCTGTCAGCTGGCGTGGTCTCCTACCTCGGGGCCTTCACTGTGGACTACAGGATTGTAAGTACAGGTTCAGGCCAATGTCTACATCATAAAATAAATACATCTGGTACAAAATAATGTGCAGTTGTATCATATGCTAATTAATTGATTTTAATTATGCTAAGTTGTTTGCAGGATAGATTGTTGAGAATAATATTGTTGGTTGAAGATCTATATTATTAGATATGTCTTTCGTCAGGTTGATAGGACATAGGATAAAGGAGTTTTCCCCTTACACAACTGTTAATGTCTCTCCCCTGCATACACTTCGATGTCTATCTACAACAACAATACTTCACAGACTGAGGTGTTGTGTGTACTTCTAAATCTGGCTGTCTAACCATGCATGTTTATTTTTACCAACAGGAGTGTACTGAAGACTGGCACAAGAAGGCATTAGAACACAACATCCCCTGCTCGCAGACCTTCTCCCTCAACGGTACCCTCGGTGACCCCGTTAAAATCCGGGCATGGCAGATCGCAGGGCTGCCTGTGGATTCCTTCTCCATCGACAACGGCATCATCGTGTCCAACTCCAGACGCTGGCCACTGATGATTGACCCGCAGGGTGAGTTGCAAACTGGGCCACTTTGGGGCAAGAGTTTGCATTTACCTTTCTGTTAGCACCCTCCGAGCTCTTGACTTTGACGTTAACCTCATTTTCTGTTTCTGACCTTTTGACCTATCAATCAGGAATCTCCTACCCAATAGATCTTCAAATACTTATTCTTCATGAAAACTGTTTAAGGGTTAGGCATAATTTGGGGAGAGGGGCAAATCATTGCATTTTAAAACTTATGTCAAATGTTCTGGTACATTTTAATTTGTTAGCAAGGTATGAAATGCTTCAATTTCTTAGTTATCAGGTTTTTACTGGAAATGAAGCACACTCATGCATAATGAAAAACTTCAGCTGTTGGTGCCAACTATGACTGGTACATTGTATGATTGTTTTTCTAGTCAGAAAAAAATGGGTTGGGGAAATACCCAAACCAAGTTTGAAGTTGGTGTATCCAAAAAAAGTAACAAAAATGCCCTAAACTTTCAACTTCACCCTTGCAGGTCAAGCCAACAAGTGGGTGAAGAACATGGAGAAGATGAACAAGCTGGCGATCATCAAACTGTCAGACGCTAACTACATCCGCACGCTGGAGAACTCCATCACGTTCGGCACACCTGTACTACTGGAGAACATCGGGGAGGATCTGGACCCCATCCTGGAACCCATCCTCACCAAGCAGATCTTCAGACAGGTGGGTGGTCTTGGCTGTCATCAGGCAAATGATTGTCGGTGCTACATCATTGTAATCCGAAACTTTCTGGAAGTGTAGGATGAAATAGTTCTCAGTTCATTTGTTTGAATGTGTTTTTGCCTGTGTTTCAATAATTTTTATTTACACATGCATGCTAGGCATGTCAGACAGTTTTCTGACAGGAAGTTAGGTCAAAGGTCCCAGAAAAGGTTCCTTTCCTGTCTTCAATTTTCTGCTTTGTTTTTTATTCTACAGTCAAACAAGTTTTGGCTGTTAAATAGGAATCTTTTAGTCATGAAAATGATATTTTGTTTGGCTGCAATAATTGTAGCATTGTAATTGCCTTACATATTTGATGTGGTTAGAAGTTATGACAAACATTTTATGTTGTTTTGTATGATTCTAACAGGGAGGTGTAGACTACATCAAGCTGGGAGAGAATGTCATTGAGTACTCCAAGGACTTCAGATTCTACATGACAACCAGGCTCCGTAACCCGCACTACATGCCTGAAATCTCTGTCAAGGTCAGTTAGAGACCTGTCATTTCTTGAATTTGTTGTCAGAGAAGAATCAGAGAGGAGAGGACAGATTGCTACCTTTTGTGTGCAAATCATACATTTGTTAAAGATTGCAACAATTACCTCGTAAAGCACTAAGCAGCAAATCCTGCTGATGAGTTGTGCTCCACATACCATTAAAAACACACAATATGATTAATAATTATTAATTGTGAGTCATACTAACAAATGATATGTAGAAATTTGACTCATAGGTTAGTAGGGGAATCTCTCTTGGACAAGTAATTCTGGGAACAGTTTAACTTGATAAGATTGTTTCTAACTACCTAGCCAAATACTTTAATTATTGAAGTCTAATAAAATACATGACATTGTCATTGTCATTACAAAAGTTCCATGCTAAATGCTTTTTATTGCTACATGTAATTATCAGGTGTGCTTGGTGAACTTCATGATCACCCCCCTGGGTTTACAAGACCAGCTGCTGGGCATCGTGGCCGCCAAGGAGAAACCAGAACTGGAGGAGAAGAAGAACGAGCTCATCCTGGAGAGCGCCGCCAACAAGAAACAGCTGAAGGAGATCGAGGACAAAATCCTGGAGGTCCTGTCCTCCTCGGAGGGCAACATTCTTGAGGATGAGACGGCCATCAAGATTCTCTCGTCCTCCAAGGTTCTGTCCGAAGAAATTTCTGCAAAGCAGGTGGGTATCAATCATGTTTACCTCCATGTGCGAAGGTTTGTTTTCTGTGTGTCTGTTGGTATGTTTCTGGTATGTACTATAGGCATGTCGGGGAGACTGACAGGAAGTTAGGTCAAAGTTTTAAAAAAAAGGTTATCTGTGAGTGTTTACCTCTGTGTACAGAGGTTTTGTTTTCTCTGTCTGTTTATGTGTTTGCTTGTGTTTCCGTAGTTATTTTCCACATGCTAGGCAGATACTGACAGGAAGTTAGGTCAAAGGTCCCAGAAAAGGTTATCTCATTTTCAGTCTTCAATTTCCTGCTATGTGCATGTCTGTTGCCTCGTGGGAGTCAGGCGGTAAGTGCATCAAGCAATCTGAAGACACCGTTAGGCCACCAATTCTCTTCTAGCTACAGTGGCTTTTTTTCTGCATACCTGCACTGGTGCGGGTAGCATAGAAATTTCCTTCACCAGACAAATTTTACCTTCACCACTCAGAATTTAGCATTTGATCACAAGAAACACTGCATACATGTACTATTAGGTGGTAACAGTCAATGCAGCAATTAAAACTCCACATACACCTACATGTATGTAAACCCAGTACATGGACTGGTGAGGTTTAGGTGCAGGTAGACATCAGCTCCAATTTTACCTGCACTAACCTGCACATGCAGGACTGGTTGTATATCGGCCTAACTTAGATAGCAGGTTGTATAATAAGTGGACTCACACAGTCATCCATGGCACACCAAATTAAAGGTTAAACAACAACTTCAGTCACTGTACACTTTCTGATACATGTCATAATTGCCCTGAGGAAGGTGACAGACTGTCACCAAAACGTCAGCTGTGAATAAAACACTTGGTTGTGTAAAAAGAGTCTCTTTACTCATGTCATAACTGCTTTTCCCCAGGAAATTGCTGATGTGACTCAGAAGGAGATTGATGAGACCAGACTTGGTTACAGTCCTGTGGCCGTCCACTCTGCCATCCTGTTCTTCTGTGCCTCTGACCTGGCTAACATCGAGCCCATGTACCAGTACTCTCTTACATGGTTCATCAACCTGTATGTACAGGTAGGTATCAATGTCACACTTAACCCTTAGCACACTGAAGTAGCTGTTTAGCTACCAATTTTCAATTGCTTATAGCATTAAGCTTGGGGAATGTTAAATTACAAGATATTACATTGTACAAAGAATTTTGCATAAAAAGGTTGTTGGAATCTCAAATACTGCAGTCTGTGATGGTCTTTGTCAAAAAATTATGGCTATTGTTTTCTACTTTGACGAGGTACACAACAACATGTTTGTAAATGTATCCTGTTAATAGCTAGTACATGTACATGAAATTCATCTTATTGTTATTAAATTATAATACATAAAAAAAACTTGTAAAACAAAGCCTTTTCGAAGAGTTGCCTTTTTCTACATTTGTACTATCTGGATGTTAAGACATAGAATCACAATCATGATGTTTTGTTTTTCCTCTAGTCCATCCAAAACAGTAAGAAGTCGGATGACCTGGAGGAGCGTATAGAGAACCTGAACGATCACTTCACCGTCAGTATCTACAACAACGTGTGCCGGTCGCTGTTTGAGAAGGACAAGCTGCTCTTCTCCTTCATCCTGTGTGTCGGCATTCTGAAGGGAGCGTGAGTATTGCTTATTAATTTTATCTGACTACTTATGCCGCAACAGTATGGGATCCATATCAGGGCTGTAGCCAGCACCTGTTTTTCTGTCAATTGCAGGAACTTTGTGGTATGTGACAGAAAAATTACCAATCTGTCAAAATTGATGGACAAAATTGACAAAAATCTTTGGTAAAAATTCCATAAAAGACTGAAGAATATTTCAGGCTATCCATAAACATTCAATGAGTGTTGTAAAAATAGAATAGCAAAAAATACAACCAATTTGTATTCATTTTTTTGATATAGCAAGCATCCAATTTCTTTATTTTCCCTCACTCAATTAAAATCTTATGTCCCATCCATGACAGTGGTAAGGTTGTGGAGGAGGTTTGGAGGTTCCTGCTTACTGGAGGTGTGGGTATGGAAAACCCCCACCCTAACCCCGCGCCTGACTGGCTCACTGAGAAGTCCTGGTCTGAGCTGGTCCGTGCCTCCAGCCTGGACAGCCTGGGGGGACTGTTTGAACACGTCAGGGTAAGTCACAATTCACTGTTTGTTGTTTGAAAGTTTCTATGAGTTATTTAGTTTGAAAAAGTCAGTCCTAAAGTTTTATTATCTTTCTGTGTTTTTACTTCCTTGTGTGGAAGTAATTGTTTTGGGTGCTTGAGCTGTTTACTTGTTTGTGCATGTGTATCTGAGTATTTTTGATGATTATTTCAGGATAACATAAATGACTGGAAGAAGATCTATGACTCGAGCACCCCTCACACAGACACCCTGCCTGACCCCTGGGACATGCTGAGTGGTCTGCACAGGATGGTGGTGCTCAGGTGCCTCCGCCCAGACAAAATAGTCCCTGCCACACAGGTCAGACATTTCCACAACGCTCAGATGTCTTTCATTAGATACAATGTACTAGTTCCTAAAATGCATTTATTTTCTTACACAGACTGTTGTGATTTTATTTAATAGTATGAGAGAAAAGGAGGTTTTTTCTGTCACAACTGCATGTAGTTGAAGCAATTCTGTAGTAATCACAATGTCATGATTTTGTATTAAGAGAACATCACAAATTTAAAACTGGTCAGTTTTTTTATTATTTCCAACTTACATGTATTTCCATGACAGGACTTCATCATTGACAACATGGGGCGCACCTTTGTAGAGCCTCCGACCTTTGACCTGGCAGGCAGCTTCGCTGACTCTAACTGCTGTGCGCCGCTGATTTTCGTGCTGTCCCCCGGAGCTGACCCCATGGCCGGGCTGATGAAGTTTGCAGACGAGAAGGGACAGGGAGGAACCAAGATTCAATCTGTATCACTTGGACAGGGACAGGTAAAACATTCAGCACCATGTACATATTAAGTTTTGCTATATAGTGTATTTGTGTGTTTGTTTGCTTGCATATAGTAGCCAGCTGCCCCTAGCAGCTTTTTTTGACTACTAATGGTCGTCTTTTTAGTTGTGCAATCTATTAGAAGGCCCAACTGTCATTTCAGCACCATGGACAGGAACAAAATTTGGTTACCTGCAAACGGACTGTAGAAAATTTGCCATTTAAAGAGACAATAGTAAGATAGTCTAGCCGTTTCCTTTGACATAGTATTGCATGTATCATTATTAAGTGTAAAAAAATTTGTACACTTCAACAGGGCCCCATAGCCGAGGGGATGATTAACAAGGCGCTGGTAGCAGGCACCTGGGTGGTCCTGCAGAACTGTCACCTGGCCACCAGCTTCATGCCTCGGCTGGAGAAGATCTGTGAGGAGGTCATCATCCCCGAGAACACGCACACAGACTTCCGCCTGTGGCTCACCAGCTACCCGTCCGAGGACTTCCCCGTAGCCATCCTGCAAAACGGCGTAAAGATGACCAACGAGCCGCCCAAAGGCCTAAGGATGAACCTGCTCCGGTCATACCTGAACGACCCAATCTCTGACGCACAGTTCTTTGGAGGATGCAGCAAGGTAGGCTTTTAGGGAACATTCAAATATCATAATTTTTTTTCAACCTCTAGTAAACTTTGACTGGCGCAAGGTACATTCCTCAGCCTAAGCCACTTTTCAAGAGCACAAGAAAGGGAAGATGGTTAGTGGTCACAAGGAATCATTGTATTGTTGCACAATATGTTGATGAAGAGTAAACGTCCAGTTACTGTGTCTCTTCTCCTGCCAAAGATTTTGCCTGGATCTACATATTATATGACACAAGGAATCTCTTTTTTTCAACATTAGGAGAAAGAATGGCAGAAGCTGCTGTTTGGCCTGTGTTTCTTCCACGCGCTGGTGCAGGAACGTCGGAAGTTTGGTCCACTGGGGTGGAACATTCCGTATGAGTTTAATGAGTCTGACCTGCGTATCAGCATGAGACAAGTCCAGGTGAGGGCAGGAGAAACTGTATTGAATAATTAAAGACATGTCACCACAAAGCCATGTTAACTGTACTTTGAGAATCCATGTAATTCTGTTTTGTTCTATTACACATACTAAGAAATCAAAGAGTTTAATTTCTTGTTTTATCTACATGTATTATGTTTGTAGATTTGTCACAGAATTTGCATGGCTAGAAAAATATTGCATTTTTCCACTGGTTCTCAACATACCAAAAATATTGAAGGAACTTGAATACAGGTTATTGCATTATAGCATGTGACAATAACAGTTACTGTGGAAACACAAGCAAACACACACACACCAAGAACAAAACCTCTATACACTGATCTAATTAAACTGCATAATATGCAGTCATGATAACTGCATTTTCAAGGATCCTACAAATCTACAATGTGATGTAATTTTGCTATTTCTGTGTGGTAGATGTTCCTGAATGATTACGAGATCGCCCCTGCGCTGGAGGCCCTGATGTACCTGACAGGAGAGTGTAACCACGGCGGCCGTGTGACTGACGACAAGGACCGCAGACTGCTCAACTCTATTCTTAGCATCTTCTACAACGAAGGCATCGTCTACGACGCGGACTACAAGTGAGTCATGAAAAAGGCTTAGAGGCTCCTGTAATCATTAGGATGATATAATTTTGAATGCTATTCATTAGAAAAATGGAGGTTTTGTCATTTTATGTACATAGAAAGTTAAATCTTCTTACTAGTATCAGTTATACTGTAGTACAACTGTGACATCACTGTGTCCTACAAAATTATGTTGTCAATGAGAATGACAGTATGGGAATGCTAGTAAGAATGAAACTCAAGACAAGTGTCTGTTACATTTACGTAATGTGACTGGTGAATCTTCCCGGTTTATTATGATTATAATGTTTCTCTTCAAGACTATTTGTTGGAGTGTCAGTAACATTTTACAGCATTACGATAAAACTTGACTGTTTGAAATATATTGTATTTTTGGCCTATTTCAAACACTCATTGCCTTTCCAATTCAGTAAGTGTTGAATTTCATATCTTTTCTATCAAACAGGATCTCGGAGAGTGGGATCTACTTCGCCCCAGAGTTTGGCCCGTACCAGAGTTACATCGACTACATCCGCGGCCTGCCGCTCATCCCCACCCCTGAGGTGTTTGGTCTCCACGACAACGCTGACATCACCAAGGACAACCAGGAGACACTGCAGCTGTTCGACAGCATCCTGCTCACGCTGCCCAGGCTGTCCGGAGGGGGAGGGAAGTCATCGGGAGAAGTACTCACAGACCTGGCAGCCGACATCCTCAGCAAACTGCCTGCTGACTTCAACTTAGAATTTGTAAGTGGCAACACTTCCTGTGTATGATATGCAAAAGAATGATACATGTTTTGTAAAATTATTTTGCCAAATATTTAGTACTGACAGACTTGACAGCTAACATGCTCAGCAAACTGACGACTTCAACTTAGAATTTGTAAGTGGGAACACTTCGACAAAATGTATCCCAAAAGCATTTTGTATTAAGGTATATGTGAAAATTAATGTAATTACTGGTAGTGCAAAAGGCTGCTAAAATTGGTTTGCCAAAAATTTAGCTCTGACAGGTCTGGCAGTTGACATCCTCGGCAAACTGCCTGCCAACTTCAACTTAACATTTGTAAGTAGGAACCTGTTTACAGCAAAATGTATTTCTTCAGATACCAGTAGTGCATATTATGTGATATGCAAAAGAAAAAATCTAGTACTGACAGACCTGGCATTGTCAGCAAGCTGCCTACAAACCTCAACTTAGAATTCATAAGTGGGAACACTTCCTGTTTATTGCAAAATAAAGGGGTACGTGATATGCATAAGAATGGTACATGTTTTGTAAAATTGGCTTGCCAAAAATTCAGTTCTGACAGGTCTGGCAGCTGACATTGTCAGCAAGCTGCCTGCTGACTTCAACTTAGAATAAATTAACTGCTTCCTGTTTACGATACAATGAATCCCCTAAAGATGGTGCAAAGGAAAAGAGTGGTATAATTGGTTTGTAACTGACAGCTAACATCCTTGACAAGCTGCTTGCCGACTTCAACTTAGTGGGAACACTTCCTGTTTACGACAAAATGTATCCTCAAAGATAATACAGCCTCTAAAATTGGTTTCCAAAAAAATCTTGTACTGACACACCTGGCAGCTGACATCCTCAGCACTTCCTGTTTACAGCAAAATTTATCCCTAAAAGTTAGTGCAGTACCTGGTAAAGTATTGCAATTTCAGGGTGGCAAAACTGGATCTTCAAAGGCAGTTTTCTGGTTACATGTACAAGTAATCCGATATGTGTGTGTGTTTTTTAATTTAATTGTCTAGTAACTGAAAAGTTGACAGCTAGAGCTATTGGCCCCAAAAATTAATGATTGATAATTAAAGTTATTAATGATTTTTCATTCCTTGACAGGTGATGAAAAAGTACCCCGTGGTTTACAACGAGTCGATGAACACAGTACTGAGACAGGAGCTGATCCGGTTCAACCGCCTCACGAGTGTGGTCCGCTCCAGTCTGCAGAACCTGCAGAAGGCCATCAAGGTCAGCCTCCACTTGTTTTTTTCCTTTTCCAAGTCCCTTTTCTGTTATTTGCTACCAAATATATGTCGCACCAGGCAGAATGTACTGCACCTGTGCAAAATGTATATTCTATTGTGGATAGCACTTGGGACAATGTCGGCAGGAAGTCTCATTTAAAGTCATATTCGCATTTTAAAGATGACATCCTGTCTATAATTTAGTTTTTCAAATGTTGTGATGGAAATAATTCTGAATGCAACATTGAAACCAAATATCCAATGAAAACCGTGAAAAAATCTTGGTTTTGCACAGGTGTGGTACAACATGTATGCTCTGCAGATGTGCTTCCCAGCCATGTTATAATTGAGTATTACTATAATTATTACATTCACAGTTTTATTTTGTGGTAAGAGGAAAAACTTAAGGTGATTTTCATGGTGTTTTAAATTCATCGTTGATACAACATTGTAGTACAGTACACTGGGAACACATATGAAGATGTCACCAGGAAAATGAAATACAAGAGATATTAAAGGCTTCATAATTATTGACTTGTACGCTTACCTTGCACTCTTGTTCCCAGGGCCTGGTGGTGATGTCGTCTGACCTTGAGGAGGTGTTCAGCAGCATGTTGGTGGGGAAAGTCCCCGGGGTCTGGGCAGCCAAGTCCTACCCCTCACTCAAACCACTGGGCAGCTACGTCACAGATCTCATACAGAGGTAGGCTTTCCATTCATTTCATCCATTCATTACATCCATTCAACAATCTATCCATCCATCCATCCATCCATCCATTCATCAATCTGTCCATCCAATCATCCATCCATTCATCCATCTGTCCATCCATTCATCCAATCATCCATCCATTTATCCATCTATCCATTCATTTATCCATCCATCCATCCATCCGTCCATAGCCATTTTGAAGTGCATTTTTTTATGTTGACAGCCAATTCGGTACTAGTGGCCACCACCGTGGCCACATTTTGGTAGTCACTTAACTTTTAGTTTTTTTCCCATTGACACAAGCATCAAGAATCTTCAAGTTGTCTATATTGCCCACCTGTCCACTATGATCATTTACCTAGAGTCCCTCTACACTATTAAACCGTTTGCTAGTGATTAACTTTTAGAATACAAGACATTTGGCTTGCTACAAGATGTAGCAAGATGGAGCTCTTCATCAAAGTTTTCTTGTTGAAAAAAAGTTCAAGCTTGTCCAAAAGCCATTCCAAGAAAAGCTCTGGCTACAATTTCTGCACAACTACATACATTGACATTCCATGGATGTGATGTTAGCAGCCAAGTGATTTAAATTGCACCATACACAGAATGGAGGTTGAAATGCTGTTTTATTGCTGTAGGTTGACGTTCCTGAATGACTGGATTGACAACGGAGCCCCGCCTGTGTTCTGGCTGTCAGGGTTCTACTTCACGCAGTCCTTCCTCACAGGTACGCTCCACAGTAACCCACGCATTAGGCCATGCGATTACTGCATTCGACCCGTGTACACCTGGGTTGTGCAATCAAATCAAAGCCAGAGTGCTGACATTACGACTCACTCACTGAATGCTTTTTACACTGCACTCGCATTGGACGTTTTGCATTCAGCCTGCATCGCCAGCTGTGGATTGGCTTAAAGTACGCATTTGACCGGTGCACTGGGCAGAAATTCTGTTTCTGATGCACGCTGATTGTTAGCACGATGTATAGAGAGATCGTGCTGATAGTACAAATCCATGTTTGGTACTGTCTGTAGAATAATGTAACAGTTGTCTGATTTAAAAGGTGAAGGTCTTATGGTCTTTTGGAGGCCATACATGTAGGGGCAAGGTCACGGGCTGAGTAGGCACATGCGTCTTTGGCATGGTATTTAGAAGGCAGAGCCTGTCCTTATCCTTCCACCACGTGGACCTTTTTACCTCCCCAAATAGTGCCAGGTGCACATTTACACCTGGGTGGAGTGATGACTTTCCCAAGTATATAACTCAGTTTCTTGACTGCTTACGTTTCCTACATACATGTACCTACACGTAACCACTAGCTCAGTGATGCCAAAGATTGTCGGATTTTGCTGTACAGTTCAAGTACAGTAACTATGATTTTCACACTCTGAATAGAAAGTTTTTTAATACATAGTATGTTGTATACATTTTTCTTCACTAGGCGTGTCCCAGAACTATGCGAGGAAGTACACCATCCCCATCGATCAGCTGGGCTTCGAGTTTGAAGTCACGAAGTCGGAGAGTGAGATGGAGTCAAAACCAGAAGACGGGGCTTACATCAAGGTCAGGGTCTAACAACTAATAATCTTCACTTTTCTCAACTGGTTAGCTCTAGATCTGGGCTCTAGCCAGCTCAATTTTTTTTTCCTCTCAGCCCAGGTTCATGATCAGACCTGGGGGGGAGAGTGCTCACAATCTAGGGGGTTCTGGAAGAAGATTCTGGATTTTCAAGCCTTCAAAGATGCAATTTCCTACATTTTGAGAGGCAAATCATGGGGTTGAGAGTGGTTGTTGGTGGTCCTTTGGCTGTTTTTAGATTTTTTCTCCAGATTTTTCTCAATTGTGTCCATCAAGGTTGACAGATTGGTTTTAAAATTTTTCTGTCACATGGAAAAATGGGTGCTGGCTAGAGCCCTGCTCTGGATACGGAAGTATGATCATGATATTGTTACAGTATTATTTTGGGTGGCGGAGTAGTGGGCTTGTCTCTCTGTCATATCATAGTAATTGCATCAGTTGCATGGTGAGTGATGGGAGCTGATTTGGAATTCAGGTGATGTACATGTAATACACAATTAGATTACATAACACATGTACAATCCCCTTCACAGTTCCAGTATTCATAAAAACCTCCAAAAAGTCTCAAATTTCTGATTTGTTGTTGTCATTTGCAACTACATGTATGTTCCTGGAAATAAACATTAAAATGTAACTGCCACTAGTGTATTCATGCAAGTCTGCTGATGGCGTCTTGTAGTAAGTGTTAGATAATATGTTCAGATGCCGGAAAATGACATTTACACGTATTCACCGTTTGTTTGTTTGAGCCTTTGTTTGTTCATTAATTGCTGTTATGTAATACTATTAGTAATGCATATATATTAGGAAATATATTACAAGTCATTAAGATCAATGGTATTATTCAGTGTCACTCTTATTAAATATCTGTCATATCTTAATTTGTTTTTGCAGGGGTTGTTCATGGAAGGCGCTCGTTGGGACAGAGAGAAGATGGTGATCGGAGAGTCCTACCCCAAGATCTTATTCGACACTGTACCGGTCGTATCCTTTTCAGAGCATTTCAAATTGAATTTTTCTTCTGATACCTTTGAAGTAGAATGTGACGTCAATATTAAGTGTGACAATGAGTAATCCCCTGACTGACATATTTTTTGAGCACAAAACAGAACATCTTTAAGTTACTGCTCGTACTCATTTAAATCATTGAATCTTTGAAATTCAATGGCCTATTAGATCATGCATCTAAGCTAAGTACATTTCTGACAGATCAAAGCAGCTTCTACATGTAGGTCTTAGGTTCTAGCCCTTAGGCCACATATTATGAAATGTACTAAATTTTGGGGTTTTGCCTATGGCCTCACACTTTATTCAGAATCTCAATAACCAAGGCATTTAATGTAATGTGTATACTTGTACTACCATTAACAGACTTCAGAATCTGTTAGTACTGTTTATTATTAATAAGATCCTTAACTCCGAGCACCACAGATCTGGCTGCAGCCTGGTGAGACTAAGAAGTTCAAGAAGAAGAAAAGCTACACGTGTCCGGTGTACAAGACCAGTGCCCGGCGCGGGACGCTGTCCACCACCGGTCACTCCACCAACTTTGTGCTGTACATGGAGATCCCGTCTGACCGGCCGCAGAGCCACTGGATTAACCGCGGTGTGGCCATGCTCTGTCAGCTGGACGACTAGACACCAGACTGTCCAGCAAACAGACTGAAACCAGTTACCGTCCATTTTTGAATGTACATATTATGTTGTAGTCAAATTGCGCCTTTTTGTTTGTGTTAACTTTGTATATGTTGGAATACGGAAGATGATGGTTACAACCAACTTTTGTCAACAAGTCAATTTTTGAGCGCAAAACAAATTGCAGAATGCAGTATCTTGATGTTTATCAGTGTCTTTATTTGTGTATATGGGAATAATTTGGTCTTATTGAATGTTGGTTTATCTATAGTAACTGAAAAATGATGTTTTTGGATTTATTCTGCTTTGGATAGACTCTGTCATATTTGCAAGCCCTGTTGCCATATAGATTTATACAGGCTTTCAATGAGGTCCAATAAAGATTTGCCAGAGTGTGTGCTGTAAATGTGACCTACAAAACATGTTCCTTTATCTCCCCACTATACTACTTACTCTGACTATCTCTATTATAATTCATCAAGAACAGAGTGAGTTGTGTTGAAGAAAAAATTTGAATACTGAGATTTTAAAAGTAGCTAATATGTGTGTATATAATATATATGGGAACTGAAACTGCAGTGCGTTAATTGTACAGCATCAACTGTTTGCAGATTTTTACACTTTTTAGATACATTTCTAAATCTCAAAACATTGACACAACTTTCATATGATTTTGCAGTGCACATCATATACCTAGACTGCAGTATGTAAAATAATGACCATGTATGAGTTTGGTATGATTTTGGAATCTTTCTCATAAGATTGACTAGATTTCTTTGACTATACTAGTATTTCTCAATGTTATCCCTGAAACCCCTTAAGCCATACAGCAAATTTAGAGGTGGATCACAAACAAGTTTTTTTTCAAGGTTTCACAAAAACCATGTGGCCACCTATAATGCTGCTATAGCTAGTAAGTCCACTATGTAGACTGTACCCTTGTTGCACTCACAAAGTCACCAAATGACTTTCTGTATAGATTCATATGGAGTATCTATTCATTTCTCTATTATAGAATGTACTCAAAATTCTATGATATGTATTTAACCTATACTCTAAAGTCAAGACCACTGAATGTAAAATTTACAATCTTAAACAAAAAGATGTAGAATTCTATTAAGGTATGTACCTTAGATCAACTCTATATTTCTATATTGTATTATAGGATGATGTTCTGTCCGTCCTTATTGAATTATAGATGTGGATGCTTCCATCTATTTTTATCTGTAAATGATTGTAAGAAACAGAACGAGACTCTAGCTAGTTAATAATTCACTGAACGTGTACATGTGTGTTCGTAACACTTCATATTGTTACTACTGAACAGCGGGTGGCATGATTTGAACGGTTTTGACATTTCCTTGTAGCTTGAGTGATATCAAAAGAAGGAAGTACTAGTTGAAGTAGTTACAAAACACTTGCACCAGAAGCTTTATTACACTACCATAATTTCATTCCATCTGCAATTCTGAAATTTCCTACCATGTAAAACCACTTGTCTTTTGTGTGTGTTATCGGGTTTGTTGTAAAATCTTTGATTTTGGAACCATACAATACTGGTATTAAAGAGTGCTGGATTGGTTAAATGTTGGGTTTCGTGTGCTCATATTCATCTGCGAGTGACGATAAAATGTGTTTTTATTCTGGGTACAGAAATATTGATTTGGGTGGCTGAGCTGTGGGTTTGTGTGTCTGTTTCCCCAACACATGGGTGGAAAGATTACCAGGCAGAATGACATGAGGTCAAAAGGTCAGACACTGGAAATGGGGTGAAGGTGAAGTCTCTAAAATCGCTTGTTTTTGCTTTATTTTGACTAGCAAATAGACACAAAAGAAATAAAATTATTTTGACTAGCAAATAGACAAAAAAGGACTAAAGCACGTAGGACTTTTCTCTACCAAAGACGTTAAAGTACGTACTACGACTTCCCTTGCAAATCTTCCTGGCCAATCCCTTAGACTGATTTTCCCAATCCGAAGAGGAAACACGACCCCCACGACATATGGTGGTCTAGACACCTGATTGTGTTACATAAAAACGACGGTGTGGATTTTAAACTAACAGAACACACAGAGTAATAGGATGCCTCCTGTTCCAGTGGTTTTAATGAGATCGCAGATCAATCATTTGTCCCATGTACTAGTAACTTGTCCGGAACTAGAAATTTCAAAAGACTGGCCCTTGAGGCTGTTGTTTAAAGACGAATTTCTGATATTCTCCTGAATATTAGTGATATTAGAGCTATCCCTGACCCAGATATTCTTAAGTCTGATGGGCGCCAACCTTGATCTTTCTTTTATAGCTGGCTTTTACATCCAAAATCCCACTTACCCTGCTGAAAATAACTGTGCGTTGTATAACGTGTTATCATCTACAGCGCTGGCTGGATGTAAATCCTACTAGCTGTACAGCCTCTTTACACTCGTGATCACGTGAGAGGCTGCGAAAAATGAGCGACCAAAATCAGATTTGACAGATTGAATTTGAATTTCACAGACTAGTGTTTTTTTTTAGTGTTTTGTCGTTTGAATTTTGATTTTTTTTTAATCTACTACTATCATATACATATATCTTAATCATACTTCTGTATCGTGCATCATATTCCAATCATAGAATCAAGGATCACAGAAATTCCAATTCTAGTCGCTAATCGCTGTACGTTGCTCAGAGATTGTCGTCTCAGGTGGGACCTAAAAACATTGCTGGCACTCAGAATACAGAAAACATGACTGTATACATACGTATAGCTGTTGTAAAATACTCCTCTCAGATATAGATTTAAATGTTTAGATTCTTGTTTTAGTACAGAATTATGCAATGGTGTACGAGAATCATTTATTGTCAAATAAATTCATTACAAGACGAAATTGACAGCACATTATGTTGAATGACCAGGGTGTTGGATGTTCATACCTTGTAAACAGGAGAACCTATCACACTAATGGACGTCTGAACCAGATTTCAAATTAGATCAAAACAACATCTGGATAGACCTGGGAGAGATGTACAGTGTGTTTGCGAGGATACAGAGGTGTGTTTATATTGCGGTTTGGCCTTGGATTCAACTTTTGAAGAGTTGATTATACATGTACACCTGTTTTGAGAGGCGTGCTTCAATCCCTTAACCATACTGCTTTGCCATCACACACACATACAATAACACACGCCTGCACACATGCACACGTACACAGACAATGATCGTACACAAACGCACATAAACACATATTAAAAATACAATAACACACGCATACACACGTACACTCCCACATATATACAAATACACAGTGTCACTAACAAACACGGGCACACATACAACTAGTACACACACGCGCGCGCACACGCACGAACACACGCACGCACGCACGCACACACACACACACGCGCGCGCGGGCGCGCACACACACACACACACACACACACACACACACACACACACACACACACACACACACACACACACACACACACACACACACACACACACACACACACACACAAACACACAACCCACAAAACACTACTCCCCTCCCTTGGGATGAAGGAAGTCCTGCCAGCTTTTACAAACTGCGGTACGCCGAACATGTAGCCCACTTGTCGCCGCCCACCCCGCCTGTTCCTCCCGGTTCCCCTGTAATGAGAGCCGGCGCCACTCGACCTTTCCGCCATGCCGCATCACAACAGAGTCAGCGCGTCGCTTCTCAACAGCAGGGCAAATTTGACGACCTTATTAAAAGCATAGCAGGAAGTAAAGAGAACACAACATCCTCTATCAAACACTGGTCTCTACTAGCGGGAACTAACCTATAGAACTTTGAAAATGTAAAAGGAGTTCTAGGAAATATCAAGGAGGCTACAAACCCTATAATCTCATTGGAAATATCTTGACTTTTTGAGCATAAGCTTTGAAATTGGCTTTATGCATGCACTTCAAATAGAGATATGAAAATGTGTACTACTTCATTGGTAAGGAAGGTTGTCGTTGTCACGTATATAGTATTACATTATATTCTGTAATCATTACTTGACTGTATATTATATGAAGATGAACCCCAAGCGCTATTCGAAACTTTACAATTAAATGTCAAAAGAGGACACTTTCAAATACTTGATGTCATGCAGGAATGAATGTACAGTAGACAAATTATAAAATTATGTTTCTAGGTGTTTTAGAAAGAGAGAAGAAACGTCGATAAATAGTAGATGATGAAAAAATGTATACTAGTAGTGTTGTAACAGTTGTAATATACAATTTTAGCACTTAGCATTATGATAATGTAGCGTTTCAGTATTCAATACTACATGTTTTATATCCTCTAGACCACGATGTGCATGTAGCCCATTTGGGCAGGAATATGTGATGACGATATATTCATTATATGTACCAAATGCGTAACTCAGAATATATAGCTACTTAGCTACTTGTTTCGCTAGCTTTCACTGCCTTTGAGTCAATTGCAACTTGAATATTTTAGCCTGTTTTGAAGTTTTTAGATAATCTTCTATTCACTGTCAACATTCTTGATCATATCTTCTAACTTCTAACTCACGTTACAAGTTTATACATGATCCAATGAAAATCGTTTATGCAGTGGTCAAGCCCCTCAATCCTTGTGGACAACAGTCTTGCTATTAATTATCCGCTGAGGGACTCTCAGTAAAGGGTTACCCGAAGACGCATATATAAAATGCGGGACGCATCTGTTTAGTCATCAAATAGTTACAGTAGTACTTGTTCTGATGCTTTAATTTCGGCTTATTATTACGATCGATCAAAAATCTACTGTAGACTATCGGATGCACATACGGGATAGATTCTAAATTGCAAGTCTTTAATAAAGATTGACCTTTCATCGTAAGCAGATTTGAAATATTTAACGGTTTTAAATCCCAAACTGATGACGACTATTCTTCAAAATGATATACATAAGCTATATAGCCTACGGTTACTTTTCCGTATATCATAGTTTTAACAAGAGCATGGCGGAGATTAAATATACGCATCTAAATCTATGCCATAAATAGATAGAATAATAATGTTATCGTTATTGCATATTCCTGCACAGATGGGCTGACGGCACATGTGATCAAATGTTGTCTAAATGATATAAAACATGGAGTATAGAACACTGAAATGCTACACTCTAAATTATAAATAACGCTAAATACTAAAAGTCTATATATGTGTATTAAACCAACACTATATGCTACATCTACTGTAAATCACTGTTTCTTCTCTCTTTTTGAATCATAAATAAAAATAGATAAGTAAATAATAAATAAAAGATGCACACGAACGATTGCGCGGAAACATTTCTCCACCCTAAAATCGTTTTCAGTTTGCGAGTCACACCCCGAAACTGTACTGAGAATTTATTGCAGTCAGATCGCAGAGGACGATCCTTGGCAACAGCATCGTAATGTTGGATTAGCACCCACTTCACGTCTTCGAGTATCAATTAAAATGTAGGATTGACTGCAGGAGCACAAATAGACCTGTAATAGCAGGGTGGCATGACCTGAAAACCACACAGGTTTATGTCGGGGGCACTTCATTTCTGATGCGTATGGTGGGCAAAATGTTGAATCTCCTTTTTCCTTGATTAATGTCAAACAAAAGTACCTACATGGTACATGTAAAAAGAAAGTACGAAACGTTTTTTGTCATTAGTAAATATAGACACGACAGCAAAAATCACCTTTGCAAATACAGCTTTCAAAATCCTTGTTGAAACAAAGTAATACTAGGCACATACGATCTGGGGGAATCGTAGGATGATAACCAACCGAGGCTATGAACTAGCTTGAGGATCATGTAGGACAACATTTTCTGTTACAAGACAGTTGAATTTTGTGCGCCGCACTTTCAACTTTTTTTACGATAAGAATGTCATCCAACATACTAGTACTGTTGTAAACTTGTTGTATGGCGTTTGTGAACGCATATTTCTAACCCCAAAATTTCTGCGCCTGAAACATCTTACAGAACACATTAGCGGTGACTACCTGCTGTATTTACGACACAATCACAATAAGAATGCCATCCAATCGTGAACCTGTCGTACCATGTTTGTGATAGTGTCGCTCCCTATCCCCAAACTTCTTTGAAACGCCTTTGAAACTGACATCTTACAGAGTTTACAAGCTAAATTTTCCGTACGTCACATTCACGACTTTTTAAAGATAACAATGCCATCCAATTTCCGTGATAGTCGTAAAACCGTGCGGTGCGACGTCTCTAACAGTTCTCCTTTCTAACCCGAAATTTCTGTGACGTCTGAAACTGAGAGACATCCGTGTATCACAAGACCTGACTTGTGACTACGTGCCGTATATCCCACATCTTTAATCCCAGATCCCGCTCGTGACATGTCTCCTGTAATGAAACGTCCTTCATTGCCTCCCACGCGCGGCACGAGGTCCTATCTTCCACCGCCATCCTATTGACACGGCCCGCCCACCTCCTTCCACGGAGCACCGGCTCCGAGTGGATGATTTTCCAAAGGACCGGACGCGTGTACGCAGGGTACCGCCTACATAGTCACCTAGCTTCAATTATACAGTAACGTTTTGCTTCTAGCCAAACACACACACACACACACACACACACACACACACACACACACACACACACACACACACACACACACTTTGATTCAACTTTCAAGAAATGGAAGGTAAATTATCCAACGTCTTGAGTTTTTTAAATAGATACCTGGATTGTGCACGTGTCTTTTTAACCCCATTTCTGCGCTTGAAACATATCACAAAACACACTAGCGGTAACTATAGGCTGTATTAACGACAATTTCACGACTTTTCTTAAGATAAGGATATCGTCCGACCCAACTCACCTGTGAACCTGCCGTATCATGCTTATGTTGTGTTGCTACCTAACACAAAATTTCTGTCGTATCAAAGAAAGACGACAGTTTTGTCGTTGTTGTTGTAGATTGGCGTCCAAAGCTTTGGAAAATTTCGAAGACCTCTTTGAATAGCTTTCTTCTTTTAAAATGGCATGTATTTCATCTTTCATTGCTTCGCCTTTACGGTATTCACACATTGTTTCGTTACGGCGGAGGTCGCCGCAAGATGTTGATTTCGCAGTGTTTTCAAGCGGGCTGTGACAGAACCAACCGCCGACTTGGCTCTAAGACATCCTTTATCCCAAGGAGACTACTGAAAAAAACAAAACAATATACGTATGACTATCCCAAAAATGCCTCAGTAGTTTGATTTGCAATCGTGTGTGACCAGATCCTTAGTTAAGAAAGCAATACCTATATCTCTTTTCTTTCCAGAAAAGAGTGCGAACGCGACAGTGTATCGATATGTCTCTCAGTGAATACCGGCATTCTGTAAAATATGGCCAGTTGAAGATTCACCACACGCACGGACCCCTTTGGGTTTCTCTTGACACGTGCACAATTTCTTGCATGCTCATGCCCCGGCTATTAATGAATATGCACTCAGGTCACTCGTAGATGTGGGCTTGAATCGACAAGATAATAGCCAGTTGCACAATTAAGCATTGATTCTGGGAATTAGTATGGGTCAGGGTTGCATCCGCTCTTAAGGGACTGACCGCTAATGATCCCAGAGGGAGGGTAAGGGGGAAGAAGGCAAGACATCGCAAGCATGGCAACAAACCTTCGTTAGCAAGGATTCGACGACAATAGATGTTTTATTTATTTTTTATCTATTTTGTGTTGTGTTGTTTTGTTTTGTTGTATTGTAATTTCAACAGCAATATATACAGGGAGAGATAAGAAAAAGAGAGACTGTAACTTATACAGAGAGAGAGAGATAAAAAAAGAATTATGAGATTTCAAACCTCCGGAATGTATTTAGATTGAATTTATCGGCACAACCAAAGAGATAGTCAGACGTATTTTCTGCCAGCTTGACCTAACGGTCAATCTGTGGTTGTAACCCCAATTGTATCACTCAACTGCGCAATGCAAACACGAATCACACCCAGACAAGCCTACGGCGTACGGTGTACATATAATGCCAGTCAAATATGATTGTCAATTTCTTCTTTTTTATGTCTCACACTTCACGTTTAAGTTTGATGGCTTTTACGCCGCAGCTTCTGTTTGGTAGTCAATAATAACAAAACGCTGTACATCGGAATAGAGCGTTTACAGTAATTGTGAATGTAGGGCGACTTCAGTTAAACTTTAACAGCATTAGCTTATGCATTACGGTATCAGACTAAGCTTAGGGCCGTCTGCACAAAACTAGTTCACCGGCCAATTTACTATACAAGACTTCGCACTGACCCAAAATTCTAAAGATTACAAACTATGAGATTGTTTTTATCGTTAAGAATATCTCAGCAAAGTTCATTACAACGTATACGTTGGTAAATGTATTTATTCATATATTTATATATTTACATACTTATTTTTATATGTATATTTATATATATATATATATATAACTTCACATATTTTGGGGCCATGTATGTAATAATACAGCAGCGTCGCACTCTCTCTGTCTTACTTTATGATAATGTTTATTGTAAGTTCTTGCCTAGCTAGAGGCGAATCAAAAGTAAAAGAATAGAGACACTGCAATATAATTAGAACGATGACAATATGATATTAGTTCATCTATACCCCTACGTTCATTTGTTCTAATTAGGATTTATTGCCATCTGTTTTCTCTCTCTAGCGCTCATATAAACTAGTTATCTGTAGACAACAGCATAAATTATAATGGGTACATTATTGTTGTCAAATTGGGAGCTTGGAAAAACTGGGGCAAGGGTTTTTGGAGACGACACAAACGCCCTCGACTCCCGCTTGAGGCATGAAACTGATACATACCCATTTGAAGACCTTGCTGATCATACCCGTGTGGTCCAAGGTTGCGACGTCCAAAGTTCAAATTCTGGTTTTTGGAAACGCTTGTAGCTGGGGTTTTGAAGACTACTAAGACAAACCATTTCGCCCCCGCACCCCTGGCACTACACTGATAGCTTCCCGTTTGAAAAGGCTTACTGGTGTCGCCATGTTGTCCAAAGTTGCAGCGCCCTGTGTTCAATCACGGGCTTTTCGGAAACGACTTGTAGCTGTTTTTTTTTTTATGTAGACATACCCCTTTCCCCCAAGGGTACTACACTGATAGCTGCCCATTTGAAGAGGTTGACACCGTGTTGTCCAAGGTTGCGGCGCCCAGTGTTCAATGTATTTTCTAGCTCAATGGTTCAATTATGCGCTTTTCGGAAACGACTTGTGGCTAACCCCCTTCCCCCGGGAGTACTACACTGACAGCTGCCAGTTTGAAGAGATTGACTCCGTGTTGTCCAAGGTTGCGGTTGGCAGGACACGCGCGAATAGTTCAGTCTCCAGCCTGGGTCCGGATAACTGCCGGGCCGCTACAATTGCTGTGCACACATCCAGAGAGCTGCACGCCTGATAAGGACCGCTAAAAACAGCCGGGCCAGGTGGTTTGTTCCCTGACCCTTATACCTCAATGTTCAGTCATATAAACATTGGAGCCGAAAATGCATCAACAGTCATACGTGGGTAGCGAAGAAAGTAGGCTATATAGCGTTATAACTTTGAAATGATCGCTGTAGAACACTTTCATGGTTAGAAAAACATCTTGTAATTTTGTACGATCTGGCAATCTTGAATTGATCATTTTATCAAAGAAAGAGACTCAAAACTCCTACAGGATTGAATTAAATGATAGCGTTTAGATGAATAGAAACGGTAGGGAAATTTGAAATAGATTGACACACCCGAGCTATGACGCATGAATTACACCGTCCCCGCAGGACATATTTTCAACGGACGTCTTTGAAATTTCTGAATCAATAAAATTCTCCTTTTCTCCCTCTGAATCTCAAATGAAAATGGTACATCAGCTCATATTGGTCGGATGAAAGACATATTCGCTTCATATTCTTGAAAGCATTTCTCTTAAGGTTGCCTTTTTCTCTGTATCTCTTAGGTTACTAATAATGACTGACGTCTATGACGTACGAAAAATCCTACCGACTTTATTACAAACCACCTTATTGGTCAGATAATTAACTAGATTATGGAAGCGCTTTACATGTACGTCTATTGGTAACTGTTTACGTATAACGGAGAGTAAAAATTGTTTTAATTACACTAACTCGATATTCCTTACACCTAGGCGATAATTTTTCATATACGTACATACGTGGTTGGAATCGAAAACAGGTTAATGACCTTTTAGGGTTCGAAAGAAAACAACTTGTCCTTGACTGTCGGCGAAAATAATCTTATATAACCTGGCGGATAGCGAGAACCACTCACAACGTCAGAACTGCCTCTTCTTAAAACCTCTCTACTTAGGAGGCATTAGATATCGGCGCAAAAAGCCCACACGTAATATGCGGGTTCTTATGATATGGTAAACAATATTAGCCTTACTTAAGTGTAATCATAGGGTATACGTCGTTTGACATATATACATGAAAATGTGATTTTACGGAGAAAAAGGCTGATAAAAATTCAAAACAATTCAAGGCAGTGTCTGTTTTCCATTTTTCAATCCACCAGCGATTTTAACTAGTAAGGGCATTTCTAAATCCAAAATCACACAACAGATACAGTGTTTAGAAGCTTTCTTTCTCCTTTAATCGTAGAGCAAGAAATAACACTATGCAGACAAAACTAGCTTTACATTTCGTCATAGAGTGTACAAATGTACGCCAGCAAAATTGCAGCATTTATCACAAATGTCTTGGAGATATATATCTATATTCTATATATATTTATACACATATTCGGGGCATAGAGTGAATATAGTTTTGGACCAGAATTATACGACATATGCATGGACTTATGACCTGTTAGCATAGGTAGGTATGCTTATACATTACCTGCATATATCAGAGCGTACTGAGTAACTCATTAGGTGTCCCTAATGACTCTCCGTCTCGTCAAAATTAGTTTACCGGGCTATTTCCTACCAGCCTCTTTTCGTACAATCAGACGGACGTAGAATATATAATTGCACTGCTATTAACATCACAATAACTACCATAAAAAGCTACGCCTACATATGAAATCTATCTTACACTACACAAAAAAAAAGAAAAACATTTGTTTGTATTCGAGGATCTTTTTCCGGAAGGTGCTACGTTTCAAAATACTCTATTTTTTTCTCACTCTCTTTGTCATTTTACACCTACTTTTTGGTCCCTTTTTTCTTGGATTAGATTTCAATAATCCTTTATAAACTCCTATATCTTTCTCTCTATTTGGAAGTTCGGACTGGCCGTTGGAATATGCCAGTAGTGTACACTACGCTTAAGGTGGCAGGGAGCGTATGAAAATAATCAGTATGAAAATAAATCTTTGTAGTATGGCCGCCATTCTTTTGGCAGACACCCAGATAGAAATTCCAAGGTATACATCCGTTTTATATATAGCGCTTTTGATCTATAGAGCTAGTCGTGGGTTCAGTCCAGGAAGGTTGGTAGGGTCGGAGGAAGGGGGAGGGGGGTGGAGTCGGTGTCGTCCTTCGGGTCGCCTTGGATCTGCGTCTGGAGCTTGCAGACGATCCCGGTGAGCGCCACAATGTAGTTCTGCGCCAGGGTGAGAGTTTCTATCTTGGAAAGTTTTCTGTCGGCGTTGACGTGTGGAATGACGTCCCGCAACCCTTGGAAGGCGTCGTTAATGGAATGCATGCGCTGCCTTTCTCTCTCGTTACTCTCCAAGCGACGCAAATTCCGTTCTCTGGCACTGAGGGCCGCCCGGCGACGCCGGGGGCTTGTCTTCTTGGCGCCGCCGCGCGCTTTCTTCTCCTTCGGTTGAGCCTCATCGGTGCTGGAGATGGAAGGCGAGCTAACCGATCCTCTCGGAGGGAGCCCCGATATGTCGTCCCCGTCCTCTTCGTCACTGTGGCTGGAGAAATTGTCGAGGAGTGGCCGCTTGCTCCCGCGGGATGGGCGCAACTGGTAGTCGGTGGCGCGCAGGGCGCTCTCGGCGAGCTCCGCAGTCCAACTAGTACTACTGTTCATCTTCGCACACATGTTCGTCCCCACCATCTCACAAACCACCTGCGAAAATGGACAGTTTAGGGCGTATAAGAAACGTCTTTTTGTCTTTGTACATTTGCGACAAGGGGACAGCAAAAGGATTGCGTCAAACCTACAGCCCGAGCTCTCGCCGTCTAGTTCCTCCAGGGCGGGATGGAAAATTAGCTTTACCGTCTGATCTGCTGTATTTAGAAGGTTCTCTCGCTAGATTGACGTAGGAAACCCATCTCCTAGGCTGGGTTAAAACCCTCGCCGATTCATACTGTATTTCGCTATTAAAATACATTGACGCAAATGCCGGGGAACGTACCTTCCATTTACGCACTTTAGTCGAGCGTTGGCATGGCAACGGGCCTTAGAGTTTGACATGTGATGGAAACGTCGTCTGCGTTTGACGTAACAACGCTTCCACCGGATGAATAAACGAAATCCACAGAGTATTAAGCGAGTCGTGCGTCTATACACCCACTGGCTTGACTACGGTCCTTACATACAAACAACCGTACCGGGACAATTTACCTCATCTGTTTTTGCAAAAACACGACAGAAACTCCATACCTGAAAGCTTTTTCCTCCTCGTAAGATGAGTCTTGGTGCGGTCTCTGCTAGCTAAGCGGTTGTAGCGGGGCGTTTTTTACTCGCTTCTCTCTCGCCGAAGTGTTTCCACACGGCTCCTACACGCACACCTGCGGGCCTGTTGCGCTCTGTCTCTCATCCACCCTAGTCACGCGCTACCATTGGTCAGCCGCCAGGTGACGTCAGAAGCGGACCGGAAAAGATACACCATCCAATTAGCGGGAGTCTTTTTTATCAAAGTAGGTGTGTGTGTGCGGAAAATTTGCAGGGTGGGGGAGGGTATAAGAACCAACACAGGTGAAATATTAAAGATCAAAAACGGATATTCTATGTTTTATTAAAAAGGGAGGCGGGCGATTCATCCTGATACTACTGCACGTTGTCACTTAACGTTAAGGTTTCCAGTCGTTGCACGCAGAGTGTCACGTACTAGACCACTCAACGGTGCGTTTTCAGAAAGGTGAACCCGGAAGTCATTAGCGGCCGTGGGAAGTGTAATAGGGCCCCGAGGCGCATGTAACCACGCCGCGGAATACGCGTCTGCTGAAGGCCGCGGGGCATTCTAATGCATCCTCTTCCTCCCTTTTATCTTAAGCGCTCTGTCTGAAATCATTTTCTCCACTAGCTAGCTACATGCATCTTGCAACAGTCAACTCAGGTTTCAACTTTGCCCTAATTTGAACGTTATTCTTCGTATATTCATAAATTTACAATAAATTCCGATTTTGTCTAATTGAGAAACTATTAAATGGATGGGTAACGTTTTGAATAAATATTCGCTTTTATTTTAGAAGAGGTAGTTGGGTAGTTGACCTAATTATAGTTAATGATGGGGGCATTAATTTTATGTCATTTGAATTTAGCATACATTAGAATATGAGAGGCTTCATAATTTGCTTTTGTTTTGAAAGCAATTAAATAGACGATTTTATTCGTGATTGAATGGCTGGATAGGTATGATATAAAATTTTGTCTAGCATTACTTGTTCTTTATAGATGTCTATAGCTTCAGCATCAAATATCACGATATCATAATACATCAAAATATCAAATGTATAAATCTATTTTATTTCATTGTCTAACCGGGTGTTTTGCTGAGAGTTTTACCAGTGCACTTTCTCAGCTACAATGAAACAATATGTACAACACAAGAGCAGAAAATTTTGTGCATCAAATATACACGTCGTTATACAATGTAGCTGCAACCCGCATCAACAGGTGGGCATGCAAATTTGCCGTGCGGGCGGTCACTTTCACTCTCATGCTGAGTTCTTAGAACCAAGTGAGAGTGATTACCATGGCACTGGAACAATAACACGCCTCCGCGCACGCGTCGGACATCGCTCCCAGCCTCGTAGCGTGGTTTAAAGAGGGTGTCCCTTAAAGGGCGCCAAGGACGGGGGATGCTTGCTTGCAGATATAACAAAAAGCGTCGACTATTTAAAGGCATCTAATGCAATTTCATGGCGACAAAACTGGATTTTCCAAGTAAATTTTCTGGCCATTCTTAATTCAATGTAGTAAGTTGAGTTAACTCTATCTCATAGGTTACTAATGTCTGTGAGGCAAGAATGCGATGTCGCTGACAGAAAATGCGATTTATGGGTGGTACCCAAAAATAAATAGACGCCTCACGCAGCTAACTTGTTTGGGGGCTATTCTAAATGCCTCAAGTGTGAAATGATGAGAAAAATGTCTAAGAAATGTCAGTAAATGTCGATATCAAACAGAATATATTTTTTGTCCTTTAGCCTCCCTGAACTTGCTTTGGGCGTCTGTAAAGAGATAATGTGATGACGTCAGAGGATGACCTTGTGGATGAGGAGGAGCACATCGGCAGAACGTACTGCGCCTGCGCGAAACCCGGATTTTTATGGTTTTCGCAAGGTGTTGCTGGATGTTTGGTCAACGTTGCATCAGAATTTTGCCCGTTGCAGACGATATCTTTTCCGACACAACATCTTTAAACTAGAGACGAGAAATTATCCTTAAATACGCGAATACAACCTCAAAGGAGACGTTCTATGCACGATACAAGGTTTTGCTCAGGCGCAGTGCATTCTGCCGAGGTTACATGCGGAGGCGTCCTTTAATTTCTGTGCATGCGCAGCTCGAACATCGTGGCGTCAAGGTCACCCGACCTTGACCTCTCGGTGTTTTAGCTGCGCATGCGCAACTTGAACGTCATGTGTCATTACTTTACAAGTGACCACATAGTGCACTATTTCTGACAAATGTATGTAGAAATGGACGAATTTGTATTCCACAAAAGCCTGGATGAAATCCTACATATGCCCGGTAAGTCACTGCGTGAAAGTCAACAAGCCGTGAAATGTACACCGTAATGGCGTGAAATTACGGACTTATCATATGATTCACGATCTCTCTATACGTCAGCTTACATACAGGCTTCGTGCGGACGTATGCTTTCATGGTCTGTGTAAAAAACATAACTTCAACATCATCTTGAGTATGCAAATGATGATGAGTACACAAAGTGCATTTTGTTTCCTTTTTCAAAAGGTAAATTCTATCCAATGCTTTATTCATTGACACGATCAACGAAAAATGACCTTTCATTTATATTTACCTCCTTGCCTCCTTTCCAACCCAAATCGGCCACGTATAGATGTTTTCGTTGGTTATTTGCTATAGCCTATTTCTGTAGACACTTGAACGGCTGAGCAAACACTCTGAAGCTATACAATGTACGTGCTCAGCTGGCCTTATGGAGGCGTCCTGGCCCTAGACTACTATGCCAATGCATAATCATTGATCAAACCTATATGCGGGAATAGCTCACCTTCACAATTCACAGTCTCATTTTTAAAGAACAATTATAGCAGGTGCCTTGAGGGTGTTTGAAGTAACAGCTAGATTTACACCTGTTGCTGGAGCACCTGTTGAGGGTGGGAACACGTAACACGTCTTCGCAGCTGTTGTTTACTTGATAACGTTGTTTACACACGTACACGCGTACGGCACACTTGTGGTGGGGAGGGGGGCGTGGATGTTTACCGAGACAGATACGGGAAATGTTTACCCTATATACCATACCTTAGCCTGGTAGACAAGCAACCGTAGGCTTGCGGGGATCTCTACGGTGCTTGGAGTGTTGCCTACCCGCCCAGGCCCATTAGTGCAAGCCGGAGTATTTTTCCGGGGACGGTTTCAGTCATAAGAAAACTCGGCAGGAAAGTTAGGCTTAACGTTACAGAAAGAAAGGTCGGAGCAATTTGCTCACTGGGACTGGGGTTTTAGTTTAAACACTCCTAAGCCGGTCCGTAGAGAATGCTCTCCCGACTATACTGTGTTGTGCACATACACTTTCTGTATATGTTTGTAATACACGTATTGACGTCATAATGACGCAAGGAGGTAGCTTAGTACGTAAGATAACGTAACGCTATTACAAATCCTTTTTAGGTGAGATTAAATTATTTCGTAACATAGACAAGAAACTACATGTATTAGGTAAAAAATTAACTATGCCTATTGATAATGTACGTCAAACCCATTTTTCTGCGCTTCATTTGCCAGTTATATTACTGTTTTGCGATTGACACTGAACTTGATTCGACAGAAATTCTGTTTAGTACAGGATTGTTCGCGACAACGCCGCTGCCGCTTTTCGGCATACACCCCTCCCCCCATCACCACCACCACATGCACACACACCTTTTTGGAACACTTCCTAAATATAGAAAATTATTGTACTGTATGTTTGTCCAAGATGATTATTACAGTTACTAGTAATCATTAACTTACCTGAGATAAACTACTGACACTACATGGTGTACAAATGCACCAATTTTGCAATACTCACAAACATGTGTGGATCGAGCTCAAAGCACTACGGGACACAAAAAGAAGTATGTCGGAGTGGTCTAAAATTAATTTATGGTACATGGTGATCGCACCGGCAAAACCTGTTTCTTATTAAGGCCACAGCAAGTAAATTTTATGGATGACATCCTCCGCAGACAGCAAATCTAATGCGAGCGGGCGAAAAAACAACAAGGCAGGCCGAAAAAAACAAGGTTCCTACAAGTTAAAATTTTGACTCAATCATTGCACAAATGGTTTTGATTCAGTGGGAACATCACGTATACACAGCCACAATCACATATCACTGCATCAAAGTAAGAAACAAAACATTAAATCAGAGTCTTTTCTTGTTTCCTCTATTCATAGTTATTTGCCATCCACCTTCCTGCATGGCAACAGACATCTTTGCGCATTTTCGGCATGTTGACCACTGTCAGAAGGCAAAAAAATTCTTTTTTTTTTCCAAAATCAGGCAAAAATTAATGCGCGCGCTAATGTCATCCATAAAAATTACTTGCTGTGGCCTAAGGTCTGAATATAGTCATTTTTCTTCAGATTGCCCTGGTTTCTGTCTTGATAATAAAAATTATAGGTTAGGATTAAAGACCACTAGGATATATAACGCATGAAACATAAGTCTTTTCTCTCATTTAGTCTACTATATACTGAATCAACTTGAAAGCAGTGTGAGCTCTTTCTGAGAAGGTAGATATAATTGTGTGACCTAGTTCCCACAGAAAAAACAAGCTGACCAATCATGCATAGCACTGTTAACAGTTATGGCAATTGCATCTGTAGTTCGTAAGTTATACGATAGGGGCCGCCGCGCCCGTATTATGGCAAACTGCAGTACATCAATGCCACGGTAGAGGGCGCTTCGTATCAGTACTTACTTGATTAGCTTAAGCTTTAAAATAACTAAACAATGAACTTAATTTCTGCCGCCCCTTCTTTCCAACTGCTTTATTTTCACAAAAGCCAGCGAAACTATAGTGACAGAACTTGGAATTTAGTGTCTATAATTTTTCCTCCTTCGAATAAAAGGACATTGTAGTGGAAGGGGTGTGTGCTGATGTCATTTACAAAGTCAAGGCCAAGTGGTCTAACCGAATAACCAACAAACAATAACAGTTCGCACGACTGTGAGAAAATGTCCCGAAGGTCGTAAAGGACTGACCAATAAAAACTGTGGCAAGTGAAGAATAATGCAAAGCCTCATTGCAAAGACTGGTGAAAAATCCACGTCACTATTCTGTCCCCCTCCCCGTGTGTGCGCGCGCGTGTGTGTGTGATACAAAACTGTAGAAATAATTTTCGACTATCAATCAACCGCAGGCATCAGTAGAGATGCATAGCGACTGTAGACATGTCCCTCCAGGATGTTCAATATATCGATCTTCAACTATCCGCTTCAATATAACCGTCCATTCCATCTTACACAAGTATCTCACTTGTACCCACATGTATTACATCGTTCATCCGTGACAACATTCATTTTTAACTTACTAGTACTTAAATATATTTGCTCGACATCAAATACACCATGAGCACTGAGCATTATGAATGTTCTATCTATGTCTTTTGCATTGATTGTGAAGTGAAAGAAAGTAGCACGGTTGTTATAAGTATTGTACTTACGTTTATCTCTGCAATACTCCACAATCCGTCCAAATATAAAGTGACGCCTTATTGAATGAAACCCTTAAACCGTGGTACGAATGGTAGGTTATCCTCTTGACAAAACTGATTCTTGGTTCAGCGTCCCTTTAGCTCGAAAAGTTGAGTTACTCTCGTCAGCACTTTGGCGAAAATAAGTTACGATTTCCCCACGGTGCTTGACTGTAACAACCGACCTACGTCAT